CGCAGTTTCATCCATTATAGATGAACTGGCTGCCAATCGATTCCCTGATTATGGAGACAAGTTCGTGGGCAATTACCGCAGACTAATGGACAAGGTCCTGTGGCAAAATATCACATATCCTCCGAATATTCGTATTGCCAATTTCCTGGCTGCTATTTGGACGGCTTTTGCAACCCTTCACCGCGAAATCTCGAAAGATTATAACTATGGAATCTTCCCTACGACCGAGAATCTCTTGTACCGGCTCCAAGAGGAGATACAGATTCGCAAGGCTCAAGATGAGACCTTTATCACCAACTTTGGCAAGCCTGTTACGCCTAGTAAAGGCAAGAATAAGTGGAAGAACAAGGGGAAAGGCAGTAATCGCCCATCTCTTGATGGCCCCAGAACCCCTGGAGTCAACCAGGGCTCTTCCAACAGCAACATCACGGATCCTATCTGGTGCTATGAGTGCGGAGAGCTTGACAAAAAGAAGGGCCACCTTGGATACAACAAACGCATCCTCAGCCAGATCATCCAGGCCTCTGAGAAGGCTAGGAAAGATGGAAGGCCTTCAAGCAGCGCTCCCACTCACCAGAATGGACGCACTGGCGCTTCTGACGCCGCTCAATAGTGCAATTATGCCGATAAAGCCATCTCCAGTCAATCTGTCCTCACTCAAGGACCACATAGCGCCAACCAGGGAGCGAGTACCAATCTGATCGACATCGTTCATGCCACGATAAGCACAGACTCATGGCTGTTTGACACAGGCTCTACCGTTCCTATTTGTAATAGCAAGAAGTGATTTACTCGCCTTCGAATGGACCCTGACCTGGTCCCCTTTAACACTGGAGGAGGCCCTGTTACTCCTCAAGGTGTTGGCGACGTGGAGATACCATTCATTACCTCCAATGGTGATACCGTCACTCGGACAATCTCTGGAGTACTATTTGTGCCTTCCTTTCTAATCAATATTTTCTCGGGAGACCAGATGTATCGCCAAGGATGGTATTTGATGATCCGTGATCTGTTTGACCCCCATGGGACATGGGTGGCATCATTCCACCAGGGAATGTACGTTCAGACAGAGATCCCTAGTGTCCAGAAGGACGTATACGGGATCAATCAAGCCCCGGACGTGTTCACCAATATGGTATCCGAGGATTCTTCCCAGGAACTGACCTCTAAAGCCAAATCTGTGGCGCTGAGACTACTCCACCGCTGGCATACAAGACTTGGCCACCGATCTATTGGTGACCTGATCAAGACAGCCAGTATCACCAAAGGGATTGAATTGCCGCCGAATGTACGAGAGCTGGCAAAAGAATTCACCTGTCTGGAATGTCTGGAGTCCAATCTATGTCGCCTAGTCTCTCGAGTTGAGCAGGAACATCCAGATCATGCTTTAGACCTGGTCCATATGGATACAGCCAAGCACTCTGTCCAAGGCTATGATGGTTCTCTCTATGCCACCGTATTTGTGGATGGCAAGTCTCGTTTGAGGGAGTACTGCCCTCACGAGAAGAAAGGGGAAGCTTCCGACCAAGCCATTCGCTACTGTGAATACGCCCACACCCAGTACGGGCGTTATCCAAAGCGATTCCGAATGGATGGTGGTTCTGAATACGCGAGATTCAAGCAATGGGGAGCTGAACGTGGTATCCTGTTCGAAGTCAGCGCTCCATACACTCCCGAGCAGAACGGAGTGGCTGAGAGATCCTTTGGCGTTATACACGCTCTCATTCGCAGTATTATGAAGGATTCCGGGCTACCTGAAACCCTTTGGCCGGTTGTTGGACCTGCCGTATGTGATAGGCTCAATGTGAGCTATACATCTTTCCTCCAGGGCGTTAAGAAGACTCCCTTTGAAGTTTTCTCTGACGATCTGAACCCTGGAAAGGATAACAAGCCTGATTTGACGAATTTACTGTCAATTGGGCAGGCCGCTGTGGTCCATTTGCCGCAGCAGCGCCGCCCTAAGGGAGACAAGACCACTCCACACGCAAGGAGAGGTCGTATTCTTCGTTCCCTTGGTTCCAACCAGTACCAGGTGTATCTTACACACCTGAGAAAGGTTGTGGTTACTGCCCATCTTGAGATTTTGAATGGGTATGTACTTTCAAGGGATTTGATCCACATCTTTCCAAACTTCCGTGGTACACTTGATGACTATGAGACAACCAGACCCGATGTTAAAGATCTGCCAGCGCCGTCTTTACCAGAGGGCGCTCACGATCCTTAGCATATATATATCGAGTCAGATAACAGAAGGGATGGTAGAGATGATTCACCCCAACCAGTTGTCACGTTAGGGACCCCTCTTGGGTCCCCTGACGCTTCTGATAATGATGATGGTCATCATTCTGACTCTGGATATAGCAACCCTGAGCCTAGTACTGCTCTAGCTGACTCGATTCTTCTATCATCTGAACCACCTCGTCAAGAAGTAGCCCCAACGGCTGCTCCGAGGTCAAGAATCCAATCAGGGCTCAACCCAGAGAATGTACTCTCCAGAGGGCGCACTCGGAGGACTCACAACCACTACGTGGCCGAGTCTTCCACCCCTGGCATATCTCCACATGTTACGATCAAGGCATCTTATGCCAATTGGCCGTCTTCTGACCCTGATCAGGCACTTCCCCGTAATGACGAGCCTTCTAGCTACAAGAAAGCTATGGAGTCTGCTGAGGCACCTTAATGGCTGGATGGCACTCACACAGAGATACGGGCGTTGCTGCGTAATAATACCTTTATTCCTTTGTAGAGGTCTGATCTGCCTGCTAGGTGTAAAACTCTCTCTAGCCGCAATGTCTATAGGCGGAAGAGGGACTCTGACGGCAACACCTCTCGGTACAAGGCTAGGGTGGTTGTATGAGGCTTCATGCAACGCAATGGCCTTGACTATTTTGAAACTCAGGCCTCAGGCGCTCGTACTACCACCTGGAGGCTCCTTCTAGCCATTGCTGCCGTTCTGGACTGGGAGATTGATTAGATGGATGCTGTATCTGCCTTCCTGATGGGAGAACTGAATGAAGAGATCTTCATGGAAACGTCTGATGGTCTCTCTGACTTCTTTGAGATGTATCCAGATGAGAATACCATCAACTGGAGACCTGGCATGATTGTGAAGCTTGCGAAACCACTATATGGGCTCAAGCAGAACCCCAGGCAGTGGCAGAAGCGCATTCGCAGCGCTCTGAAGGACCTCGGATTCGACCCTCTGGTCTCTGACAACGCAGTCTATGTCAACATCAACCGTGGCATTATAGTGATCAGCTATGTCGACGATTTCCTCATTTTGGGGTCTAATCGTGACGAGATCGCTGCCTTTAAGAAGGAACTAGGTTCTACATTTGAGATGAAGGACATGGGATCTGCTGAACACTTCCTAAGAGTCCACATTGTCAGAAACCGAGCTGAGAGGACGTTATATCTCTCTCAACAGACGTATGTGAGAAGGACTATGGAGGCGTTCGACCAGCAGAACACTGGCAAGATGAACGTGCCGATATCTCCTCAAGCAGTGGAACAGATGGAGTCCCTGGACAACGACCTTGAGGTCGATACACGTCCTATTCAGACATACCAGTCCCTGATCGGTTCTGAGAACTTCCCTGCGTCGTATACAAGACCAGATATTGCATACTCTATAGGTGTTCTCTCGCGATACCTTCACAACCCTGGCTCAGCCCAATATAAGGCCGCTCTAGGCCTATTTCGCTATTTGTGGCACTCTTAAGATCTTGGGATCAAATTTGGAGGTCCCGAATATGTCAGGAAGACCCACCAGGAGGTCCTTGAGATGATTCCGGATCTGCTGGTTGGTTACTGATGCCAGCTATGCTGGAAGCATCAAGACCAGCGCCAAATCCACCTCAGGCTACCTGTTCACGTTTGCTGGGGGCGCTGTCTCCTGGGCATCCAAGCTGCAGACTGTTGTGGCTCAATCTACTGTGGAATCAGAGTACTACGCACTCTCTGAAGCCGTAAAAGAGGCTGCCTGGCTGCGAGAACTGATGCTGGAACTTGGATTCATTCTAAATGTTATCAACATCCATTCAGACAGTGCTGGAGCTATTCACTTGGCTAAAAACGCTGAATTCCATCGTCGAACTAAGCACATTCGAGTCAGGGAACACTACATTCGTCAGGAGATCTTGGAAGGCCATATACGGCTCTCTTTCCTTGGAACTAATGAAATGTCTGCAGATGGTCTCACCAAAGCTTTGACAAAGGCAAGGTTCTTCAAGTTTCTGGAGTTGCTAGGACTGGTTCATGTAGAGGGGTGATATTCTGGTTATGTTAATTCCCTCAGTCTGAGAGGGCGTGTTGGATTCTGGGCTACGTTAGCCCATCCATAGTCATCCTTCAGGATCACCATCCCCATTTGTGACTCTGTCACATACGTGGCCAATATAAGGCCACGTATCCTTTCCTTTAGTATCTTGGATATATATAGGGCCATTCTGGCCGCTCCAGAGTAGCTGGAATTCCTCTCCTTAATAGAACACTTTGAAATCTCACAAGATCTCGAAAGTGGGGATGAAGTGGTCACTCTAGACTTGGTGGGAGAGTCCTGAATAATGCAATCTCGCATTCTTTGGCAAATGGCGCAAATCCCAGGGTGGCTTTCTTTCAGCTAGCTTTGTCTCGAGTTTGCTTTCCCATCCCCCCTAGTGGCTTGTAAAGGAGACCACCTTACACGCCAATCGTGTTCTTTATGGCAGACCAATTTAGACAGGGGCTAGGCACCCTTCACCTCTTTGTTGCTTTTGAAGATATCCTAGAGACAAGCAAAATGGACTAGTAATAACTAACCACTTGAGGAAGGTATACAAAGAGACATATTGAGATCGATTGGGCCTCGTTTCGTCCACAAGAAAAAGGGCATCGTTCATGGCATCATATACATGAAGTGGAACATGTATATAACGTAGCTGTCGCCGGGGAGAAATAGGAAAGATTGCTAAATATCAAACACGACAGAATTAGCAATAAACCTCCAACTTCGAGATAAAATGACTACCCTCCCGACATACGAGTCACTCCGCCTGGCAGCTGAGCTACGATGGAATAGCGATATGAAGATGCCGGAGGAAGGCCTCCTGGGACGGCCTGCCATGGAGTTGATGAGTGAGCTCTCCTCTCAGTGCTTCGTTGGCAGCGGTACGATAGAGGATCCCAGAATTGTTTGGCTAGGTCTGATTCCTTGTCTCCCGAGAGAGGACCCCAAGGAAGTTCCTGAAATAGACAACGTTCAAAAGAAGGCCAATGAGAACATTGCTCGTATCGCCGCTCAGTCGATAGGGTGTTCACATGTTTACATCCGGTGCACGAACCATAGCACAAAGCTTGTGTACATGGATGGAAAGCGGGTCGCCCTGTACGACCAGTACGGCAGACAAAATGGCTGGGAGACGATGCCGGCTGACCCGCATCTCACCCTTCTCTTCGGTATGAGCCTTGGTACGGTTTGTATACATGGCCACGCCACTGTCCGCTTGGATGAGAACAAAACCCCTATCGACTTTGCCTCAACACGCATCCCAGAGCTTGTGGTGGATGGAGACGACCGCATCCTAGAGCTCTTCAGGTGGATTGACCCCATGTACTGCTATCCTTATTGCCCAGTGCATGGAAAGGACGAAGTCATGGCTCACCAGTGTGAGGTGGCAAGACCTCATAACTGCCCTCACCACGATAGCCCGACCATGCTGGACCACTACTGTCCCCAAACACAGTGGGGTGCCAAGGACCTCGTGGATCACTATTGCCCTTGTGAGCACAACACGGAGGGTCTTCTCGACCATTGGTGCCCATGCCCTCACACCCTGGATAGACGGGACGACCACTACTGCCCTTGCCCGCATGACGTTGAACCGGGCACGGATCATTACTGTCCCTGCCCTCACCGTCTTGCGCGGGATTTCCTTTTGGCATAAAGTGCCAGGCTCAGGGACTAGGTAGTTATCCGGTTGGCTCTGTGAGGTGCCAAGGTAAGCGTACATAGATTTGCATTTTGGTTTATATTGCTCGAAGGGGCTGGTCCCCGTGATATAATTCAAGACGTATGAAGATAAATACATTTGCCCAATTGCTATCAGACATGTGATGATTCTTATTCTCTCCTCAATACTGCTTGCTCCTGCTCTTCACCAGTGAAAGTTGGTGCAATTGTTCTCGGAGTCGTAGTCGTGGGTTCTAGCATTGAACCAGCGTGTGATGAAGGTTCTGATTTATATGAGAGTTCAACGTATCGTTCCCATAAGCAGCATTGCCGTGGACCTCTGAAGCACAAACTCTTAGTTCGGCGCCACGGTGTGTTCTCGGCGACGCCTTCCTTGGTGGGCTCATGGCAGCAGACGCCTCTCATTCGGATCTCCGGGACGGACTGGGGCGATACCATCACTGACCTGGTCCAGCCTCCCGTCTCTCTCGGCAGGCCGTATGACGCAATGGTCAAATGCGCCTGGTTGTGTTCTCGTTTGTGCGGTGGGCGACGAGAACAAGTGGGTTCGAATCCTGCTATGGCCCCCTTCTGACCCGGCTTGTGCGAGTCGACAACCAGCACATGACAATAGAGAGACCCCTTATCGCAGAGCCCGATAGCCAAACAGCTTGTCTCCATAATACCCACTCTTACAAGGTTTTTTCCCTTATGGTTTCCCTCGCTAGCAGATAACAAACACCTATTTCACCCACCAATGCGATATATATCGAACGGCTACTGGAACGATATGTACACCAGAGGACTGAGGTTCACTGGGTCGCTTAGTCACTAGATAGGAGGTTTTTCTGACGAAATTGTGTTTGGGTATTGACTAAAACCATCTGGTCACTCCAGGTTGGTACCGCTACAGCGAGGATAGGCTCGTGCGCGGATCTGAATGTATCTAGACTGACACCTCTATAACCTTGCGATGCAATGGCTCTGGGAGGCGTGGTTTGCCCTATGGAGGGACTGCACCCACGATAAATACAATCAATCAATCAATCAATCAGTCTCTCTCGGCATCTCAAGCCAGCTCCCGGGCGTGGTCAAGCCGCTCCTCCTCCTTGAGGATGCCGTTGACGCACTCGCGGGATAGTGTCCGGATGTCCGGCTGGATCCCGAAGGATTGAGATTTCGCCCTAGCGGAGAAAAGATGGCGCAATTTCCTAGGCGAGGCCCCCTTTTACGCTTTAGACCCAATAAGGAAATTACCAACTGCCATGCAGGGGGACCAACGAGACCGCATATTCATTATTTTTTTCAGTTGGTGACTCACAGTTCCAATTAGATCACGAGCTCACGAACAAAATTGCAACGTGTAGGGGGAATGATGTTTGTATGCTGCGCAAATGAAGACTGCCTCAATCTACCAATATGGTGCCTCCCGCTCAATCTGATCACTATGCAACGCAAGATCAACTTCAATCTAGGTACATCCCCTTGTATAATCAGCCGCAATCCCATGAATAATCACCCTGCATACCCCACTAAGCCAGAAGGCCAAACAAAGCAAGTCCCATCACGACCATCGCGCCCATCGAAAGCGAAGCTCTCGCCGAAGCCTTGCCGGTATGAGTTGGAGAGGGGCTCGCAGTACCGCTGGCCGAAGTCGAAGCAGCGGAGGCCGAAGCAGTCTTGGAAGCCGCCACAGAGGCAGAAGAGGCAGACGAAGAAGAGGCGGAAGGGGTGCTGGAAGAACCAGCTGGGTCAGCGCTGCAGGTGGAGTTGGCGCCGCCCGTAGAGATGGGGCTGCTGCTGGCGGCAAGGCCGTAGCAGGCGGAGTCAATGTCGAAGCCGCTGAGGGGCGGGTTGAGGCAGCCGAGACCGTTGGAGAAGCAGTCATCGAGGGAGCCGTCGGAGGCGCTGCAGGTGAGGAAGCATTTGTCGTCGCTGGGGGCGGTGGTAGAGTGGCTGGTGGTGCAGCATTGGGAGAAGAGTTGCTGGACGGCTTGCGTTGAGTTTGCGGCGATGTAGCAGGCGCTGACGCTGGAGGGGGGTTGGAAGTCGGAGGCTTGAGGGCAGGAAGACATTTTGTTGGTTGGTGAAGGTGAATTGAGATGGCTGTCAGGTTGTGGAAGTTGGCAGTCTGGAAAGAAGTCGTACTTTTATAGGGAATGAGTGACTGGTTGGAGGAATGCTTTGTACGTGGCTGAGCAGGTGTCCTGCAGTGTGTATAACGAGAGAACGAGCAATGCAAAAGTAAATGGGAAGCCAAGTCGACGTCGATCAAAGAAGCTTTCTAGGTAAAGTGTGAATCTATTTTGATACCAACCAACAACCAACAGGTCAAGTCTCTTTGATGCGGCTGCGATGCATGATGATGCAATGTTGGTTGAACACATGGGGCTTAGACCCGTTGGGTGGCTTGTCAGCACTGCAGCAAGACGTTGCATCCGAGCCCTGCCCCTGAAAGCTTGTTTGCGGATGTCAGCCTTCCTACGGGAGCTTGTTTTCACCTCACTCCCGACGTTGCACGAAGCAATTTCCACGAGCGTTTATGTTTACCTGATCCTCCGGCTGGCTGCATGTGGTGCGCCGCAAGATTATTATTAAGTGATCTTCTGTCGTACCACAGCTTTTTGAGACACATAGTCGTTGTCACGGTCTGGGGATTGGCAGCCATTCTTTCCCCTTTCTGCTCTGCCTGCGCCTCCACAACCAACCAACACCAACATCGACAACCTCAGCTCTACGCGCCATGTCGATCATTCTCACTGCTCGAAAGGCCTCCTTGGAGTACACGGCCCACAAGTGTGCAACCAGTAGAGCTCGTGCAGCAGCATCACCGAGAATAGAGCGACACAGTTGTCAGCCCTAAAGCCTCGATTGGAGTACTCCATTCGAAACGAGGCGTTGGTCAGAGTTGCATTGCAGACGTCATTTAGATTGCGGTCAGCGACCACCGCATGTAGGTGCTGACAGGAGGTGTGGGTGCCTTCCAGAGCCTCATGATGTGCAACGCCCTGCTTACGGGGCGACGTTCGTCCCACGTGGCTCTCGGCTTAAGCTTTTTGGCTTTTCAGCATGTTATTACCGACCATAGCTTTGGATGTCGCGAGTTTGGGTCTTCCTATTTTGGGTCTTCGTGTTGCTATTTGTGTGGATGTTGCTGGCAATACGATTCTCGAGCAGGGTATCCGTGACAGAACGCTCAGGCTGAACTATCAATGGATCATATTCAGCATTTCATTCGTCCGGCGTGGTAGTTTTCAGACTCACGCCGACTTTCCGGAAGGGGACCTGGTCCTGCCTTGCCTCCGGAGAGTCCGTGAGAATCTGACAATCAATTCCCGTTCGGATGAAATAGGGGTAAGTTACAACTAGGTAGCTTGCGGATCGTCAGCATATGCCGTTGGACGGCACAGAGACCTCGGCCCCTTTTCGCTTGAATTGGGAGGCTTATTTGTGGAGGCTCAGTGCTGTGCTCATACATGTAACATTCTTAGATGCAACCCTTGTCTTTGGCCGTAGAGGTAGCATTCTGGCGTAAGTGGCTTCCCCGCCGTTTCAGCCCATTCAACTTACCGTCCTCAGGCAGGTTGTTGACTGTCACGGCGATGGCCATTCAAAGTCTCGGTGTCCGAGCATGAACATTCAGAATTCGATGCTTAAATTAATGAGCAGGAAAGGTGCTTAATGAATCATGCATGCTGCGCTACATTTGACAAACACTCAATCAGCTGACAGCCATTCCAGAAGTTCTTTGGCTATTCTTGGTGTCACCGTTGCTTGGGGCTCCCGGCTACGATTGGCCTTCACCTAGAAACCTCGCTCAAGGTTGTACTCGGAGGTACCTGCTTACATTTCAGTCAGTGCAGCAAGATGATCATGCCCCTTCAATCTCCACATGGCATTTCCGTGGTCAGAGTATCTCTGTGCCTTGCATGCTGATCGAAAATCACAAGGCAGACTAGGGACTATATCCCAAGTCACTTGGCTGAATGACTCCCCTAGCAAGCCTTACTCTCCTCGAATCCTGCGGCTGCAACCTCATCGCCTGCACAATGGCCCATGATCAACGTTGGCAATCTATTTCGACAGCTGGAGGAGGTCAGCCACTGCAAGTTCTCTCCGGAGGATTGCTATGCTTCATCCTTCGACACTTGGTGACATAAAATTCGTTTGAGGAAGATTCTGTCATCGGAACCCTTTGGTTGGTTGCAATGGGCTCCTGACATCAAAGTTGTATAAAGATTGGCCAGATATTCACTCTGTTCCACGGCATCATCAACATCACATCTTCTGCGTTCCTTTCTTGAGTCTTATACTCAGTACAGCCCTCCTCCCACTTGCTAGCAGAATTTCTTTACACGGCAGTCTCTATCGGAAAGGACTCGTTACAATTCTGTCGCCAATCAGCCCGTACCCAATTATATCCACCACTCTCACTTCTATCAACGATGCATTCTTGGTCTGTCGGTCTCGCGGCCTTTGCCCTGTGGCAAAGTGCATCCGCGAAGGTTGATAGCAAGGGCAACTTGGCTTTGGAGCCATTGAAGCCTTCTGACCTGGGTCTACATAAGAGAGATACGCCACTAGTGAATCTCCAACCTTCGGCGTCTGTCTTCTGGGGTGAACCATCCAATGTTTGTATGTGAATCCCCACCTAGGCTTCGGACGCCACAGCCTACTGATACTGTTCTAGCTGATCTGCTCGTCAATGTTACCCTTGCATCTGGACAAGATGAACTTCTCATCTCCACGGACTCTTTCTCTTCGGAACTGAGCAGTGTCTCCTGCCAGGACAACGATCTTTCCCTGACCTTCACCAATCAAGACACTTACAATGCTGCGATCAAAGATTGGGACTGGGTTAACTTCGCGGACAACCACACATTTGTCATGATCGTCAACTATGGCGGGTGTGGTGAGGCCGATGAACGCCAACCATGGATTGTCACTGGTGCAACTTACGATGCTACCACCTTCAACGTGCAATTCGCCGCTACCCAGAAGAGTTGGACTGAGATTAACAACGAAATGACAGTCGAGTGGGGTAGCTACATCCAAGCAACCTCAGCCAGTGTGAACAAGCGTATTACGTTCTCGAAGACCCTGAGCCACACATTCGACCTGACCCACGACATGGACACAACTCTGTTCAGCAAAGCAACCCAATCTGGTCTCGACTTCAATGTTGACTGCCAAAACTGCGGCACCAAAGGCAGCATCGCCATCTCAGGGAAGATTTCGTACAAACTACTCGACGGCGTCCAATCCTTGGAAATCACGGCAACCCCCAGCAACATCGAATTTGACCTGGGTCTCGCCTTCGGCATCTCAGGCAACCTGACCGACGACTGGAGCAAGTCCTTCAACATCCTCAACACCGGCCTCCCCGGCTTCAGCATCCCCGAAATCCTCGAGGTCGGCCCCATATTCTCCATCGACGCCGGCTTCGACCTCAAAGCCGTCCAGGGAAGCGCTAGCATCTCCTCCGGCATCACAGCCAAGATTCCCAACTCCGCGACCGCTACCCTCGACATCGTTGGGACTGATGACAGCAGCTTTTCCGGCTGGGAGCCCACTATATCCACACTGCCCATCGAGGTGTCCGCTGAAGTCGACGGCTCGCTCGAGCTCTTCACCTCTGTCGGCCTCGACATTGGCGTCACGGCCTTCGGCGCCGGTTTCGGAGCGGGCTTCACCCTCAAGATCCCAGACGTGACGCTCAACGTGGGCGCTGAGTTCGACAACCTGGGCGCGTGCGAGGGCCACAATGAGACTTTCGGCGTCAAGTTCAGTGGCGGTGTTGGTGCTGACTTGAGCATGAACGCTTACGCGGAATCCAAGGACGTCAAGACACAGAAGTGGGAGAAGGATTTGCTGAACAAGCCGGATATCTATGCTTTCCCGAGTCAATGTCTCCCGTTCGGGGCTGCGCCTTCGTCGCCCATCAGTGTGTCGAGCACGTCGGTTGCGACGACAACCGCTCCCAGTTCCACCAGCTCATCGGCGGCGAAGAGTAGCTCTGCATCTGGCGCCCCCACTTCATACGGATCCAAGAACGCGACTGCGACGGCTAGTAGCTACAATGGCCGTCTACGACGACATGTGCTGTATTGATGGGGTAATGTTTATTCCTCTGAAGCCTTTTGGGAAAATGAGAATTTGTGGGGTTGGATTATCAGGGAGGCTATGTCTTTGTTGGGAGAGTGAGGGAACTCGGAGGCTCACAAGGAGCACTGTATCAATAAAGGCGTTCGATAGTGGGAGCATTAGGCATTGTATTATTACAACTTGTGGTCTTTAAGTGTTCCTGTTTAAGCACTCGCTTTATCTACAGCCGCGTCTCCAAAACTTATGCTGATCTCCTTTCTCCCTTCACCTTCGGGCGAAGGAAGCACAACCATCGACGTTCTCTTCCGCCTCCACGCGGACTTGCAAATCGAAAGCGGCAAAATTAGCCTCTTGAAACGCGAAGCTATTGCACTTCCAAAGCCTTCACACAGAACGAAGCGCCACCCGCCCGCACTTCAGTCCCCCATCCATCAAAGCTTTCAGCCCTCTTCAACAAGAATCCTTGAATCCAATCCCAACCGCCAACACCTCAACCTCCCAATGAACACGATGAACGCCACCTCCTGCCGCTCCCCTCGACCCCCTCCCTCGGCTCGGCGTCAGATACAGAAACACGTCTTCACCCGGCCCACCCACTCCCCTCACCCGGTCCCCATCACCCTCTAAAGTGCGTCGACTTGTTGCAGCAATCTCGCAGTTGCCCGGGGAGGATAAGTGGCGCCGAAAGACTGACAGGGAATTGTACGCCAGCCGTCCCATACCCAGAAGAGAAGTGCTATTTCGTAATATCATGGGGTTCACGCTCAGCCCTGATCTGGTGCAAGATTTTGTCTCGGGGAGACACCGCCAGGTTCGCATTGCTGCGTTCGGATGCTCGCTCAAGAAGGTCATTCTTGCGGCTCACTAATTCGACGTCTACTAAGCTCGCGTTGACGTCTTGACTGGTGAGCCTCGTGTTAGGGAGAGAACTGGCTCGGAAAGCCTCGTATCTCGATGTATACCCAGGAAGAGGGTCGATATCCAGGATCACGGCTGACTTTCTCACGGACCTGCGTCGCTATCACTATTAGGATTATCAGTCTTAACTGCCACGAGCAAGAGTCACTAGTTCAACCCTTGACGTTTCCGGAAGTGATAGTTCCCCCCATCCCATATGCTCGTGCCAACGACACGATGCGGCCCAATCTGAAGGTACGCCCAGCTGGAAGAGGAAGCCCTCCGAGGTATCGTTTGGGTGGCTTCCCAAATATAGCAATGGAGAATGTGATCAGTCCGTCCGAACTCAATAGCTCGCAAGATCGTCGATCTGTCGATTTCGTCCAGCAAGCGCGGAGATATCTGTCGCAAATGGAACAAGCACTCTGGCATAAGCAACAGGGATGGCTTTTGGATTAACAGTGCTTATTCCAGGGTGCTTATTCCACTAATATGCATAGCATTGCTACCCATGGATTGATAGCCTCCCGCGATACTCCCCCAGCCTCTCAGACACCAGTGCATCATTCCAGCGCTCAACTCCTTCAGCCTGCGTCCTCCTAGCTAGGCCAATCTGCTCAATGGCGAAACTGGCTGCCACGGTCGCTTGGATCGCTGCGTCCACGAGATCCCCAGACCGGCCATACGCAATCGTAAACGCACCCAGAAACGTATTCCCGCCGCCAGTCGCATCGACGACCCTCCGGCTATCTTTGAAGAAAGGGGGTAGCCAAATCACCTTCGCATGGCGATCGCTCACGAGACAGCCGTGCTCACCGGCGCGGACGACGACTGCCTTCATGCTCGACGATGCGGCGGGTGCAAGTAGCCGAGCAGCACAACTCTCGATCAGCTGGCTGTCGAAGCCTTCGGTCCGCTCGCCGCACAAGCCGAGGAGTTCTAAATGGTTTGGCGAAAAGACATCCACTAAAGCGCAGGCTTGAGTATGGCTTTCAAGATGCTCCGCGGTGCACTCGCCCGGAAGCGGCTCCCAGACAACCACGGGCGGCTGCTCGGACCCCCGCTGCTTTCTTAGGTCAAACAGATCTTTAACTTGCGCCGCTACTTTCTCTGCTGCGACCAGCATGTGAAAAGACCTCGACGAGAGGAAATCGTCTGGCAGATGACCCGGCGCAGGCTGCAGAGGGGTGGTCAAATAGCGAAAGCTCTTACCTGTCCACCTTCAGCCGACGGCCCTATCAACAATCTTAGAGACACACTTACGACCGAAAGCCTCATCGTGGTATTCCAACAGGCCTCTCGTAGACAGCCTTTCCTCGTCGGCGTCTATATCCATGGCGATGCCCCAGCTCCGAAGCAGCGAAGCGATGTCGTCGGGGAAGTCGTGGCCCGCGAGAATGAAGCATCCGACCTCCCGCGCGTCGACCGGGCTGGTCAACAGGCGCGCGCCGAGTGTGCTGTATGCCGCCGAGCCTCCGACTGTGTCGTACAGGATCTCTCCGTTGGGCAGGCGAAGCTCATCGAGAACAACCATGCCCAGCGAGACGAAGGCGATGAGGGCCGATTGATCTGCCTGGCCTTCCATGACCGCTTGCGGTTCGGGCTGACTGCCCCTAGATCCTCGTGCGTCTGGGACTTGGAGTGTCGTGACGGTATCAGCCTTCAGGTGGATCTCTGATAGGCGCCCAAGAATACACACGAAGGGATCGCGGTGGCATGGTGGGCTCGTCGGCGTGGGAAATCTCTGCCGAGATGGCCCCTATCTAGGATCATTGTCAGGATCATTGTCCGGTGGGCCCGTCGCGTCTTAGGCGTATCTTCGCCGCTCCGGCAGCGTGATTCCTTATCTCGTGGGGCAGCATCCATCGGGTCTGAGGCCGACAACCACCCAAGGATGGTTTTAACAGGCTTCGACTTTGCGGGCTCAGCCTGTCAGATGTTGAAAAGGACAATCTGCCTGAGCACGTGGGCTACGGGATCATTACCGTCGAAGGAAGCCTCGGATTCCCCAAGATGAAGCTCGCGCTCAACATCCAGCCCCGACTCTGGGCGACGAAGGAGTATTGGAGGCTACACCCGTCGCGCGCCTCCTATGCGACCCATAATGGCTGGTCCAACGGAGACGTCGACGTCGTTGCGGAGGATCAGCGCACGTGGAGGGCCGTCGACTACTTGTGGCTGTGGCTCTCTGATTCGGCCAACATCGGGACCATGCAGCAAGCTGGCTCTATTGTGGCACTCGGCCTGAGTTGGAGAGAAAGTGTCGTTGCCATGTACGTTCATGATCAAGCGTGGCACATCTTCAAGTCGGCCTCGGGGGCTAACATGCGGTAATAGAGCCGTGGGCAATCTGGTTATCGCAGCAGCGGTCACACTTAATGGTGCCATCGGATCACGCCATCATATCCCTTTCTCGATCGCCTCAAGGGCATCGATGGGCTTCTACTTTTCGTACTTCGCAGTCGCCTCGCGTCTCATACTGGGGCTATTGTACTTTGGGTAGGTTCTGCTTCTCTGATACGAACACAACGGCAGCCGAAGTCTGACCTTGATATCAGAATAAATACCTACATCGGGGCTTCCTGCATGCTCATCATGCTGCGGGCGATATGGCCGTCTCTCAGCGACTACCCAAATGCCCTACCGGCTTCCGCCAGTGTTGCCAGCAGCAAGCTGATCGCTTACTTTGTCTTCTGGGTGCTCCAGTTCCCGCTGTTGCTGATCCACCCCAGGAAGATGCGATGGCTCTTCTTTGTCAAGTCCATCTGCGCCGTCGCTGCCGCTTTCGCCATGCTGGGATGGGCGGTACAGACAGGCGGGTCAGGGCCAGTATTTGACCAGACCAGCAAGCTCAGTGGCAGCAGCAAGAGCTGGGCTTATGTTGCGGGCATCAACATCGCCATCTCCGGCAAGACGACATTGGCGATCAACATGTCTGACCTGACACGATATGCGAAGCACCCATCGGCGGCATACTGGCAGATGCTCTTCATCCCCGTGGTCTACTGGGTATTCTCGTTCATCGGCATCGTCATCGCGTCGGCCGGTCAGACCATTTATGGCAAGCTGTATTGGGACCCGACGGACATCATCGCCCTCTGGACGAGTCGCGCGGCGGCCTTCTTCTGCGCCTTCGCGTTCGGGCTTGCGACGCTGGGTACCAACATCTCGACGAACTCCATCGCGACGAGCAACGACTTCGCGTTCATTGCTCCGAGCTGGCTTAACTTGCGCAGGGGAGCCGTGCTGACGGCCTTCATCGGCGGCTGGGCGACGTGTCCATGGAAGGTGCAGGCGAGCGCAAAGAGCTTGACGACGTTCCTCTCGGGCTATGTCATCGTCCTCGCTCCTCTGATGGCAATTATGATCTCGGACTACTGGATAATTCGGCGTGGAGTACTCGACGTCCCGGCACTGTATCAAAACGAGGGGAGATACAAGTACCAGAGCGGTGTGAACTGGCGCGCTCTCGCCACCCTTCTGATCGTGGTGCCGATCAACCTTCCGGGGCTTATCCATGCGATCAATGCAGACGTCGTTGTGGGTGCGGGATACGCCCACTTCTACAAAGCCAGCTGGTTGACGTCGACGTTCATGGCTGCCCTGGTGTACACCACCATTAGCTTGGTATGGCCGCCTCGGAGCACATTGGGAAAGGATACAGAATCCGACATCTGTGGTCAGGAACACGATGCTGTGGGACGCGCGGAGGTCGCTGTCTCTGATGTTGAAAAGGGACAGATGTCGGAGAAATTCTTGGCGACGGATCAATGAATGATAATGAATGACTGGGCCTGGCGACTTGATCTTGGCTAAGGACTAATGACGCACCGCGAATCCTGGTTGCCGTCATCCGATTGCCACGGAAAAGATATCTTTGGACGAAGTAGCCGTTACGCCACACGATAGGGGCCGTATAGGCGGCACAGCAAGGCATTCGCGCACCAACAGGGTCAACGTATGGCCGGGGACGGGGTCTATCAATAGAGAGGGACTTTCGTCTCTTAATTCGACGTATTGTGTATGCTCGAACGTCACTGCTATAATTATATACCACTGTCCCCCAGTCTTCGTGGCACAGACAATGAAGTTCTAATCCAGAATCCCATTGCCAAGCCGTGACGCCCTCCATTCTTGCATCCGTGTGCCTGCTGAACTTCTCATAGCGCGATGTCGGATTCTATAGGCGCGGCAAGGCGTTCTGCAGGAACAGCACGATTCACGCATTCCTGTATAGTCTAACCGAGTCTGTAATAAAAGTGGTCAGCGCTCTGCCTTGTGCCGATAGAACTTCGACTCCAGGATGCAAATCCATCCGCGTCAACCGGCTTCAATATGGTATCTTCTCAATTGACCCGTGTGCGCCTGACAACACCGAGACCGAGGGCTCCGGACTTCTGTGAGATTTCAAAGTGTTCTATTAAGGAGAGGAATTCCAGCTACTCTGGAGCGGCCAGAATGGCCCTATATATCCAAGATACTAAAGGAAAGGATACGTGGCCTTATATTGGCCACGTATGTGACAGAGTCACAGATGGGGATGGTGATCCTGAAGGATGACTATGGATGGGCTAACGTAGCCCAGAATCCAACAACTTCCCGCAAATCCAAGCGGCACTTCACGATCCTGTATCGTTTGGGCAGGATTGGTGTTCATCAAGAACTCCACCATCGCCACCGTCATCGCCACCGTCATCGTCATGTCGTGACAAAATTAGCATCAGCCAAGACATTGTCTATGGGCCTGTTGGTCTCGAGCGTGTCGTTTTGCCTAGCTGTAAACTGTCTATATATGCTATGTCTGCTTCTCCGTGTCAGAGTATCAAGTTCGCATCATCATCAACTTCACCTTCAACAGCAAACCACAACTCCACCAATACGAATACCACCACACTCTCGACACCGTCTACTTCACCACCTCAGCCTCTCACATCTTCCCCGCAAAAACAGAGCCAGAATGAAGATCACCGCCGCTTTCGTTACTTCGGTCCTGGCCTTTGTCACGGCCTCTTCCGCCACGGCCATCTCAGCCCGTGTTTCGCAAGCCGAATGGTCGCTGGAGTCGGTCACCGCGAAATCGGCGAACGCTCTTTGCAAAACCCAAAGCCATGCGAACCTGGGCGACATCTCGGAAAATGTGGACATGATCATCGCAAGCAGCCCGGGCCGCATGGTAAGTCATCCAGATCTTTCTCCACCTCAATATCCGCAAACTCGCGCCGCTAACAAGTCCCTCTTCTCAATGTAGTACGGCCAAGACGAGCAGATCGCAGGCAAGAGGGACGCGGGCGGATCGAGCCCTGGCATCATGATCAAGATCCAGGGGACGACGACGGAGTACCCGATCGAGCACATCAAGTACCTGCTGAACGGGTTCCACCTAAACGGCATCAACCGTTGCGGCGCCATCTCCATGGAATACAATACTTCTTTACCTGCCGACCAAAACGACGCCATGGTGAAGCATGGATGGTTGAAGATGGACTATACTGGTGACGTCGAGGTCGCAAATGCATGAACCAACAGAGTGAAGCCGCACTAGCGCTGGGGTCTTTGCACTGCTCGACACCAACTGTCGAGGGTTAAATGAGTGGTTCTACAGGGCAGCTAGGCCCACACCCGAATCTCCCTCCTACAACAACAATTTCAGAGGCATTCGCGGTGCGTGATCGAGTCACTCGCCTTAGAGTTGACGGGACGGCCTTGTCTGGCAGGCCTGCATTCAGGTTGTTGAGGGGGATCACTGAGTTGCTTCGTAATGTTTTGTCTATGTATTTTTGTGTACAGTATGCGGGGCTCTACATTCTGTTGTATTTCGGGGTATTCGCGTTGAATCCTTCCCTTGGGGTTGTGAAAGGAGGCTTCGATAGCATTGTTAATTGTATATTATTAGTTTCAAGCAAACTGTGTTTGAACTTCTGACAAGTGAACCCATGCTCCATCTCTAATCAACGTTGGCTGCTAACACATTGCTCGTGGGCTCGCTGTCTGTTGTGCCCTTGCTACATTAGGTACTTACTCCATCCCACTGTGACGAGCCGTCTAACCTATGAGGCTCAAGGGTTCTATAGGGTTTATGTTCTGAGGTAAGTCAACACAGGACGATAGAGGCTTCTGTCAACTCAGAAGACACTCAGATGCTGGGGCTTGGTCTGATCCAGGGGATCACTGAATAGTCGAGTCGTCAAGAGATTCTTCTCACCTTAGGGTTGGCTAAGATGCTTAGGTTGATCACTGAGATAGAGACTGTCTATATTTCTAGCTAAGAAATGTCTATCCTTATATATCCAATCTCTCCCTCACTTATGAGATGGATATGTTGGATATGTATGATCCAACATATCCGTCACGTGATACCTAGGTCACGTGATCCTTGCTCTTGGTCCGTGGTCCGTGTGTCTTCCTGGTTCTCTTTTGTCCCTGTCTCTTCCATTGGGCCTGCCATCGGGCCTCTTTCCCTGTATGTCTTTGTTGGTTTGTAACACCCACAAGCCGTGTCATCTCCCTCGCTCCTCTCGTCGCCCACCTTGTGCATAGATAACCTCGTATGGCATCTACATACGTTATTTAGTGCGAACAGTCCAAGCTACCCGAGACCATCGCATCACGGTTTTATTTGCTGTCGAGCTTCCCTCGAGACCTTCTAAGAGTTACGCTGGTATATGCCAGTCGTCCATAATGATCACCAGAAACGCTGAGCAGCGGCAATGAGAAATCATACAAAATGGATTTGTGTGCGTGTGTGTTTATAAGTCCGCAACTCGAGGGTATATGCTACTGCTGCTCAGTGCCCGGCCGTAAACTGAAAAGACGACGGTGATGAGGATGAGCTATCGACATTGGCGGCCCAGTCCGCTACAGTACAAGATCAAGACAGAGGCTTAGACCAACCGCCAATAACATGTTGCTCTCTATTGAACTTTAGGGGAGAGTTCTCCAGGCTTGTTTAACGTGGGAGAATGCTTCTTGGATTTGACTGTGCCATGCCCCGGTTGACGTACATAATTGGACGACGGCATACGCCGACTCCGCTAGATAGATATCTACACGCTTGAACAACCTCGCTAGGACGGCATCCTCCATAAGCAGATATTTGACCTGTGAGTCCCGTCAAAGGGGCGCAGCACAGTTGAACCATTATGATTCATAGTGAGTTTGTGCATGACAAAGGCATTGGCACAGAGAACCGCAGCTCGACATGCCTCATCTAGACAGCAAGATAGGTAGGTTGAACAGGTATAATAGACGACGCCGCAGGTGCAAATCGAGTTTCACTTTATACTCAGTCAATACAACAGCTCAATTGAACAGATCCCCTGCAGCAGCCCCTCCGAGTCCTCTAGCTGCGCTCAATCAGAACAAAAACAACAGCAACCATCCCGTAACGTCTCATGGTGGGACCAACAGCAACTGCAACCGCAACCACAACCACGTCAGCGTCTTCATCGTCATCTCTACTCTCAAGCCTTCGCCCCATGCCTCTTGCGACGCAATCACCATCGCGTCCCAACTCCTCCATGGAGACTGCCCTCGGTTCAACGACAGCTTCCACCGTTCACCCGTGCCTGCTCTGCAACCACGAATCACCGAATATGGATTCAAACCTCGTGCACATGCAGATCATGCACGCTTTCTCCATTCCCCACCAGGACTGTTTGCTGGTCGACCTGAACATACTAGTGCAGTACCTGCACCTCGTCGTCCACGAGTACAACGAGTGCCTGTACTGCCACACGCAGCGCGGCGACGTAGAGGCAGTGCAGCAGCACATGATGAGCACGGGGCACTTCAGATTCGACATATCCGAGGGCAACTCCGAATTTCGCGACTTCTACGACTTTAGGCCTGGCAATAACACCGATTCCCGAGGCGACACCGAGTCTGTATCCGAGACCGAGACCGATTCTGACGATAGTGAGAGACAGACCCAGGTCTGGCAACCAAGACCACGCAGCTCGCCTTGTCGCGTCGAGCAGACGAGTCTGCGTCTGCCGTCGGGGAGGGTCGTAGGTCACCGATCCACGCCCGCATCACGCCCAACACGCCGGCGGAACCGGGCCCCTTCTCCCGAGACCGCAAGACCACCAGACAGCAGCATCAGCGACGAACCCTCATCAGAGCCAACCGTCGATGATCGGCCAACATCCAAGGCGATCACGAAGCAGCAGAAGCGCGACACCGTGTTCGCGGCCCAGCTCGCCAGCATGCGCGCCAGCGACCGCAAGAGCATCGCGCACCTGCCAGCCTCGGAGCAACGGACGCTGATCGCGATGCAGCAGCGGCATATCGAGAAGGGGAAGCGCGCTGAGAATAGGTTCGCGGGCCATATGGACGGGTTGGGAAATGTGCTGTCGAAGGAGCAGTTTGTGAATGATGTGCCCGGGGGCAAGTCTCATAAGAATAGGTTCATGGCAGCGTAACTTGGACGTGCCTTGGATAGATAAGTATGTTTAGATGGACGATCATCTCATGAAATGGTTCAATGGCAGGGTCATCTTCATCCATGTGTGCAGCGTCAGTAGGCAGCTATAACTCGCATACACACCTTCACCGTCACTCATCTCCTCGACGATAGCCTACGACCAGAAGGTCGAGCGTCGTCTGAACCATTAACAAGACGGACCGAGAGACCACGGAGTGTCAGCTTCTTTAAGTCGTATCCAGAAGAGTGGATAGTTAACGAGCACAAGGCTCGAGAACAAACCAAAGCTGCCAGCAGGTACATCCTTGAAGTTCAGCAAAGACGAGTATCTCAGCATCTTCTCTATCCTGTTCCCGAACCTACTGCCGAGCAGCCAACTAATCCTGCACCACATAAGCCGGGTAGATACGGGTTGCTGTCCCTTGCGGCAAGCCATGCTAACTATTTCGGGCGACAGCTCAACCTCGGTGTCCTATGCAGCACTCCCACCGGTGTCACCGACACCTAGAGTCGCGCCCCCCCAATCTAAGGCGGCGCGCGCGATGCTTGTAACAATACACCTACCAACAGAAACGAGGCGGGTATGTTGATTGCCCTGACATGACACCGGATACACGAATGGAAATACACACCATGGGTTAAAGGGTCTGGATTTGGAGTACATAAATACATCTAAACTCACTTTTAGTCACATCTAATTGAGGAACAATAAATAATCTAACTTAAATCTCTGTGGCACGCAGTTTCCACATGCTTCTGTGGTGTAACGGCGCGCTTGCAGGAGCCTAAATATGACACACTCGGCCCTTATAAGTCTCCGTGCGCGCCATGTTAATAAGATTTTCCCGATCACCCGTAGAAATATCGAAAGACTGGAATAAGCATACAGGAATAAGCAGCTCTGGTTTGATATGATACTCTTAATGCTTATTCCATGGTGCTTATTCCGATTCGATAAATTTACCTTTGTTCACTGCAAGGGTCGTGTACGGAGGCTTGTGAGGGCTCAGTGTATGTGTCACAGTTAAAACATATACTATAGTCCTGGGACTCGATTAGGTGGACGGACAATGGGATGTTGGTGGACGGATCATGGAATGCAGGTACACTCAGCCCTCATAAGTCTCTGTATGCGCGAGTCAGCAACACTGCAGATCACCAGTGGGATAGTTGGAAATACTGGAATAGGCATATAGGAATAAGCAGGCTTCAGTATGATATACTACTTTTGATGCTTATTCTAGGGTGCTTATCCCAAATTGATGAATTTACCATTGGTGTATGATTCAACAATCGCTATGTACGTCTATCCAAGAAGTGCAAGTCCCGAACCAGGACAACATCTCAAAAGTACGCTCTCATTGCTAATATTGGGAACCCTCACCACCACGCGATGCGCGCCCTTCCTCAATCAAAGCTGAAGGAGGGCGGCCGATCATCAACTTCGGTATCCCCAAATAGTCCGCTATTGGTGCTGCTCCAATCGCAGGAGTCAGTCGTTATCTCGCTGCTGGACCAAGCTTCGCAAATGGAGCTTGGGGGCAGGTCTCCAGGGCCGGCCCAGGTGGGAAATACACTCGCCCAATCCCGGATTGTTCGACTCAGCCTCGCATCATGAATGCCCTCCACAATGGCTACCTTCGTGAGTGGACGATGCCTTTGATGGCATCTTGTTGCTACCATGTACAACACTTGCTTGATATCCTTCTCGTCGAGCTCGTATTGGGCAAGATGTCTGATTTCTCCGATGGTTAGGGCTCTGCGCTGTTTGTCTTCGTCGGGTAGGAGGGGCGTGAGACTGAGAGCATTCGTCCACATGCGGAGGCGCTCTGTTCGGGCTGGATGTGACATTTCGATAATCTGGTGAGGATAGGGTTTAAGAAGGCGGTTGCCGAAGTCGTTCAGCGGGGGGAGTGACAGTATGCTCACGGTCTCATTGTGGGAAAGCAAGAGCACGATGTCCTGGAGCACCATCTTGTCGCTGTGGGCCCGTTCCGCTATGAGGTTCTCAACGTCCGTCACTAAATCGATGCCGTTCAAGTCTTTTGCCTTTCGAAGGACATACTTGAGCCCTGCCAGCATCTCATTTGTCGGGATTGTGCTTTCGGGTCTCCAGCGCAAGATGGGCTTTTGCAGATGCATAGCGTCTACTCTGTCAGAAAGTGTAAATAGGAATTCAGCTGCGGAAGAGGACTTACAGTTCTCCGCCACATATGTCTTCCCGGTCACGGGCATGAACGGCTTTCCATACAAGCCGACAAGCGGATAGTGGTGCTCTAACCAATGTATCAGCCAAGAAAAGTCAACCTTCACTAGGATAAATGACTTTACGCCAAGGCGGAAACCTCTTGCGGTATTCCTCGATCCGGAATATTTCTTTCGGGGTCTTTGGCGTCCTTCCAAAACTGACGGTCTCGAAGACCTCGGGCCTCATAATAAAAGGTGCCGAGGGCTCAACGTCATTGTCGGATATGAGATTGACTATAACCGATAGTAAGCACACAGAGAAATGTGGAGAGGGAAGCACATGGGAGGGCATGAGATAACTCACACCATACTTTTCCCCAATTGTCGTGACCAGTCGCCCGTGTCTTGTCGTATCCAGTCGCCAGTGGATATATGTACGATAGATCTCCCAGTTGGAGTACCTGTCGGAAAGCAGCACTACCGTCGGGGAAGAACGTGCAACTCAGATAATCCAGAAGACCTTGTCCCCTTCGCTTCATTTCCCCCTTCATACGGTGCGGGTCCTTCTCGAAGCTGAGCGGGTAGAAAGGCAAGTCGGTGATTTGTTTCTTCCCGGAGAATTCTGGCATCTCGAGTTGAAGGGTGCCCCACGTGAAATTGGCACCATCGAATCTCAATACCTCAGCGGCGAGTATGAAGGCGTTATGGCTGGGTCGCTCGTGGGAGTAGGTACCGACCACTTTGCACAGGAGTCTATCCTAGAGAAGATCGTTGCCAAACCGGTTTTGGACCACGACGGGGCATCCTTTTGGGAAAAGGGTCCAGGCGGTCTGGGATGTTACCTTGCGCCCTTTTCTGAGTCGATTCTTTTCATCCCAGACTTCTGCAAACAACCAGTCCATGACGGTAATTAGTTTGCGTATGGAGCGATGGAGCGGGTTGCTAATACGTAGGGATGTGTAGTATCCCAAGATGGCATCATATGCAAAGTATAGCTCTTGAAACGGATACGTGAGGGTGATGGAAGACTCCGATTGACCTTGGACATTCTCCTTTAGCTCCAAGATGGGCATGATAGCCTTGTTGAGAAGGCGATCTGTCGACACGATCGTTTTTGGAATGCGCGACGATCCGCGCTTGATGTTACGTTTGACGTTGTCCCATCTCGTCTGGGGCTTTGGGGAGAAGGAGAAGGGAGGGAGGTGGTCTAATGCATCCAGGATCTTGAGTCAAAATGCAGCACTGTTGGGTCGACGTACGAGGCCAGATCACGGATGATTTTCTTCATCGCACCGACTTGCTTCGATAGACTTCCCGGCAGGGGAGACGACAAGATCAAGGTGCGATTGCGATACGCCGCACACACGAGTGTAGTGACATCGTACTGATGTGGGTGAAGATGGTATGATATTTGAAACAATGAATCCTGTCGGATGCGAGCGAGCGTGTTGGTAGCTGATCGATATCGATGTCGGTATTGGTGTTGGTGTTGATGTTCGGTGAATGGAGCTGAAGAGGTTGGAGCCACCAGGTGAACCAGCAGCCAAACTACGTCCGCTTTCTAACTCTCCATCGCAAGGGAGGAACAAATCACACCAACAGGGGGAAAGTGCTCCCTCACACGACAGGAAGGCACACGAAGCCTTCTGAGACGCTACACTGAACCCCCATAAGTCTCCGTACACCCCTCATTCACCAAGCGAAAAGTGCGTTTACCATAAATGGGATAAGCACGCTGGAACAAGCATTAGAGGTGACTTCGTAGATCAGAGCTGCTTATTTCAGGGTGCTTATTCTATAAGCATGGATATAGCATTGATATCCAAGAGTTTGATTGAGGCACGCCGAACGGAGACTTACGGGAGGTGACTGTACCGGGCTGCAATGTCCAATTAGAAACTGTCCAAGCTGGGTCGGGAATTCGCCAGCGACACTGATGCAATATGGACGTGAGGAATCTTCGCTTGAAGATGTTCGGCGTACCTTACTGATCATGTCCAGCTGGCTGATACGTGAGCGAACCAACTCTCGGCAGGTGCAAGCAACAAGGCGGCAACTGACAGGGCAGTCAACATAACATGGTATGCGCGAATGCTGTTTCTCGATACCAAATGCTTGCAGGTGGGCAGAGTACCGGAGTATTCTGCAGCAAGGTTCATCGGTCTGAAGAGAAGACACGATCTGTATGAAATCAGCATTATGTCATTAATAGTATCGTGAGTGAACTCCTCTAGATCTACCACAAGCAAATAAAATTCGACAAAGTGCATGCCTCAATCTTGAAGTCTCCAAACTGGCCCCGAGAACCAAACTCGCTCAATCCTGCCCATGACCCAAATTTCCTGTGTCCTCATTTCCCATTTATGCATGTCGCGCCCACGAGGCCTCAAGTCGACGATTCATCGTCAAAGTACGTCAAGACCAACGGGTCATACGTGTCGTTTCCGTAGGCGTCTCCACCGTAGGTGAGATAGCCCGCGATGTACGGTTCCGGGATCTCTTTGAGGATCGAGGCTGCGTCGCCATACACCCAGGCCGTTTGCATGCCTGCATCCATACTGGTTAGCTCCCAGTTCATCGGTGGTAAATGGCGGCAGTCAGACTCACCCATGACCATGTGCTGCAAGATGTGGCAATGCATCATCCATGCACCGACGTTGTCCTCCGTAATTCGTATACGCCATGCTCTCCAGCCCGCCGTGGTATCGGCCTCACCCTTGGCGGTGTACCGGTGGAGCATCGTGGTATCGCGTTTGGCCGGCGTGTAATTCTTGAAATGTTCTTCGTTAACCACAGCGTCGTAGGTGCCATTGCCGGAACCCAGGTCCCAATAGTGTTCGCCGTGCGCGTGCATCGGGTGGTAGTCAAAGCCGCCCGTGGGGCCCGAGTTGCTCTGCCATACAATGTCCAGCGTCTCTCCGACCTTGGCCGGGAACGCACTTGTATTCGGGTCCCAGCCTTGATTGAGCACTGCTGCGTCGTAGTCGGGCGTCTTACCTGTCACGTAGGCTTGGACCAGGTAGGGAGCGTAATGCAGCGCATCGGCCTCTAGCTCGGTCCAAGATATATCGTTTTGCCTGTCTCAATCAATATAACGGCCCCAAAAGCGAAAAAGGTAAGATGACCTACTCCCACACCAATGATCCGGTGACCGACCCATCCACATACGACCCATTGATTATATCCTGGCTCACAGTGATGAAGATTGTACGCGTCACTTCGTCGAGGGTCGGGAAGGTATCGTCGAGGTTCAACGACTCGAGTGTGTACTCCAACCACTGTGTCAAATCGCCGTCCGCGGGTAATGTAACGGGAGGCGTATCGGGGTTCTTTCCCGGTGACTTGAAGGGCACACCGCTTCCGAATCCGCCACCACCCCCATGTTTCGGGCCTAAGTTCCGCTTGGTGCTGTTTGTGGCAGCAGATATGTCGTATTGCAACAGGGCGTATCCTCCCGGTTCAGTTGGACGTCCTCGGCTCTCGTATCGAATCCAGTACTGGTCCTTGCCGTTCAACTCCGCCTCAGACTTCGCCGTCAGAAGCGCGTCAAACCGTTGCCCGCATCCGATCTGAATGTGGTCCGTAGTGGCTGGCTTTGTGTAGTATCCGTCGGCACTGATCACCGTCAAATTGGTATGATCCTCGATACCAACTTCGAAGAAAGACAAGGCAGCACCATTGACGAACCGGAGGCGATATGTCTTGCCTGGCTCTACCGTAATGACATATGGCTTACAGGAGTCGTCGGCGGCGTCGTCGAAGGAAGCGGTGCCTGAGCGGTCGTTGAGAGTCAGACAGTTGGGTTCGCCTGACCACTCGAAGGGTACCGCCATAAGACCATCTTCTATTACTTTGTCGGTCTTATTCCAGAAGTCCCCGAGCATGATCGGGATATCCTCGTCATATTGGTACGGTGGTGCTTCACGATCTTCGACGAAGAGGATTCCGTGGGCGGTTGAAGCTTGGAACCCAATGTGAGAGTGATAGAAGTAAGTGCCGGCGTCACCATCTTCGGGATGGATCTCATAGTCAAAGTAATCGCCCGGTCCTATGGGCCACTGCGACACCAAGGGCGTCCCATCTGAGAAGGGTGCTGTCCGCATGGTGAGTCCATGCCAGTGCTACAGGCAGTGCTGTCAGATTAACCGATCGTTTTATCTCGTGAATGGAAATGAGATAATACGTACCACTGTCAGATTCAGGTCAGTCATCTCGTTGAAGACTCTGACCCAGGTGGTTTCGCCTTCTTTGAGGTATAGGGGAGGCCCGGGAGAAGTGCCATTGAACACGACTGAGTACCTCTGCTGGCAGTCGACTGTGATGTCTTGTGATGTAGCAACCAGCACATATTCGGGCTGCCATGTACCGTCATGGAGGGAAACATCTGCGGCGAAACATGTCTGCAGAATTCCCACCTGCAGCAACAACGAAGGCACAATTCTAGAAACCCGCTTCATCTTCAAGGAAGGGGACGGATGTGCTTGTCAGAAGAACCAGCCAAGAAGTCAGAGGGGTCTTGCACTGGCAGACGACCACAATCTTATACCATGGCAATACAAACTCACCGGGGGATAGGAAGGCCGATGGGTAGATACTGGGAGGCAGAGATCGGGACTTGCGGGTCGCGAGGAGCAGCAAGGTGATCAATCTCCATCCTCCCCATCCTTGCCGAATGCACGGCTGGGCAGGGCCAGGGGTCGGACCACTCATCTGCGGCGTGCAACTCTCAGCTCAGCTCGAAGGATCATCGTCAGGCTAGCCGCTTAGGCCGCTTAGACGAACATTACCTAGACCTAAAAGTGTGAGAAACCCGTGTGGCTGGAACAGGAAAGAGTGAAAGAGTGAGAATGCCCCTCGAACAGGCGAATACCTAAAGCGTAGTGGCGTCATTTCTGATGCTGGTCTGGCATGGGAAATGCTGCGGCTGGGCCGCCTGTGCCGCCTGTGCCTCACAAACACTGTACTGCTGACCGGCTATGACTGGGTAGTCGCTAGCAATCGTGGCAAACTCTCACTCATGAGAGCACCCCAAGAGACGAGCGCCTCCTGCTGGGCCACCTTCATGACCCAATGGCAGTCGGTGAAGTACGAAGAAGGTAGCGATGCAAGCGTCGACAGTTGACTTGGCGATCCAGAACTACCTGGCCTCCAATCACGGGGTGCTCCGGTATCAAGCGTCTGCACGTATCGATCCTCGTCGTCCCACGACGTACTGTTGTGGCCTCGGTGTTGGAAGCGTAAGCATACAGAGCCCCACCTGTATATTGCCCAGGTACACTTCGTCCGCGGGAGTGGACATGGTCAAGGCATAAAGGCAAAGGAAGGAAACCTCCGAGGAACATAGAAGGCAGTCCGAATATCAAGAGCTGGTCCAAGCCCGGAGCGTTGAGGGCGCGGTCGAGGGCTGGTTGTTGGGCAGTCGTCCGAAGAAAGATGCTTGCCGACTATGACTACAGTGAGCAATGCACAAGGGCCCGCCGTCTAACAAGACCCTCATATGCCCGGATCGGCAATTGAGATGTCCAAACAGGAGGCGGGGGTTTGGTTTTGCCAGCCAGGCGTGCCAGGAGCATCGTTGTAGAATGGGGGCAGGAACACCTAGGAACATGAGGAAGAAAGCTTAAAGAAGACACCTGAGACCGGCGCGGTCAGAAGGTCGGTGCGATTTGAACTCATTAGGGTAGCCTCGGATGCACATGCCGGGTGTCAAGGTCTGCGGGGTGGGGAGAACCGCCCTTCAATGCCTGAATGCCCAGCCACGATCGCTTACACAGCACCGCCACACAGGCACAGGCACAGGCACAGGCACAGGCACAGGTCGTATATACTCCTGGAGGATCAACTTCCCTGCCTCCCGTCATGGGGAGATTGGAAACTACCACTACCAGCAGCTGGCGTTGGAGGTGCTGACAGGTCACAGAGCTCTCATTTAAGCACGTATTGTCAATTGTCAGCGTTCCGTTCATCTAATAATAACATACCTAGGTAACTACCTAGTATCGAGTTTGCCTCTCAAACACCTTTGCATGCATGTGTGCACATAGTGCATCGGGTAGAATTATGTATTTTAGAACCCCCACCCCCCACCCCCCACTCACCGCTACCCGGCAGCCCTGGCAGCTGGCCTGGTCGCGAAGTCAATCTTGGGCGGGGGGCGAGGGCGGCTTCTCCTAGGTACTCAACGACGACATGGAAGCTTTCCTCGTTGATGGTGTCGCCCGTCCCCAAGGTCATCCCCGCCTGATGTACAACCATGATTTCGACTTTGCCTCTGTCTATTCAGGCTATTGCCGTCATCACGAGACGAACCTCGGGAAGCGGGCCTTTGCATTCACCGCCTCGCCGTCTCATCGCCGGAATACCGTCGTGCGACGTGAGACATGCATGCACGTGCCACCATACAAGGTGCAGGTCGCCCATCATCAGGCTGGGCGAGGGCGACACTCTCACCCGTCAAATCTTGCGACATCTCACAAACTCGCGCCCAGCGGACAGCGGACACCAGCGATAGCCCTCCCTCACGTGGATGTCTGTCCCAGTCGGGCCGGAGCAAGCAGTCAATACATATATGTAGTGTCCCATGAGTTTTGGCCGACACGCGACGAACGGGCACTTCAGGGGGGATACCGGGGCTTGGAGTTCCCCGTCTGTGAGACTCGGAAATCTAGACTTCATCGTTGTGAGGTCATGGCAGCGGTGCACGAGCTATGCAGGAAGACCCTGATTGCTGCAAGACACGGATTGAGTTCATCGGTACTCTATTATGCCGCATTAACCACCTTGATGCCATCATTGCTCAGACATCCCCAACCACGTCCTTCGATCTCCTCATATGACATTATCATCTCCAAGTCTTCCAACTGATATCACAGGACGGCATCGACATCATCGACGATGTGAACCTTGATGCTGAGGCTCTTGACATCAGCGCACAGCTCAAAGGCATCTAGAGCCTCCTCGAGCGGAAACCTGTGCGTCACCAGCTTGTTCAGATCTAGGATCCCGCCGCTAAGACACTGGATCGCAGCAGGCCATGTGTCTCTGTATCGGTTGATGAATTTGAGGTTAATCTATGGCGCACGTGTCAGCTGTCTATCGATGCCCATCGGCTCATGTCTCTGGCGGTAATACTTACCTCTGCCAACGACAGATGCATGAACGGGATATTGTTCATGACGGGTCTACCGACGCCAATTACCACTACAACGGACCGTGTCAGCTCCCATCGGGATAGTGAGAAACATGTCTCGGTGATGTGGGCATCGCGAAGTGGTTCCAGAAGGGCTAAGCCACCACGAGATGATACAGATGCGGCTGGATCAGCGTCCGGAGAAAGACTTACTGACAGTGCCTCCTCTTCGGACAGTGAAAGCTGCTGTACAGACGCTGCTCTCAACACCGGTACACTCGATCACCGACACAGGCGCCGAATATTCGTCGTCTCCGTACAACTTTCTGATCTGCCTGGCATTCTCTTCGGCGCTGAGCTTCGTGCTGACCTGGTATGTCTCACACCGCGGAACAAAGTCCTTGGCGAACTCGAGGCGCCGTGGGTCAATATCCGTGATGACGAGAGGGTGAGCTCCGGATGCTCGAGCCGCAGCCAACGCGACCAGGCCGATGGGACCAGCGCCGCATATGAGAGCAGGTCTTCCCAGCCGGACTCCTGCCCCGCTGATGCCATGTAATATCACACTGAGAGGCTCAAGCAGCGCGCCCTCGGAATATGACAGGTGGTTTGGGATTCTGTCCAACTCGTTAGTTCCGCTCCCTTATATGTCACTCGGACCTTGGACTCTGTTGCTCACTTATACAGCCACTTCGCTGGGTGGACTTTATACCGCTGAATCGTCCCAGCATCAGGCCATATTCCAGAGAATTCGACATCTTCGCAGAGATTATACCGGCCTTCCCTGCACAGGAAACACCTCTCGCACGGCACTTGGGGCTCGACACCAACTCTATCCCCTGATCACTCACTTAGCAGGCTGGTCACTTGCTCAATGGGATCACTACCACCCAAGATCAACCTCAAAGAAATATCTGTGGCAAGACGCACCTGGTTTGAGATCGGTGACACCTTCACCGCACTTGAGGACGATACCAGCAGCTTCATGCCCCAAGATACAGTCCCCTTTGACTTCGAGAGAGCCGATGCGCCCTGATTTCCACAGGTGCATGTCTGATCTAGAAAAGAGGTAAGTAATATACACGGAGCTCTTGAGACTGAAAGGGAGGAACTTACCCGCAGATTCCTGAGCACTTGATCTGCAACGTCACCTCGCCTTTCCCTGGCTCCTGGATAGGAGCGTCAACCATTTTGATATTGTGGTCCTCAGTTACTTGCAGCGATGGGTTCCTGAAGCTCGTAGCATCTCGACTGGGTACACGGTCCGCTCGACCATTCCCATGGCCATTTGCTTGATCATTGGTGTAGTCATTGGAATGACCATTGGTGTAGCCGTTGGAGTGGCCATTGGTGTAGCCATTGGAGCGAGCATTGGTGTAGCCATTGGGATGACCATTGGTGTAGCCATTCAAGTGACCGTCTAGGTGGCCGTTAGTAGGGCCATTGAGATGCGTGACGTCCATCGTAGCGTGAGTGGCTCAATATTCATGGAAGTCCCGATTTGAAGAGGGAACTGACTAGGTCGAGGGGATCGATTCGACTATTTAACCAAGAACCGGACGGCGGGAAGCTCGTGGGAACACACACCGACGACGAACTGAGGTTCGACTTATAACCCCTCCCCAACGCCTAGTGGTGATGTGAATCTACACCTCGGAATGCCGAATTAAGACATCCCGCCATCGATATCTGACGATGGCAGTTATCACCTGGTAATCCCCGGCCCCATGTGGAGAGGAGCTGACCCTAAAATAGCCCCGGGCATGAACCTCGCAACAGTCAATGGTCTAGAGTGTCGCCTCCTTGCCCGCATGCGGCGCTCGTCAGGCGCCGATAGGCGGGCTGCAACCTCCAGCCCTCCACCTGCGGCCTTCGCTGGGTCTGGGACAATGGGGACGAGAGGTGGTGTCACGGTTGCATTGCATCATGCACCCTCACCTCATACTCCTCACCGGTGCCAGTCTTTAGGGTTTTTCACGCGCGGGGTTTTATTGATCAATGGGGGCCGCGATAAAAGAGGCACATACGCGGCGACGATATCATGCCTCTTCGTACCTCATTCGCCAGTTGCTCGAGGCCTCCCATATTACTATCTCACGACAGGGCCAAGTGGTTAGGTTATCATATCCTGCACCTGTGCTGAAGACCCGCGACGATCCACACGTCTATCCGCTTTCGAAGACGCGCATAGAGCTGGATGCAAGCATGCGCGGCAGCAAAAAGACCTCACTGACTGCCTAACCCGTAACGACCATTGCCTGCCGCGAACCGATGCTTCGGTTGCTCCCGGATAGTCTAACCCGAGCCTCGAACACTTCCGGCATCCGTGGAGCCACTGCTGCTGCGACCATGGCCTCAACCCTACCACTGCAGCAGTCCAGCGGCGGGCTTATTACCGGCAAGGAGAACCACATCGGATACGGCAAGACGGCAGTGGGCGGCCTCATAGCCGAGACTACAGAGCCCATCGGGAGGATCAAGCCGGAGCAGGTGCCCAACAAGCATATGCTCGTGCTGTAGACGTTGAGGCTGCTCATAGCGGACCCATGCCATCATGTCAATGGCGGACATCCCAGGTAAGAGCAGCACTGTGCCGGAGTCGAAGTCTCGAATATGACTGAACTGACGATGAGGCCTGGTCTTCAGCGGGATGATTGGCATAGCCGCTATTGGCGTCGCCCTCTGGAAATACGTGATACGATATGCTCGCCGTTCGTCTGACTAGTTCAATACGACCGCTTCGTGCTCCCGAACGGTAAGGCCAGGTGGCCTCGTCTATTGCAATGCAGGTATTTGCGGCAATAATTCGCTGAAGCTGTGCTCAGGTGATGCATGCCGCTTCCCATACACATTCCTGCACCCGATTCACCCTCAAAGCAGCTGCAGTCGTACCACTCAGCCTACCCCGACGCCCGGTGCCTGGGGCATCCGGAGTGGGAAATCGAAGGCACCGGAGTGGCGACAGGCCCGCTGGCCCAAGACGTGGCCCACGCCGCCGACCTCGTCATGACGACCAAGAACCGCCGCGACGTACGGCCGCCCCTCTTCGAACGTCGTCTCCAACATGACTTCTGCATGGTCGGCGACGCTTGCCTGAAGGAGGGCATCGGGCTGGATGGAATCTCGTTCACGGGCCATTTGAGGCTGAACAACCTCGTCCGGATCTAGAACAACAGCCAAATTCATTGGCGACGGCTCCATCGGCCTGGCCAACATTGTGCACGTCAGCGCCGAGATGTGCGCCTGCGGCTGGGCCGTCGTCGTGGTTGCCAACGGCTCATACGGCTTCGGGGGCATTATCGAGACGCTACGGCACGCCCGGATGGGGCAGACTGAGAAATCTACGTTTGTCAATATCTGCACTATCGTCGGTCTCGGCAGCGCCGTGGCGGGTAATGCGGTTGCGCATGGCGCGACATCGGACGCGGAGGAGTCACTGATACTAAGAGGGCCTGTGGATTTGACCCCGAGACGCGCCTCGTCGTTGGGCAGTAGGTGCGGGATTTCTTCAGAGACCTGCATGCGTGCGGCGAGGGTTCCATGGAAGAGTAGAATAGGCTCGTTGACGGCTACTCGGAAGCACACCCGGAGCTGGCGATGAAGTTCAGGGACCATGTGCTGGGCATGCTGCCCGCGGGACTGGAATCATCTTATTCCCGAGAGCTCCCCGGACAAGATGACGGCTTCGCGGGTGTCGTCAGGTATGGTATTCAACCCGATCGTGCAGAAGATCAAGACCGCCTTGGTCTGCACGGCAGACCCGTGGCCGTCGGTCAGTATGGTGTGGTCGGATAAGGTGGGGTTTCACAATGTGAGTCGTGCTCCCATCTAGCCTACCGGTTTTCAGGGATGTCCGAAGCGGGATGTGAGAGGAGAGCCCCGGTGCCTAAAATCCCTCACAACCCAACCTCCGCACCCAATGCGGCACCAAGCGACCTACGCCGCCCGCTACACCGAACCCCCAGGTGTCTCCGTACATCCCGTACGCAAGGTCTTGGATATCTCGGTGTGTCAATCCTGTGGATAAGATCACTTCTGGAATGAACATTGAAGATTACTTGTTAGATGTAGCCGCTTGTCCCAGGGTGATTATCCTTCTATCTACTTTCTATCAATAAGCGTGCCCTTGATGTGCTCCTACGGAGACTTATGAGGACTAACTGTGTATTCACTACGGCGGCACCGCCAACGGGCTCGCGGCTTTTGGCGCCGGCACCGTCATCCCCGTGAACTCGCCCTCTTCGTATTCGACCTGTACGCGGCCCCGACAGTCCGTATGAGCGCCCTACAGTCCCTGCCCGTCATCCACGCCGCAGCCCACGACAAAATTGGCACGGTCAACAACTGCCTGGACGCTTCCACCCGATCGAGCTCTCCGCGCTCGGTGTACCGCGTCATGCCCTACCTCTTATAGCTAGCTACATCCCGCCCAGTGACGGCGAAACGGTTCGCTGTCGCGTGGATCGCTGCGCTCGAGGTTGGTTGCGTGCGCCGAGGGCCATGCCGGGGATCATCTCGACTGGTCGGCATAAGATCCCACAGCTGCAGCGGACATGGCGGAGGGCGTGATGAGGCGTGTTTATGTGCTTCAGGAGGCGGACGTAACCCTCATCAGCGTCGGCGCCAAGCTCTCCTTCACCCTAGACGTGCGCGCCGAGCTACACCGAGCTTCACCAATCCACCCCCAACATCCGCGCGCGCGTATGCGCACAGCTTGCCGGACTCCGAGTTATTGAAGTACTCTGGGTATGAGGATGATGGGTTTATGGCCGGAAAGTTGCGCGGTGCTTGGAGAGCGTTGAGGCGGATCGAGGATTGCGGTTGCAGTTGGAGTTTCTGTTGTTGTGAGGTTAGCACACTAGTTCTCGCAGATGTGTGGTTGCAGGATTGCCGGGAAAGACGTGTGACGGAACCGGTGCAGTGATGTATAGGATGGAAGGAAGGAATACTTTGAGTGACTATGGTTACGCTTTCGGGTGGAAAATGAGCCTGTACGTGTGATCTCCTGACGGATTCAGGATGTCTCGGGGTAATTAATGGTCGATGGTATCGAGATTCCTCGGAAAGTCGGTTCGACGTCTGAGAGTCGGGTAAAATGGTCGACGATCACCTGGAGGCCGAGGCGGGTATGGGGGGGTGTGTACCTGAATATTCGCTTCTAGTCAGGTACGTATGAGTGTTTCGTGGCGTGTACAGCATGGCTCCCAGATGTAGGGAGGAACATAAATAGCTTCAAACAGACGGGTGCAGAATCTTGATATACAACCAACAATCACTGCTCCTTGTTTCGTAACGCATTCGTGTGGCGCCATTATCTCTCCACCTTGAGTACCAGCATCGTGACAGTTGCTGTGCACGCTTGTTATGTAAACTCAAACCTCAACCGTCTCCCTACACGCTGGAATCAAGGTCCTAAACCCTTAGGGGTATTTTCGTCTTGTGTTATACGCACCGTTGAGCAAGCAGGAAGCAATGCTCATGAGAATCTACATGCTAATCACACTGTGCTTATTCCACTGCATCAGAAAAGTTCTTCCATAGGCACAGTGAGGTTTCACACATAAACAAACAAGCACGGAGGATGAGAGAACAGCATTGGTCACGATTCGTGTGACAGCGCAGGGAATGATTATTATGCTACCACGGTATTCCCAGCTCTCAATAGGTACCTTGTTCCCGAATATGCAGGCACGCCGTGCCTCAGTGGCGATGCTGAAGAATTGACTCGTGAATGAAAACCCGGATTGGGAATCAGGGAAAATGACCATGAATGCAAACCCGGATTGAAAACCAGGCAAGACGACCACAAATGCACCCCCTCTAGCTGTACGAGATGCGCGTTTTGGTTCACGCTATCGACCCGTGGCCGCCACAGGCTTCTCGTTGCGTGTTTGCCTAATTGGGACACTCTGACGAAAGCCCAACAAGACCACAATGAGCGGCCACTTCGTCCAGCATGGCAGTCGAGGGCAAGAGAAGCCACCTACGCCATCCGTTTGGCGATTTTGTCGTTGACTGTCCGTGGAGAAAAGGCGCGATCGTCTCGGGTGAACTGTTCCTTGATGCTCTGAAGGGAATCCCTGTGGAAGAGGGGCCACCGTGCATCATGCATCTAGGCATATTTGGAAGCACCGTACGCTCCCGACACGGTGTTAGGGAATACACCGGCAGCACGGTTGAGGCCACGGAGAGGTTCGGGAAGGGATCCGTTCTGCAGGGTCTCGATGTACTCGTCGAGGACAGCAGAGGGGTTCTCTACCTCCTGAGCTCGGGTACGAGTCAGCCAGTACTCGAAGGGTCCTTCTATACGAGGGTCAGTATCTGTATCTGTATCTGTATCTAAGGCATCTAAGGTCTAAGTTAGGTAAAGACCGGGTGAGTGAGACTTACTGTTCTGCGCGAGCGCATCTCCCAGCTCGCGGCATCTCTCCTGGGGCGTGTGCTCCGTGTGCATGTCGAGGAAGTGGTTCATCATCTTGGAAATGTCCTTCAGCGGCCACTTGCTAGCTTCACTAGGCACGCGACTGGAGCCGGCATCGAGATATTTCTGAGCGGTGCACAGGTGGCACATCCAGTAGCCCAGGCGCTGGACCGTGCTCGATGGGTTGCTGGCCGGGGCGGCCACGATGGTACCGCCGTTGTCGGTCACACGTGAATCGCCCTCTTCTGCTTCGTTTTCGTCACTGTCGTGCTTCTGGAAACGCGGCCGCTTGTTGCTAGACGGGGTGGCTGCCGCGCCGCTGCCGCTGATACTGGGCCGCTTGTTGCTAGAGGGGGGTGCTGCTCCTGTTCCGCTGCCGCTGACACTGGGTCGACGGTCGTTGCTGGGTGTGCTGACTGAGCGGTAGTGCTTGACGGGCCTCATGGCCATGGGGACGGCACTGAGGGGTGTTGAGGCAGCTTGAACGAAGCCCCCGCTGGCGCGTACCTGGGCGTCGATGTGCTCAATGCGGTGCTGGCAATGGCGGATGTTGTGGCCGCAGTCCAGAATACGGATCTGCAAAGTCCGAGTCTCCTGCGGGGTGAGGTCGGGCAGCGAATCGAGGTTGTCTCGGCAGAAATTGACATCGTATCTGTACGCGTTGATGTCCTCGACCATCTGGCGGCGTGTGATGACATTCAGGTCGATAGCAGCCTCATAGTCCACCGGGTTCTTGCCTGACTTGAAGCCAGCAGGCGTGCCATGAGAAGATTGATTGCCATTTGCGAAGTCCATGTCGCCGTAGGAGAACTGTCTGCAGGTTAGCCGCCGAGTTCCTAAAAGAAGTGTTTGTGTCCGGATGAGCGAGGCTGCTGTTTGGGTGATGTTTGCATCATAGAGTTACTCACATCAACGATTTCGGCGAGGTCGGGAATGACTCGGTTGATCTTGCCTTGGATGTTGTTGCGCGACATGGCGTGTGCAAACAAACAGAAGCTGCTTGGGGTTGTCGTTATTTTAATCGCTGATTGAAGACAAGTCAGTTTGGGCCCTCCTCATAAAATTCTCAAGCTTAGGTACTTCTTCTGCACAGACCGTGCTGCGCTTGGTTGCTGTGCAGTACACGATTCTCCGACCCAATCCGGATTGAATCTGTTGAGGCAAAGAATTTGTGACGCGGCTGATTAACGAAAAGTGGACGAAAAATTCCGAGCTGGGGGATGCCTAAGGGTCGGTGCAGGATGTGGCTTAATTGTCGAGTGAACTACTCCAGGTAGACTAGGCGATTGCAGACAATGGTGGTGAGAGGGGCAAGCAGTAGACAATGGTGGTATTTAATCTCGGGTATGTGGTGGGGGAGTTGAGCTACATTCTCATTCAAGGTCAATGCTTGGTATGCTCAGGCTGCGAGAAGGACAAAAGGCTATCAATTGATGATGCGATAATGGATTACATGTACGGATGAGATGGAATACAACTTGGCGGACGTGCTCAAGACAAACAGACACTGGTGGTTGATGAGATCAATGATGGGAAGCCCAGGTGTGAAATCTGACAGGAGGAGGACAGAATCTTCTCAGGTCTCGGTTTTCTTTTTTCCCGGACTTTTTGTTTTATTTCCTTTGGCTTTCTTTTAGCTATTGCATAAGCTTCACCCGACCCGGTCCAGTCCTCCAGCTATTGCACCCCTTCATTGCCGCTTTGGCCTCTTTCATTGCCTGATATCAGCCTCCTTCTTTTGATTATTAGAACATTCCCCCTCAACTATGTACTCACCTCTTCTCCTGAGAGGTAGGATAAAGGGGCAACCAGGAGTATTTCTGTCTTCTGTTCGCTGTCGCCCCAAGCTTCCAGAACCCCACCAACAGCTCCGGGTCCACATTCACACTAATAAGCGGGTGGCAGCAAACACTTGCATTTTTACCGACCTTGCAATTTGGAAACGAAGGTGTAGGCTTTCATTAATGCTCTGGTAATCCAATGGCTTTGTCTGGGCTATCACAGGATTCGCTGCTCGTCCTCTGGTAGGTATTGAGCAACCTCAGGGGGCTGGCAGGAGATGCCCTCGCTATGCTCCGATAAGTGGAAAGCCTCTTTAACCTGATCGTCCCCCTTGCCCACTGCCGGCTAGATGCATGGACTGCAACATAGGTTGTGACACCACTTCCGCTCCGCCCACTTATTCCGCCCTGGTGTCGGCAGACTACCTACATGACGTTGAACCCTTTTCAGTGAGCTTGTACTTCCAAAGCGACACCAAGATGGACCAAGATGGATCAAGTACATCATCTAGCTTATCATTTTCAAGATGTATCAATCAGGACTACCATAATTGGTATGTACCTACCAAGGGTTCAATTTCCCAACGTTGGAACTCCAAGCTATGGCATCCTCCATGGCCTTATGTACTCCCACGTTTCTGCGTCATTTACGGGCCATGTCTCGCGTGCTTGCTCTTGTGCCTCAACCACTCTCCATGAATTGTGCATGAACGGAACGGGAAGAATCGCGACCGAGATGCAAGCCAGCGTCGAGCTCGCCCGGCTCTCATACATCGCCGTCGCGAATAGGGGCTGCATCAACCAGTCAGCAAGGTGGCCAAGAACAAAGAAGAGGAAAGATTCACGGATTCAACAACAATGCCCCTCTTGAGGAAGACATTACCAGCCGAAATCGAGGCCGCCTTGTCAGGAAACGCATCGCTCAAATAGTTCATGACCGAGTTGAACAGAAGAACGCACAAATGCGCATACAGCGCGACTCGGTCACTGAAACAAAGTAAGACAAACCGGGATCGCAAACGCGGCCACGAACGAAGGCGGCAGCCGCACTCGGGCTTCAGCTGGCCATCCTCATTGAACTGGGGCTCGATGTACTGGTACTGATACCAGCAGGAGGGCGGAAGCACGGCATCCACACACCAACAAGAATCCCCAGGAGGGCCACGCCCTCGTGCCTGAGGCTGAAGCCGTAATTTTCAGTGAACAGGATCGGGAGGCCCTCGGACCAGGTGTACAGTAGGCCGTAGACGAGCGCGATGTACATGTCCAGCGCAAGCACGATGCGGCTCGGCGAACAGTAGCATGAAGGGGCGCACCAGCGCCATCGTGGTCGTGTCCTTGCCCGTCATGTCCACGCCTGCCGTCTCAGGCTCCGAAATGAGTCCTTGATTTCCGTCCAGCTTGCGCAGGCGCTGCGTCCGGCGTTGCAGGGTGTTGGCCGAGCTGGTCTCGGCACAACCTTCCGGTCCTTCTCACCACACATGACAACATCATGGGTAACCCGCGTAGCCGACGACCCGCGCGAAGGACCCTCCAGCATCTCCGGCCCCAACGACGCTCTCCCGTGCCTCAACCGTCCCCCGAAGACGTCTGCCCATGCGCGGCGATTTCGATACTCGTCGACTTCCGGGCGTGTACGTATTCAGCCCTTATCGAGTCATCGACCTCCTCGGAGTACCAGAAGGAGCGGCCGACGATGAGCAGGCGCACGATGTTCGCGGGCGAGTTCTTCTATCTTTGGGGGTGGCAGGAATTCATGTGTTAGTCGAGGAGATGGCACCCAGTTCCAGACTCTGGGAGGCTGAGGACCTGAAGAATACTTGCTGCGACGCCGATAGGTACGCCAAAGGTGGGTGGGGGGGGGGGGGGGGGGGGGGGGGGGTCTCGTTTATATATGATATTGGGCGTGAAGGGACATCACGGAATACGTCACATGTGATATGTATCGCAATGAACTAGTACATTGAATACAGTCATTCATTTGAAGTGATGCTCTATCACGACGTTATGGATTACCAATATGCGACTTACCTCACCACCTACATTACGTGACCTACCTACCTTACCGACTACATGCCTCTCGAGCCTCATCACGCACTGGCGGTATCCAGGCTCCAATCCGAGTCCGGGATCCCAAGACAAGACAAGCATAGGGAGGGAAGAAATAGTTGAGGTTCATTTGCCCAAACCTCACGACATCACTGTGGATGGAAAGAAGAGCGCGATGGCTTCTGACTTCACAAGCCCCCCAGCCCAAAGCCAATCCCACAAACCACAGCAAGATAAACGTCTACATCCTCGAACTCACCGCACTGAAGACCCGGACGATATCTATGACGTTGAGATAGCGTAAGCCAACAAACGATGGACCCAAGCGCTCGGAACACTCATGAAAGTTTAAAAATGCGCCTGCTTTTATTAGCCTCATCGCCTCGTGCCAGCCTACCAGTAGCCTTGGACCTGTCAATCGCAGCGTACCTAGACGTTTCCTCACTCGCCCGACTACCTGACGATAAATATGCCCAATCGTGCTGCATACGCTTCGAATAGGACCGACGATGGCGTCCTGTCAGATGGATGATCGGGGTAGGTGCTTGCATGGGACGATCACGGCCGCACGTGTCATCAAGAGAACAGGTTCTACTCAAAAACGAAGAAACGATATGTGCGTTCAGACATGATTCGATCATGGATATCCAGCATCGCTCATGAGTTGTAAAATAACATATTCCTAAACGCCTCGCCAATGCAAATGAGAGCCTGTCCAAGCCTGGCAGACCAAGAACACCCCAGCCTATGCGCCGCCAAAAGGTGAAGAAACACAGCAAACATCGGACCTAACAAGCACGCCCAATGAGAAGCCCTTCGCACGCACGGTCGACTGTACGCCCACCCATTCCAGGGACCGTGCGTAGTTGTGTCAGCGAAGCGATGAGACCACCATCTCCCTCGGACATCAACTCCAGGTAATCCACCAGGTCCCTTGCCTTTTTGGGTCCGAACCCTTGCAGACTCATGATCATGGCGACATCCCTCGAGTTGATGATATCCAACAGGTCCTGTGACGATGGTCCATCCTCTATCGTGGATATAGGCGCTACTTTCACGGCTCGTGACTTCTTGCCCTTCTTCTTCCTCCCTACGAAGCTCTCGTCATCAACGTCTGCCTCAGCGCCGATGTAGTCGTCGATGTCTTCAGCCTTTCGGCTGGACTTTTTGGCTTTCCTCTCGACGGGTTGCTCATCGTCATCTCTCAGATCGCTGGCTTCCATGTCACGGCCGTCCTTCTTATCCTCAAGTCGAGCTTTTAGCTTCTCGATTTTGCCGATGAGCTTCGCCTGACCTGGGAAGAACGGCAATGCCATCTCGTACATCTTCAGTGCGCTGGCATCTTGACCACGCTCCTTGCGTTGCCGCGCCATTAGCAGAAAACGTAAACCCTCCGAGCGCGTGTCGTCATGCCGTCCGTCTTCAATACGCCTCTCCAAAGCCTCGAGGCGCTTCTGTACCTCGTCGTTGACCTCCGGCGGCACTGGTGCAGACTGAGTCCGGGAAGCCAGGATCTCACTGACTTTCTTCTCCACCATCGCCTCGATCAGATCTGCCGATATCGCTGGCTGGGAGGGTTTCGCGTGCCGAGGCACAAGGGTCGGACGTGGGATCTCTGGGCGAGTGATCTTGGAAGGTCGGCTACCACCATCTGACTCGGAAATCCGCTTCTGTGTATTGGTGTTGGAGGTTCGCTTGATAGCAGTGTTCGCGCCGGGTCGAGATGTCGGTATAGGCTTCAACTTATCGGTATAGACATTGAAGGCCTTGACTGGACGGTCGGAAGGTTTGGACTCTGCTGCCGCCGCTGCTGCTACCGCTCCCGAATGAATGTTATGCGCATTGGCCAGCGGCCGCAGAGGCTGGCGAGCCATGCCTGTGGCGGACGAGTTCGAGTTCATCCGCGGCGCTTGTTTGTAGACAATCTCATTCTCAATCTCCCGCACTTCGATTCGCTTCGCTCTTGAGCTGACATTGAGACTGCTGAGTGTATCGAGGTGGTAGCTGCGCAGTGGAGCAAGGTTGAGGATCATGATGGTAATGCCGTTGTTCTGGCCAAGGGAAAGGATGCGCGTCATCTTGGATTCCCTGAAAGGAATGCGGCGCTCGCCTCTGGAGATGGCATCTATGCACTGGCTTAGCACGAACAAACTCTTGTTGATTGCAGCAGACTCGACGAGTCTCTCTTTGCCATTGTCAGTCCGTCGGTTATCTTCGGATCCAGCCAAATCAATGGCTGAAGCCGTGCTCTCATGAACCATATCTCCAGTAACCTGTGTGACCTTCACCCGCAGGATCGCGTGACTTCTGCTGCTGTGCGCGTTGAGCTTGGTGGCTGCCGTCACGCGGTTGATGTTGGACTCGATATATAAGCGTTCGAAATCCTTCAGCTCCTCGCAAGGGCGCTCCGACAGACCCGCGACGACTGTCTTGCCATTGGCCTCGGCGCGTAGGGGCAGACCCGAGGGCGTTCGCTTCTCGAGCGGTTCGAGGAGGTCGAAGACCTTGTCGTTGTAGATCTCGTAGTAAGAAAGCGCGACAGACACGGTGGTGTCGCCCCCTGAGTCCTTGGTGATCTTCTTTGCTCTACGAAAGACACCACTAAGGAGTCGAGGGATGACGCCGCGCTCCGCCAGTTTCAACCCGCCACGCATTGTATGTGTCTTTCCGGTTCCGGTAACACCATAGGCGAAGATCGTCACGTCGAGGCCTTGGAAGAGGGATTTCAGGTGAGGAGCGACTGTTATTCCGGACGTGTCAGTCAATGCTGGCAACGTTGAAAGACGTGCAAGGGGATAAGGCTCTCGAGGTCGACCCAACGCGTACCTTCTGCTGTAAACAAGTGTTCCTGGGTAGCCTGGTTGTCGTAGACGCTGTTGAAGGCAAAGGAGAACTCCTCTGCCTCATTCTTCGGACTTGGGATCTTGACGACATTGCTGGTCTTTCTATCGTCATTACTGGCGGCGGTGACGATGATGTCCTTGTCCAGCTCGCTTTCCAGCAGCGGACGTATTCGTGCGACGACCCTTACAGACATTGTGCCGTTCAATTGGGAGAGCAGGGTCAATTGGCGCGTGTGAGGACAGAGTCATGCAATCCTTGGTGTTATCAAGTACGGGTATGATGTCGAAGCTTTGGTTTTCAATAATGGTGTGTGTTATGGCTGCAATTATCAATACCAGGTATTTGGTGTAGTGCAGAGCCCAGACAAACCGGCAGTTTCACTATGAATTGAAAGTGGAGCGGTCGTTGCTAGGGAGCAACGCCCCATCAAACCCCGAAAATCGCTCCCGAGTGCCCGTCGGCCGCTAAACTCCCACTGGGACATGCAGTGGTTAACGCCGACGCGCCGGGCCACACTCAACACTTCCCAGGTCTCTCAGTCTCTCGCCTGGCTGGACCTCAACTTCGTTAATTCGGTTCGTCTCCGTCAATATTATCTATGTCAATATATATATATACTATCATATGAAGGATCGCAATACCCTATCGCTCTTGCTCCTAGCAAACGATTATACTCACGAATCACGTTCTGTCTTATGAGACAGGCAGGTCGCATCATGGCATTACCTATGCACCAACCAGACCTTAACAGCTACGTGGTGTGGCTATGCAGTGTGAGGCAGCCTGCATGACAACAGGATGGTCACCTGCCGAGTCTAGGTACGGTCGCATGTCGACATCACCTGCCTGCTAGCTGTTTCGTGTGAATAATCCAAGTCTCTCGCCATCAATGAGCATCCAGCTGCCTTCGCCATTCTCTCCTATCGACCCTAGCTAGCCAGGTTGAACACCTCAATCCGGCCAGTGGCCCAGAGAGTCTTACATTATGTCGTTCGGCTGGTCCGCTGGCGACTTGCAGCCGCCCTCACCCTTTCATACAATCTCCACGAATCACTAGACAGCTGTGATGGAGCGGCTGGCGAATACCGCGAGGCTATTTTCTTCCTCAACGACCTGAAACCCACCCTGGAGCCTCTGAGAACATTCACGGCATGGAACGCATACCCGAGCTATGGGAAGCAGATACGAGACCAGGTGGATTTCATCAAAGGCCCCGTTGACGAGTTTCTTCGGGCAGTCCTCAAATACGAGCCTAGCCTAGGCACAAAGGCTAAGGATGGACACCATCGGCACGTACTACGGAAGTTGCAGTGGCATGTTTCCATGTCAAAGAAGGTGACGGCGCTGAGGAGCAAGATTGAGTCGCACATGCGCATTCTTGACTCTTTGATGAAGAGGCTGACTCTGTACGTCTTTCCTGGCAAAGTTGAGAGCTTATAATATCGCCGGGATAAGTTATTCCATGTGGACTAACAGCTCCCCAAAGGGACGTGGTTGTGACAACACAAGAGAACCTTCCAGAGAAAGCTTCGCACGATTTTCCAACAGACCATTTGCCCGGAGCTGCTCTCCGTACTTCGAACACCAACACCCTCACAGGGATAGGCCGGAAATATGGACCGAGCTTTACACCAACTTGGCTTTACGTACGGAAGAGTTAAGGCAATGTACCGAGGATTCGATAGCCACAGAGGCGGGTTGAAGCTTTGTTGAGCGTTCAACATGCCCTGCCCATCAAATACGCAGCGAAAGTCTCATCGTACCTCGACCGAGGAGACTCTGAGGCTTCGAAGCACGGTGCTACCTCTGGCCGAATAAGTCTCATTTCAGGGACGACAGAATCACTACCAGGAGTGTGCGTATCAGATCCTCAAAATATGAACTGCCTGAGCTGATGTGAAACAGATACTACCTTGTCCTACTCTATCTTGGTTACTTTCTGCGAAATCTATTGTAAGTACACATCACCTTTACCATTGGTGTATCATATTGTATTGATTCGGGTTCCTCAAGCCTCACGTTATCGCAGCTGGTGCAGCCGTCTCGGAGGCTGTTGCCCATGTGGGATCCCAAATTCAACATCTCCTTCCTTGACGCTGTGGGGAGCCCGCCGCGAATTCTCCCCTACGAGCACTTCAAGTACTTCAAGGTGCGTTCAACTTCATCATTCCTGACGAAGTCGTGGAGTCTGAATCATGATGCCAACCCTCATCGTTAGGTACTCCAAACCTTCATACAAGAAGAATTCAAAGGAGTTCCCCTCATCGAACGCGGGCGTTACCTAATACTTAGTACTGTGAATAACCGGTTTCTCGACGAGAAGAGTTGGCGCCGCTCAGTTGCCCCTGGAAGTACAGTTGCCATGTCGGCTCTTGTGCGGACACAGAGAGAAGACGCAGATGACTTCCCACTGGGCGTTAAGACAGAGAGATGTCCAGATTCATCTTGCGATGGGAGGTGGGCGAGGCCAGCAAGCCAAAAATGGACCAAATGGTAACGGACAACGTACGGATCAGTGAACATTGCTGACTTCGCGTGTAGCCTCATTTGCACTAAAGAAGTTCTCAGCACAGAATCAGGTCCCAGCGATTCTTTCAAAGACAGCGGTCTAACGGATTTTGAAGAACCAAATTCTCTATCCCCGGAGAGATCCATGCGAACCAAGCGAACTCATGCAACATTCCCTAGTGAACCGGAGAGAGATTCTCAGCGGGCCTCCAGCCCTGATGTAGAGAACTCGGACAACGGGCACTCTGACCTCGATGATGATATCTCCCTATTCAAAAGGAAAGTCAGGCAGATGGGGAACGTACGGATCCACGCGCTGCCTAGCACCTGTACGACTCACTACGAGAAGTTTGACATCATGCATGTCAGAGAAATGTTCCCGGCAGCTTCGGAGGGTATCATCCAGAAACTCGGGTTGGCAAACTCTCGCAGACGCCAACTTTTCAAATACACAGAGGCTCAATGGCTCGGCGAAGCGTCCAAATTCATCAAGAATTCGCAGCAGGCGGCAAAGGACGACATGTCTATTGGGTATGTCCGAAGCCACATATCGGAAGTTGATTTTTTGGTCAATTACCACGCGATGCCTCGGTACCCCGAATATTGAGAACTTCTGCGTAGGACAAGCCTGGATACATCCCGCATCCGAGCCAATGGTGACCCACGACGGCTCTTTGCCTTGGAGAGCAACGGGAAAGTTGCTTGAAATGACCAACAGACACCGAAGCAATGAGCCACACAGGTGCTGTGGCATGTCGTTCAATGTTAGGTCAGAAACCTTAGGGTACTTGTCTGCGGCTCTTGCGCTTGCAATCGCAAGGTCTAGATGATCGAGATTGTCGGGTAGCTTCTTGATGGCTTCGCTTTTTGTTATCTTTTGGGGTATTTGGGTTTGGCTCCTCCCTTCGGTCGAAGAGCTTAAAATAAAAACACATCGTGGTTGCAACTCGAAGGCATCCTTACCGTTGTAGTCGTACCAATGTTTGTCATAGAAATTATGCCAGTAGCAGTGTAATGATCTCCGCCTAGTCGAAGCATGTCTCGTATTTAGAGGGAAACACCAGTGAAGCCTCTGACAGAGTGACACGCCCATAATGAACGTAGAGTCACTAGGGAATCTTGGGAATTTATGTTTCAAGTTTCAGGTCCGCTTTGGCATCTTCCTCAATAGGACATATTTCGCACGTAGCTGATGTTTCCAGGGTAAGGACAGACGCCTTTGTTAGGAGGTTTCACTTTGACAAGTGTCTTTAGAAACTCAATGTTACTGCCGCCCCTATTCACTTCTAAGTTCTCCAGATGCAACATCGATGTTGAAAAGTCGTAAACCATCCGTACACGCTGTCCAATACCAAAGCAAGACGCACCCTTAAACAGCCGACGGCTTATTTTCTCCCCTACCGACCTCCAGTCCGCAGGCCGCAGTCCAACAGCTCCATCGCCAGCTCAACTAAGCCCCCGTCGTCTCCACTCCCTCGCTCTCTCATCAATCCACAGCGCATACATCGTCCTGATCACACACAGCGCACCGAAAGCAGCACCCAACCCAAAAGCTGCATTGCGCAGTATGCAGCTGCGCACGTCCACGTCGCGTCACTCGCATTGCTGCCCAAGCCCAAGCCCACAGCACCATCACCACCACACTCGCTGTCAACGCCAGCATCGCGGCGGCCCAGGATTCCATCACCCGGCAGATAGTCGACAGACTGGTCGGGTGGAAACGGCGGCAGGGGATGCCTGAAGAAGCCCATTGCCAGACGATCGTTGAGCCACCGAAAGAAGAAGAATGCGGTGGCGAGCTGGATCACGCAGACGAGGGCTGCGGCGAGATATCCGCGGCGGACATAGCGCAGTTGGGCTGGCGGGAGGGGTGGATACATGGCGCGTATTGGTCTTCTCTGACTCTGCTGTGTAACGTGTTGATCTGAATGGTGTTGAGGTAGTGGTATCCAGATCCGCGATGCGGGGGAAAGGGGGTTCTTAAAGAGCCGTGTCTTCCATGTCGTAGTCACATCTGCTGGAGTTTGCCCTCTCGTCGGACCGTTATGAGTAAAGTGAACTCAAGATGACTCGCCCGCTCCATGTGCTTGTGTGACCATGGCTGATTAGGAACATATGGCGGTTACACAAGATCACGGGCCACGACACGTGTTTGGTATCTCTCAACGAGATGTTTGCCATCAGAACCTCACACTGTTGGACTCCAGGGGGACTCATTCCATCAAGAACTCCCGGCTATGAAACGGGACCGCGACTCAGCGTGAGTTGAAGATGTCGCAGTGGTTAGATTGCCGCAGCATCGCCACGCCGCTGACGGCAAGCAACTGATGGCATCTATGTCCTACGATAGTTGGATATTATTCATAGTCTTACTGTCCAATACATCTCGATAGAGATGGAGACTGTTCACCATGCTAAAAACCGACCCAATGCACGCCAACAACACAAGAGCCCCTAAACATGTTTGTCTTCCTCCACTCGCCGATTGAACGCATCCACCCCTAAATCTTCACAACCTTCACGCCAATCTGCACAGTCCGAGCCGCGAAGAACAGCGCCATCCCAACCGTCAGACTCAAGCCGCAGAACAGCTGCAAGCCGAGGTAGCCGCCGCCGCCCTGCGCGGCGACGATAGCGCCGCCGATTGGCGACCCGGTCAGCCCGCCCAGCGACCCGACGAGCATAGACATGCCGTTGCGCGTGCCGATCTGGCGGATCCTGCTGATCTGGGAGATGACGGCTGGCAGCAGCGAGATGTAGCCGCCCGAAGCGAAGCCGTAGACGGCGCCGTAGACGAGCGTCGCCGCCGTCAACTGCCCCGGGATCCACAGCGCCAGCGTGATCACCCCCGATAGGCCAGTGATCAGGATCATCATGTTAAAGCGGCCGAGCTTGTCGCCCAGGAAGCCCGGGATGATGCGGCCGGGGATGCTGTGCGAGACGATGTCAGCCAGTGACTGTCATCATATCGAGAAAAGAGAGGAAAAGGAGAATTTCACAGCTTGCACTCACCTGCACGCGGTGAGAATGGGCAAGATGTAGGGCACAAGCGTCGCGTCGATACCCTGATGCTGCGCCTGCAGCGTCAGGTAGCTAAACGGCAAGAAGCCCCAAAACACAAAGAACGAGGCCGCGACGACAATCGAGTACCGGACCTCCAAAAAGGGGGTCAAGTAATCCTGGACGCGGAACGGCTTCGGCCGCGGCGGCAGGCGGGACTTGATCGTCAGAAAACTGATGCCGCACAGCACGAGCACCATGAAGCCCAGCACGCGCATGGTCCAGGGGAAGCCGACGCCCGGGATGAGCTTGGTCATCATGATGGGCAGGACGATGCCGCCGAACGAGGAGCCCGACACCATGATGCCGAGGGCGTACGCGCGGTAGCGGGGGAACCAGCTCAGCACCGAGTTGGTGCCGCAGTTAAAGACTGCGCTGGCGCCGACCCCGCTGACGACGCCCTGCGCCAGGATGAACTGGTAGTACTCTGTGGACAGCGACACCGTCATCAGGCCAAAGGCGTAGACAAGTGTGCCGAAGATGAGGAGGTAGCGGGGCCCGTAGTTGTCGAAGATACGGCCAGCCTATTGTTATCAGTCAGAGTCAGGTCAACACAAACCTCTTGTAGATATTGCTGGAATAGGTCCATTGGGCGAATATGGGTTGGAAAAGACTTACAAAAGCGTTCGAACCCGTCACGACAAAAACCTGCAGCGACGTGATCCAGCTCACGGCCGAGCTGCTGTAGCCGGCCAGCGGCCCGTTGACGTAGTACTCGACGAAGACGCCGACGCAGTTGACGAGGCCGAAGGAGCAGAACAGCGCCAGGAAGCCGCCGAAGACCACTAACCACGCCTCTCGCCCGCCGTCGGGGAAGTCGGCTGGGTTGAACCCCGGCGGCCCGGATGATGCTGGCTTCCCCCCTTTCTCCATGTCGCCCTCGACCACATTTTCTGGCGTGGGAAATGTGTTCACTTGAGTTAACTCTCATTGTGAGGATGTGCGCTCTAGTGACCGTAGCTCTATCGAGTCCCCCCTCGACATATATCGTCTCTTTCCCTTGTCGGTTGTTGTTGAGGCGTCAAAGCGCGGCTCCTCCTGCATGGTGGAAGATCCCGTGTCGGAAATTGGCATTTTGCTAATGTCGTCTAACCGGCAACGATGAGTTAAAGGAATGCCGAAGACGCTGAGTCAAGCGACGTAAAGGCGGTTTATCTTCGACAGAAGAAGGCAACGGCTGAAAGGTAAATTTGCTTCTGTAGTAGTAAGTCTGGAATATCATATAAGAGATAGCGAAGTGATGAGACAAGAAGGGCTTGCCGAAAGCGAATAACAAAATTTTTTTTATTGCAGAGGTCTCTGATTCAGGATCCTGGAGGTTTGGCCGGCAGATCACAGCTGATAATTATTGAACCGACAAGTTGTCTGGGGTGTGAAGGAAAAAGATCTGTAGTTACTGACAAGCCTGAAGGGAAAATGGTATTTTAAATAGCAATGAAGTAATCACGTATCATATGCAGATGTTCAGAATTATTCGGCATTAAGTCCGCAACCAATACCAGCGAGCACCGTTGGAGATTTCCTCTACCACCGAGAGTAACGGAAATGAAGGCGTGCCAGATTCGGTTCGCTCGCCGTGCACAGCTGGCAGACTCAGGAGTCGGACTATCGCCATATTCCGAGCTTCTTACCGCGGGATATACAGTCAGTCGGTGGTTGACCTGGCTGGGCTGAAGTGGCTGGCTGACAGGTCAGTTTACTACCGGCCGGCCGTTGATCTGCGAATGTACTGCATATGCAAGGCATAGAAGGCCGACAGGACCTCATCGTCTGGGTCGGTTCTGGTAGGTAGTTCTAACTAGCTAGTCAGTGGTGGGACGCAACGTGCTCTCACCTGCATCCGACGAAACGGGAGGAGATGCTTCAAATCGGTCTCTGCGTAAAGCGCGAAGACCCGAGTGCTCGGCACCGACCAACCAAGGCATGACACTACATGTATGCAAGGCCATGCCATGTCATGCATTCCAGTGCCATATCTGGAAGATCTCTCAGTGACAAGCCTCGGTCATACGCTCGGAGATCCGAGGCTCGGTTTTACAGATATGGAGCCGCCTGGTACGATCTGGATCAGATTAGATCAACGTAACGAGCCAGGTTCGGGCAGCACTGACCTATGCGCAGTGTCAGTACTGCTCCTAAATTCAACAAGTCTTCCAGCGACAAATACGGATGGGCGTCAGTTCTCGCGCTTACCGGGCTTTGTCTGACGGCCTGACTGAGAACAGCCGGCGATTGATCTTTAACGACGCCATATATACCTGGGCACATCATCGAATGATCCCTGTTCGGGTAAGCATTGGGGACATTCTAATTGAATGGAACCCTATTCCAAATCGCGAAGTTCTGACAGCCTGATATTCGCGTACCGAGACGCGACACAAGTGCCGTGGAAGACGAGGCCAGAAAGACACTCCCTTCTTATCCTCAATCACCGCTCATACGGCCCCGTCAGTCATACCTCGAATTGAACCGAAAAGGCATAATGACAACGGTGGAATAAGCACCTGAGATAAGTGGCTTCGATAAAGTAAGTCACCTTTGACACCTATTCCAGCCACAATGAATGCAACTCTGCTTGGTCGAAGAAGAATGTACCGTAGGAATGAGGCGGGAGAGGCACCCATTTTCTGTTTATTACACAGGGAATTGCGTCCTAATGCTCGTCTAATGGTACAATACGTGAGTGCCATGGTGGCTAGTCGTACAACTCGTCGCGATGCTGCATGAAGCGCCCCGCCCCTATTTTTCAAAGTCCTTGAGATTTTGCGCATCCGCAAATTGAACTTTCCCATCCTGTCCGACGCTCGCGACACTAATTCTTACGGCTGACGCGTCTGTGGTCTTGAGAGGTTCGCTCGCTTTCGGTTTCGTGGCCAGCTCGACAGCGGCCGGTACCGCACCCGCGGGAGCATCCGCTATCTCGTTGACGTCGGCGTTGGTAAGCACGTCGCTGACACGGGACCCTCTACTCGACATGAGGATCGTCATCGGACCGTGGAACTGCAAGAACAGCCTGTCTCCCCATATTGTGCGACGCGCGGTGGTACGCAAGCTGAACATGGCTCTCGAAACCCACTTGTAGGTCTCGGTCTGACGCATATTCTGGAAGAACTTGGTGGTCTCCAGCCATGCCGTAAGTGACGGGATCTGCAATGTGATGCTCGAACTCTTGAATCGGAAAGGCAGAGGTGGGCATTTCGTCATCGTGTACGCTACCACATTGGAGGGATGCGCGACGAACTCCTCCCCCTCAGCCAATGTGAGCTGATATATGTGTCCCGGTGCCGCCAATGCTGCAAGCCCTCGGCCTGTCAGCTCAGACGAGCCCCAATGCGCGAGGGGCAGCTGTCTTTGGATGCGGGGTGTAACGGCGAGACTATGACCTGTCCATGCCAGCAGAGCCTTCCTTTGCCCCACCATCCAGTCGGTCGTTCCATCAAGATGGAGCACAGAGAACGTAGTCGTAGGGGACTTGGTCGATATTAGGGCCGTCAGTGGCGTTGTGGAGGTAATGCGCTGGTAGAGGAATGGGACGCCAGTGAGGGCTCGGGTGAGGGGAGAGAGCAATGAAAGGGTCGATTGCGCCTAGGTTTTGGTCCACGGTTAGTCCGGGCTTACGACTATGGGTTCTGTTCGTGCTCACGTTTTGTGGTTTCCCTGATACTGCCACGAGAGTTCCACGCCGAGTGTAGAGCCTCTGGGAGGCGGAAAGGGAGACAGAGAGGAGGGAGTATGGCGAGCCGAGGACCTCGAAGCGCGCATCTGCATACAGTGTCAGTGTCAATGCCACCCTGGGATAGCTGCTCCAGGCGCGGACATACCTGCGACGTCCTTGGAGGCATCGATCGGGACGCCGAAGGGATCGCCTCCCAGGCGCGGCGACTCGCTCGTTGGTGACGAGCTGATCTGAATAGCTCTACATTGCCGACACACGTAGCTTGTCCGGGCACCCAATTGGCTCACTCGGCCCCTTCTGGCCAAAGAGGAGGCGGCCCCAGTACCACGCATTACGACGATCCGCACTTGGTCAAGGAGGCTTTTGCTGGTGCTCGTGAGCTTCGAGGTGCGGGTATAAAAAAGTCGCGGAGGCTGGAAGCTCCTACGCGCGAAAAGTCACAGCTGGCAATGCGGCGGCTAATTAGCGGCAGACCACCACAATGACGTACAGTTAAGGGTACAGTCCAGACACAGTACGAATTACTGTGTCGATTTTCCCCCTTAGACCTGGGCAATGCCAGGTCGCCCATCTCTACTGCACCCGACTGGCTTTCAATACAAGCACACAAGATTAGTGAAGGGATGAGATATTAAATATGTGCAAAATTCAAGTGTAGGAGTGATTACCGCCTAAGGCAAAAGAGTTTTCACCTATTCAATGCCAAAGTACCGGTATAGTGAAGGTCAAACTCGACTCTTAACCCAGGAATAATAGTTAACCATCGACGGCTCCATGAACTCGGTAGTTCAAACTATTCCGGGTGGTACTGGTAGATGTATTTGCTCGTAGTGCATCGTTTCTAGCTGCAACAAGTCATTGTCCTCAGATGGCACGTTCTTCATCAGAGCTGTGAGGCTATGCTCGTCAATCTGACGATAATGGTATGGCTTCGATGTTCAGGCAGTTCCACCAGAAGTCGTTCTGGATAAGCCGGTCCATGATTTGCTTGATGACAGCAAAGGATGGCAAATTTGGACGACACGATCATCGGCCCGTAGAGATGCGATCCTACATACATGCTCTAGATCTTATCAGCAATGTTGATCAAAACGTATAGAGAACCTCGTTCGCGTAGAGGAAGCTTCACGAGGTCCGCAGTTGTATGTCCCATGTGTGGACAAACATCCCCGTGATGTCGACCCAGCAGTAGAGGCAGTAGCAGTGGCCAGTAGCCAGCAACTAAACACCCCCTTTCACGCTACGGTCAGTAGAGCTCATATTATAATATAGATGTTAAGAAACTTGTGCATCCCGCAACGATAAAAGCTAGGTTTAGTTAATCATATGCATTCTTGGTAGGAAACGAAGCATCGCAAAGTAAGCGCCTAATTTGTTGAATAAGAAGCCTTTTCTAGCTACAGTACTTCTATATTGCTACAAGTGGGATAGAAGACAAGTATATCTAAGTACTGTACTGTCCTAATTCCCGTCAACGCCTCAGTTCTATGTTTCTCCTCCACTCTCGATCATCATGCTGGTATCTCGAACGAGCAGCATCAACAATCCGTCGGATCAACGCCAAATCGGCCATAAACATCCGTTAAGCCCACATTTGACAAACTGTTGTATGTTATGCGCGGTGAAAGGCCGTCGGCATTTGATGCGCAGAACCGAGCAAGGCCTGCCGCGTAACTATACAGCAGTCACCAGCATCAGAGGTAGTACACGGGCCTCAGCCAAACCTTTGATATTCACGCCATTACGTTTGATTAAATACAATCTACGGCACTGGTGTCACGGTCGCAATTTTCTCGTAAACAAATCATCAGAACTTCTGCCACGCGTGAGAGCGGGACGGTCATCGTGTCAGCTTGAGAGAAGGGAGGTGGCATTGAGTTGTATGGTGGATAGCCCCAACTTTGGACAGTATACCGCCCGCCGGCTCTCAGATCTTTGAACTGTGAATGGGTCCGACCTTGGGATGATCCCTCTCCCACTTCTCCATGGCAACCTTCGTCTGTTCAGCAGTCTTGATCCAGTGATCGTACACGGCCGGCCATCCACCACCAAGGGTGCGAATATTCACAGGACGACCAGTCTTGAGATCCATAAAGGTTGTCGAGCCTTTGACCTCGGCAACGATCGTTTGCTGCTTGAGGGAAAAGAGGCAAAGGGTGCCGTTGTTACGCGAGGGTTCGATGTAGCTCTGTCGGTACGCCGCGATAAGCTATTGCCTTGTCGTCAGTGAGGTCGGCGAAAGATACAGAGTAACATTATTACGAACCGAGTCGGGGTATTGTACTTGCCTACGAATGCTCAACTCATACTTTCGAACAGCGGAAATGACGCTCTTGCCTTGAAGCATATCGTCACATTCTGCCGTGCTGAGAAATTGGTCGTAGCTCTCCATGAGACGATACAGGCAAGACCCAATGAAGTGCATGTACTGCGAGTGCATTACATGGCCGAAAGGGTCCTGGTCCTCGGCCCAGACCACACCATGCTCGACCATGGTCTTGGGGTCATACCCCATGGCCTCCAACGTAGTCAAGGCCTGTGCTCGAAGTTTTGCATATGGATCAGTGTTAGGATGAGGGCTGGGAGCGCCGGCACGAGAGTACGGCGAGTTGTACGACGAAGCGGCTAGCCGCGAGGAGGAGGCGTTGGAAGAATCACTCATGTTGGTTGTTGGGCCAGAAATAGGCACGCATATGAGGAATTGAGGAGGTCTGACAGTTCTGGGAAGCGGAAGCGATCACGAAAAGAGAGATAAAATAGGCCAAGGAGGATATGAAGTGACAACCAAACGCGACGTTGGAGGGATCGGGCCATTGGCTTGAATGACCAAGAGCGAACACCGCTTCCTGAAGCAGGTTTACTAGTGTTCGGTGTATCCACTCCCAACATATGCTGGGTCTGAGGTGGCAGACAACGAAGTAAGGGTACATACCCCTGTCCGTCATGCAGTTGGGAGCTACTTACATATCGCATGAGCAGCTTCCGCACAAACAGCCCGAAACATGACCGCCATGGCGTAAGTGAAGTGAGGTTGTGAAAGTAATAAAGCCACCTCGTTCTCGTTCATGCATGTAAGACGCCCACAGATGCAGTATATTAACTCCACCCATTCCATGCCAACCAACCCTATCGCCGATTCGGAGATGCAACCACTATATGTCATCGGTCCTCTTCTTTCCCACCCGACATGAACTGTCCCTTCCTGTTTCCTGGGAGGACTGAGTCCGAGACGGAGCTAGACTTGTCCTCCTCCCTAGACGAGTCACTCTCTGCGCAGTACTCATCTTATTGAGTTCCAAACTACAGGGATTCTTTGCCCCTGCTCGGAAAGGCCAAGCCGCAATGGGTGTCACGACCGTATCGTCCCCGGCAACCGGGTACATCGCTCTCATCATTTTGCTTTATGTACAGTACATCAGCTTCGATCCCGTCTGTTCATATTCGCTGACTCGCCTTCAAGTACAGCGCCCTGTTCGGCCATCGTCTTCTGATTCACCCTTTGCGGGCCTTCCCAGGACCATTCCTCGCCAATTTCACAGATGCATATGCAGCGTGCTATGCCTTCCAATGGCGTCTTCACCTGAAACCACGGCAAGGCCTTCTGAAGTATAGTAAGGGACATCTGCTTATACCTCCTGCCGATAGATGATTCAACTAACAGGAGTCAAGAAGGGGGAAAGGGCCTGTTATGAGATACGTCTCAGACTAACTGGTGTTCAACACCGTCAGGGCATTTAGAGGTTGGCAATCGATTTCCATCCCTGACTTCATCACACTGATCCGATGTAGACATCTGTCGAAATGAAAGAGTCACGAAATCGAAGGTCTACAAGGCTACGCAGCAGCATCCGCAAATTTTTAATGTCTTCAACATCAGAGACAGAGCTCAGCATAGCCAGAAACGCAAATTTATTGGTCGCGCTGTGAATGAACATTCCATACGCGGATTCGAGCCAACCATGACCGAGCAAGTCGACGTTTTCCTGTGCTATATCCTCAACGCCGGCAAGGAAACCCCAAGTGCTACCAGAAACTGGCAAAGAAGACCTTGTGTTCCCAATTTAACAGATTGAAATGATAACGATATTATAAAATTAATTTAAACTTTGCTATAACTTTAAGCAAAACAAATTTTTTTTAAAAAACTTATAACTCAACTTTATTCGTCTTTTTCTTTCACCTTAACGCTATTAATAAAACCTTTGTTTTCGTTCGACAAATTATAAAAGCCTTATATCAAAACGAATCTTCGCATAAAAATCTCACAAAAATCTTTTCTACGTACTACATATAATTATTTCGTTTTAATATTACTTAAAATATACTACATTAATTAAATATATCTTACTATATGTAATAAAGTTATTTAGCAATTATTAGTTTATTAATGTTAGATTTGAGCTAATCGTCAGAGTGAAGTGTGTGTATGTGTATTCTTTATCTCTGAAGTGTCCCTGTGCGACCGTGGCAGTTTTGTGCCAGAAGGGGCTGGATCGGGACGGAAAACTAGGTTCCGTCGTCTTTCTATCAAGGTGCCTTCTGGGCTCACCTTTAATCCAACAATTAAAAGTAAATAAAAACCTTAATGGCAATATCGATTATAACGTTTTAATATTATAAAACTTTGAAAGGTATTTCTAACATAATTTAATAAGAATCAAAACTACGCAAATAGTATCATAGTTATATAACCTATATTTAATAAAAAATACAGTAATTGTGACGGCCTGCACAGACCTTCCCACATGACAAGCGGATACTTCCTAATAGGGGAAGGATCTGACCAGAGGATCCTCTTAAAGGGGTAACCTCCCACTGTACCTATCTCTCTCTCTCTCTTCCTTTCCTCTCGAGTCTTGATATTCTCGTCAATAGAGTAATAGCTGCTTGCTGCTGGCCATGTCCCAGCTCCTCAGTACGCTCGCCATGACAGTAATTTCAACTCGACTTTTGAAGCTTAGTTACTTATATTCTGACTTAAAACTAAAGCCTTATAAGAATAACGTGGATGACAAGCGAGCGGCAATTACAAGCGAACGGCAACTTTTCACCAACCTTCCAACCAACATGTCAAATAACTCGACCACAATGCATTTAATTCAATCTAATCAATTGGATTCTTTTTTTTCAGACGTTTCTATCTCTATTGTACAAGTTCGCGCATTATGGCCAGTGTTGTCGCAAACGCCACAACGTCGCTCACGCGCTGCTGCCCTCCTCGGACGACGACTACCTTCACTCATTTCCTGTCTTGCCAGCTTATTACCATCCTTTACAGCCTGGAGACCTACTGTATCTTTAATAGAAAGTACTCCTCCTTTTATTAGACATTTGTTTTTTGTCCTCCAGTGTTTACTTAGTAAGTGATTGGCCTCCTCTAGCTCGCGGACCTGGGAATCAACTAAAGCGACCTTGTGCATAAGACCGTATGTAGCCTTTGAAAATGAGCTCAACGCATCAACTATTGATGTAGGTGAGCTTCCCTGGTAGTTTCTGACTCGATTTCGGATATAAACTGACTGGTTTACCGCTTCGTTGATGGTGGTAGGCGTCTTTGAAGTCCAAGTAGTGGGTGGCAGATTGGGGTCTGGCGACGGTGTTTGTATCTTGGATACCATGTTTCGCGACTGCACAAAACCACGCGCGATACGCGTCTGGATCTTTGTTCAAGACCTTCTGGTAGTCCATCCTCCGATAAAAACGCGTCCGGAGGCCTGGTGTGCGTTTAATGAAGTTCCGCGTCTAGTTCTTTCCAACGCGTCCATCCCCACGCGCTGCCAACAATTGATTCGCTATATCTTCAAAATAACTGTGCCAGGATGGAAATGCTCACGCATCCAGGTCAAAAATGAAGGAAAGAACAGTATTCTCTTTGGAAACCATAAATTTCAAAGTATTGGGTATGCTATCGCGTCGTGATGGTCGGCCGGCGATTCTAGCCTTCAAGGTATTATATGGGACATAGAAAGTCTTAAAAAGCTTGCCAATAGTAATATGAGGGTCGCGTTGCTTAGCTTGGACAGCAAGCTGTAAGTCTGATTCGCTATAACGCAATGCCATTATTGTTGGTTGATCAATTAGGAGCCTTAATTAAAAGGTTAAGTGGCTGGTGAAAAGTTGCCGTTCGCCTGTAATTGCCACTCGCTTGTCATTAACGTTATACTATAAAAATTAAATAAAAACACCCGTAATAATGTAAAAAGTCCTGTCAATATAAACTATACGCATATATAACGGTCAATATTCATATTTTACGTCGTAAAAAATAACTTAAACGAAGAAACCTAATCGGTAATAAAGGCTTAAAGCTTAAAAAGCGCGATTAAAGCCGTAACAAATAAATAAATCAAACTAAACAGTAACTCATATTGTTTGTTTGTTTGTTTGTTTGTTTTGTATTTAACATGGGGGATTGCTCCTCAGTAGTGCAAACCATGCCTCGCGGAGCCTCTGCATCGCAGGGTTGTGGAGGTATCAAGATAATAAGTACAGTCAGTCCCGCTCACGAGCCCATCCCCGTTGTTGCGGCGGTATGACCTTGGGTCATCCATCTGGTCCTTCAAGAACAGCTATCTATTGAGGGCAGATTGATAAAAAGAATTTGCTCTTCTCTACAAATTTTGCCCATTTTGTGCTCCTCTCCCCTAAGTATTGTAAACAAGCTGTCCTAGGCGAGTACCTGGGCAGCAGCCGATTTTTCCCCAGTCTCTTACAAAAGAAAATGTGTTGTGGTGTTTTCTTTTCACCACAGTTGCAGTGATCATTCGAGTCTGTATGCCCAAAGCGTTCGTGGTATCTGGCAAAGTCGCCATGTCCAGATCTGGCCGCTAGAAGTCTGTGTAAAGTACTCCTCTTAAAAGATTTAAGGTCTCTTTTAGTTACTGTATGTGAGTATACTTCTTGATACCTAGGTTCTGATCGGTCTTTCTACCATTGGTTGAACTCTTTCTTGCCCTTTCTTTTGAGATCTGTCTTGACCCAAGAGATTATAGGAAGGTTTGTCGTGTCTGTTTCTAGCATGGCACCCTCTTTTGCTAGTGTGTCGGCAGCTTCGTTACCATCAATATCTCTGTGTCCAGGAATCCACTTGACGGTCACTCCCAATAACTCATATATTATAAGGTTACATCAATCTGAAATTTAATAAGAAATCAATAATATCAACGTATATTTAATATCCCCGACAAGACGAGCTATCAAAAAAGATTCAAACCACGTTTCAAAAACCTAGAGACATCCGGGGAGGTCCAAAGCTGGCAGGATGCCGATACTTACGAGCTTGCATTGACAAGGCCCTACGGATGTCTCCCCCTGTTTCCGGAACACTATGGGGCGAATTGGCTGACGATTCCGGCAAACCCTGCGTCATCGACGGCTACGTTATCCCTCCAGGTATCAAGGTCGGCGTCAGTACCTACGCACTTCAGCATAATGAGGAGTACTTTCCCGACTCCTTTTCCTACAAGTCTGGACGGTGGCTCGAAGCCTCGAAGACGAGGAGGCGGATGCTCAAGTGTTAGGCAAGACTATGCAGGATACCATCGTAGCCTTCTCGATAGGGTCCCGTGGATGTGCCGGAAAGGCTATGGCATATATCGAAGCCAGTCTCGTCATTGCTCGGACCTTGTAGTATTTCGATTTTGAGGCGGCACCTAGACTCTAGAGAAGCTGGAAAAGCCGGATCTGGGACAAAAGGGAATCTGAACGGGCGTAGAAAAGAAAACGAGTTTCAGATTTACGATGTCTTCATCTCGATTGACGATGGACCAAACCTTGTGTTTCATACTCGAGACATCTCGTATGAGGACCTAGATAGCAGAGCATAGCCCTCGTCTTGATTAGGAGTGCTGTTATCTGCACTTTGTCACAAATCCTTATATGCGCCTTGATTTCCAGCCACACATGCAACCAGCTGCAGCCCCTTGTCGTCAGCCCCCGTGTGCACCAAATGCTAGGCTTAACGGCTACTACGATCGGGTTTCGTGTGGAGCGCACCCTAGTCCTGGCAGACCTGACAAAGTGACCTTGATCTGACAGAGTGACTGGCTGACAGGTGGTGGATTGGACTGCTTAAGTGACCTGATCGCGCTGACCAGAAATATAGGGGATTGTTTCTTTCTTCGCCCTATTTACCTGGTGGGTCAAGTGGTAATGGCGACGCAGCTGGAATTGACTGTCAAAGATATAACATGATAGTCGGACGAAAAACCCGCCTCTTCCGCCAAGGAATGCAGCAGCCATAGGCTCCGTACCTTCGTCCCCCTCGTGTGCTTTTCTTTTGCGACTTTTCGCGTCGGAAGTCTACTTCTCGCTCTTGCTGACTTGCTACTACCTCCTTCCGTCTGGTCTACACCACTTCCCTCACCTCTACCGCCATCATGTCTAAGAAGATGCAGATAGACTCTATGGCCGTCGACAAATCGACCATAGAGGGCTACGACGATGCGACAAAAGACTCACAGGTCCCAGCAAAATATATCGGCACAGCTTGTCACATGGCCAACCATAGGGGGGGGGGTAAAAGGTATGTTGTTCTGCAGAGAGGTGCAGTACTATCTAGGCGCGGCGGCCATGTATATGTACATGTATGATCCCTTTGTTCGCGGGATGCTTCCTGACACAGCTGCCGATAGGCAGGAGATGAGTATGCCAGGAAAGGAACAAGTCCTGCGGCGCCAGTTCAGATTCTCCACTATGTTGGGTTTTGCGTCCACCGTTATGGTCGCATGGGAGTTTGTGTTGGTGGTGTCCCCTTTTGGACTGTCGGATGGAGGCACCCCGGCTGTCTTCTGGGGTCTGCTGTTGAGTCCGATTGTCATGGTACCGGTGTATGCAAGTCTGGCGGAGATGGCGTCTACGAGTCCGACAGCGGGAGGTATGTCCATATTTGGTGATACGTTGGTACAGAGAGAACATGCTAACATAGAGCCAGGACAGTATCATTGGGTGCAAGTAGCGCAGGTGACATTTTCATAGCTTTGACTGATATCTTTCCAGCTCCGAACTAGCATCACCGAGCTGGCAGAAAGGCTTGAGCTACTCAGTGGGTAAGACGCATTAGCCTCATGCTCACTTCTAGGACACGGCTAACATTGGCAGGATGGCTCATCGCACTCGGTTGGCAGACCTTTCTTTGCGGTGTCTCGTATGTGACGGTAAGCTATACACAACTCTCGACGTCTGCCTTCGAAACAGCCGTCCTCGGCGGAGCAATCGGAGGCTCGATTGCCGGTTACTGCAACGACAACCTGTCAAACAGCGTGTCTTATGGTTGATCTGGTTGATAACGTGTATTCTGGTGATTCTGATTTTGAGTGTTGTGTTTCTGTGTTGTGTGTCTGTGAAAATCCTTCTGTGGGCTAGGTGGCCTAAAAATGCCCTATTGGCCTTGTTGGCGCACTGCCACCTCCCTGAACGCCACGGTGGCTTGTGCGCCATCCAACACAACCCAGGCGTCGCAGGCTGCGTCAACAAGCGCGATATCCTCGGCACGCAGTCCGTGGTCCGCATGAACACGCACAGGCAGCGCCAGGCCGCCGTGGGACCCTGCAATGTTCCGCAGTACAACTTCGACCAGTGCCATGACCAAGCCACGGCTCAGCAGATCACCAGCTCGATCCCATCCGCGGGTGGTAAGGACTCCTAGATCCTCTGTGAAGCATCAAGTATTCGGTACACAGGCTAACGATGATCGATCCAGTGGCCGAGTTCGAAAACGTGCCGCCCGCTTGCATGGACCTCGCCACGGTCTTGACCGGATCTTGCGGCGGCGATGGGCCCATCGTTGCCCCTTGCGGCTCGGCCTGCCTCCAGTACACTGGCCTAACCGACGATCAATTTGCTGCGATTTCCAAGGCACTTGCTGCCTAGGAAATGCATTCCAGCGCAGACTTGAGTTGACTGTTACCTACGGGACTCTGACGATGAGGTGGTAGAGAGAAAGGGGGGACATTGGGCCTTTCGTTGGCTCGCGCGTGGTATGCAATTGGGAGGTTGGCCTCGATTGCGGAGCCGGCTCCGCTTGAAATGACCGCGTACTACTCATGTATGCTTACGTCTTACACTCATTACATATCCGAATAAATCAGAATGGCGCCATATACAGCTGGTTTCACATCGCGTGTGGTTTTCTTGCCTATGAGTATTCGTGTCTAAAACAGATATGGGATCTGCTTTTGCTCCCGAGGATCCCATGACTGCTGGGTCAGAGAACATGTTCGCGCTTGAGACCAATAACGTTGACGAGCAAGGTAAATTGATACTTGAGTTTTGAGACTTGGCAGGTCGTTGAGCAGGCCTGCACTCTAGGAGGATGACCAAGCCGTACGACAGCGTGACTGACTACCTGATCCAGCCCTGTCTGCCCTTCCCCATGCATTCAATGTGCATATCACTGCAATATGACCCCTATTCACTTCCCAAGTGCTCCCCGGGTAGTGATAGTAGGACCGCCCACCCTCACTGCCGCCACCTAGTTTATCTTGGTGAACGGAGCCATGAACTCCTCCATGTAATCCATCTTGCCCAGCGAGACGCCCTTGCCCCGCAGAATAGCATAGATCATGTTCAGGTGGAAGTAGACCGTCGGGATCGGGTATCCGTGCACATACTCCACCAGGCTCGTCTTGTACTCGTTCTTGCCGAAGACGCAAGGCACCTCAACCCCGTCCCTATCATCGACGTCCTCCTTCTTCACCTGTGCGAGCTCCTTGAGCGTGTCGTCGATCATGGCGTACAGCTCCTCGATGGTCTTCTCGCGGCCCTCGATCTGCGGCGGCGCGGTGCCCGTGAGGCGCTCGATGGCCTTCTTGGTCGTGACGACGTTGATCCAGACCTGCATGCCGAGCGGGAGCATGTCGTCGTAGATGCGAAGGGCCAGAAGGTCAGCGCTGGACATTTTCTGCTCCTTGGCCCATTGCTCGCCCTTCTTGAGGATGGTGGACGTGACCTTGAGGACGTTGGCCAGAACCGGAATGCTGATGGCGTAAAGCGACGTCATGGTGGGCTGTGGGGTGGTTGATGCTGCCAGATGGTCTGGTCGGGAAATCGAGGATGTGAATGTGTGAGAGCGGCTTTTCCTGCGTTGGTGCTTGGGCTGATGTGTGCTTTAAGTACGTAGGTGGGTGATGCGAGTCAGGCTGTGGTCTGGATGTCTGGTTCCCTCGGATATCTCCAGACGCAAAAAGATTGAACATTGAAGGGTCCAGAGCCCTCATCCCGACCTCGGGAACTAATGGCAGTAGCGAGTCGACGGGCGGCGAGAAGAGCCTTTTCCATCCCCACTTGTCTCACTTATGACTTACTAATTATCACTGCCGTCTGCACCTGCCCTCGCCTGCCGCCCTGCGTGCCTGCGTGCCTGCCACATTCCAGGTTCGCCCTCACCGCCAGTCCTGGACCTCTTGGTAGTCTTGGACCTCTTGGTGCCGTTGCTGCTTCCCGTCCATCATAGGCGGGTTCCACATTACGTCGGCGCCATGACAGACATCTTCAACGGCTTCGCGTTGATTTCTAATCAGCAGCTGACAAAGCTGACCGTCGGGTGCCACCGCTAACGCTTTGGGCCACGGAGCCACGATGCGTGTGTCCCGAGTCGTGACATTGTCGGGTGGCTGCAGGTCGCTCAACCAGCCTGGAAGTGGTACAACGAGTACGTAGACAAGAGGGAGGAACGTCAAGGCAAATGTGTAAGCACACGCGCCCTTCTTATATCCTCCACGGTCGTCCAAATTAGGTAGGCATGCTGCAGGTGTGCGATGGCATCAGCCGCCCTAAAATGGTGTTGAGTGCTGTTTGGTGGCGCCGGGGAGCGAAGGAGCTACCTTAGATGCAGCTAGAGGTCAACGGGCAGAACGGGGTCACTTATCCTCACCTGCATAAACCCAGCATAATTCGTACCACCCGGGGATATTTGTCTCCCTGAGACGCATGACGAGATCACTCCATCGGCTGCTACGAGGCCCCACGAATCCACTGACGCTGAGAAAGCGACTGTCGAGCTCTCCCTCGCGGTATTCATACGGGTGGAAGCGCTCGGATTGTAAGCGGTAGATGTGACCATGAACTGGTCTATCGATGGTGGAGACCAATATGATCTTGGTCCAGCAAAGGGGTTTCCCATCGTGGTCGGTACATGTTCCAACCATGACGGTGCCCTCTGGAGCTTGGGAGTGGCCGTGGATTAAATGCAGGCCATACAATTCTTGAGCTTCATAGCGGATGAAGAGCTTGGCCAGCTGGACCAGAGTTTCATGCGCGACGTCGGGCTGAGCAGTCAGTATTGCGTAGCCATCAGGTTTTGCTTCTACTCACGCTTTCAGGGAGTCACCAAATTCGTCTGCAGTTGGCTGGGGGTGGAGGCCCACAATGGCCAGGTTCGCGACAGGGGGTTGCACTGCAACAGCTGCCATTTTACTTCTCGTTGGAGGTTGAGGGATGTTGATGGGATTTGCACTGAGAATTCTGGGGGTTAAGGTTGCGGTGGAGGGTGCCTTTACCTACTCTTGGGTTGCGAAGAGACCACGATTTTATAGGAAATCGATTTTGAAAGACCGCGCGGCTGGTCTATGTTGACCTCATTGAACATTTCCACGGCGACTACCTGATAAGGAAGAAGGCATACTGGTCCGTACGTAACCCGATACTGCTTGGTCGTCACCCCAAAGACATTGATGCATGCGGCATGCGGGATTAAGTAGCCTCATTCACAGAGACTGTGTATGACACAACGAGTTGCCAAACGATTATGCGCAAGCCAATCTGAAGCGCTTTGAGTGTCGACGTACGTTGAACTACAGTTTACTGCTCCTTTGAGTCCATATGTCATTACTCCATGGTCACAAAGCCTCAACCCTCTGGCCACATTGCGGGATTTAAAGCATCCTGTTTGCAGTGTAGTCGTTTTGTGAGCTTCTCCAAGGTTCGCTTTGACATTAGAGGATCTGAAGTGCGAGATATATGTGTTAGGTCTATGAGTGCACGTGTACTGGGTGTCGGAAAAGCAAAAAGTACATGATGCGTGGTCGTCTCAGTCGATGACCACGTAGAACAAAGAAGATTGCGAATAAAAGCCTCCCCAGCATGTTGCTCAGCCCAGCAGTCTAACCACCTTCCCTTGATCAAACCACAACCAACCATACTAAAATTTTCAAACATAGGTGTCGAGTCATGAATGAACGCTGCAATTGAAGAGTTCTTCGAATGGCACCCGAAGCCATCCCAGGATAGGTGTGAAGAGCACGCCAGCGCTCTCTTGAACGCGACGAATGTCCGACCAGTCGGCATGCAGGGGTCGCTCAGCTACACGGTGATCGCTACCCACCAGGTCGAGACAATTGTGTCGTACCGTGTCCCAGAAGCGAAGCTTGGTCACCAAGTTGATGAGACTGCACAACAGATCCATGGAGATCTGATATCCCTGGAAAGTCTTGCTTCGAAGCCCTGAAACATGGAGTACAGATGGATGTAAGCGAAGAAGAAAAGCAGTTCACATTCGTTCGAGATCTTGCAAGGTATTTAGATGCCCTCGTTCCGACGCGATCATTTTGATATTCACCCATTTGTATGTTAGATACTTCGCAAGATGCTACCAAAAGCCACAAGTCGTTCCAGACGAAGAGCTTCTAGAACGACAGCAGTCTATGCTGCACAAGCTTTCTCTTCTCCAGGAAGCACCTCAGCACGCCTATCTTCAAGAGACCGTCACACAGCTCCAAAGTGATGCCGGTGTTGTCCATCTCTTCAGCAAAGACTATCCGCAGGTCCTCAATCATGGCGATCTTTCCGAGACCAACATTCTGGTCAATGGCGAAACAGCAGCTGTTACCGGATTCATCGACTGGTCACTCGGATCTGTGCGACCCTTTGGGTACGAGCGTTATGCGCTGCGCCAGCTGTCTGGCAAGATGACCAGCGAGGGGTGGTCTGATATGATCTGTCGTGCACGCACCGATGAGGCTTTCTGGACCGAGTTCTGGTCCATCACCAGCATCGAAGATCCAGCTCAACGAATCAAGATCAAGGAGCAGGCAGAGTTGGTTGCGAAGCTTGGACTCATCATTCGCTATGCAATCCAGAAGACATTGGACGGCATTCCGCTCGACAAACTTGCGACCAGACCGGCTCGGTATCTAGCATCGTGGCTCACGACTCCAAACTGGTCTTCCATGTTGCTGAATGGAAGGTTGTTGAGGAAGCAGACACCGTCGGTTCCAACATTCATCATGTTGAAGTTCCCGAGCGGCCGTCAACGCTCAAGTGAAGGAAGATAGGGCCGATGGTGGAGCAAAGCCTTGACAGCATGCGCATGCGTCTGCTGTACCCGCCAGACCCAGCGAGGACATGGCTTACAATTCTCAGACAGAACGATTGGGATGAAAGTGGAACATGCTCTTCACTTTTCAGATATCTTTGCTTACACGGCATTGACGCCGGCCTTCGTTTCACTTTGCACCTTCAAGGCTGAGGAATGACTGAAGCAAGTGGGGGAAAGGGGGTCAAAATGCGGCCACATATCTAGTTAGATACGTAACGTATAGTCAGCGGAGGTCAATTGTAGTCAACTCCAACGATCAGTCAATAATCAGAGCTAAAGAAGTGCATTGAATCGGCGGCGATCAAGTCTTGTGGTAAGTTCACATTACACGCGTTGTTGCCTATACTTATGATTGGGCCTCACTCAAACCAATCGATATCCGAAAACCCCGTGGCTTTCGAGCTGCCAGTGGCTGCTCACATTCTCGTCTGACAATCGGCTAGCTAAGTCCCACAGGGACCTCACTTCCTATACCGTGACTGTCGGCATACAAGTCCCTCCATTCTCTCAGCATCTGTTCCATGAACTCGGTGAACGGCATGTCCCTATTAGGAAGAAATCTGTGCTCGTTGCCCTTGGCGTCCAGATAGTTGAAGGCTGTGAGATTTCAAAGTGTTCTATTAAGGAGAGGAATTCCAACTACTCTGGAGCGGCCAGAGTGGCCCTATATATATCCAAGATACTAAAGGAAAGGATACGTGGCCTTATATTGGCCACGTATGTGACAGAGTCACGAATGGGGATGGTGATCCTGAAGTATGACTATGGATGGGCTAACATAGCCCAGAATCCAACAAAGGCTTCGTCTTGGACGAAATCTTCTTTCTCGTAACTACAAGTCGAGAGATTAGGTTCCATCGAATCGAGACCTGGGAAAAGACACTTACCGGTAGCACTGTAAGGTGCAGCATACTTCATCTGCCCGGTTCTCGAGTTTGTGGATTTGGTAGTTCTGAGGTGATAGCCAGGTGATCTGGCCCCGTGTCAAGTTGATGGTGTCGATTTCAGTGGGTTCGGTTCTGCTCAGTGATCCGTATTCGGTCACCCAGATGTTCCCCGTCAACACCTTGTTGCTCAGTACGTATTCGTAAGATATAATTTCCAAGAAGCTTACCTTGATGATACCACAGGCACTTCCATGGTCATGCACAGGGGAGTAGTGCTTGCTTGGCCATATCTCCAAAACGTATGGTACACCAGGGGAATTTCCCTACAGTGCTTGTTAATCACAAGAGCATGCTCCGTGGCGGGAAGTCCAACTGACCAAGTTGTCACCAAGAGTGATTCGAATGTATGACTCCTTGGGGTTCGCGTCGGCAATTACTGCCGTCTTGGCTTCTAGCTGCTTGTAGCACCATCCCCGTGGGTCGCGGTAGCTCAGGTCGATAGCAAGCGCCATCTCTGGGAAGCTACGATCTTTGAGGTCCATACCGGCGCGAGTGACCATGTGGTAGAGCTCTTGGCATGTCGGAGGCAGACGCTCGACTGTGGTGTACTGCCCACTGTCCAGCTGGACGAGCGTGACCTCGTCGTTCGGGGTAATGATCGGAGAAGAATCGATCACAAGCGGAAGCCGCTGTTAATCAAGAGTAAGAAATGTTTCAGTGTTGGACCAGGCAGTGAAGTTCTCCATCAAGCGCCCAGTCTCTGCGTTGTCCCATACCATCACACCAGTGGGGTCGCGGTGTTTGAAGCATACTTCTAGTCGAGCGAGGCTCGCCCGGACAGAGTGTTTTCCACAGCGTATGATGCCATTCTGCTTATCAAGAGATATCCAGTAGGTGGTCTCTCGCCCTGCATCAAAAGTAAGATTTTTCTCGAAATGACTCATCCAATGGTAGTTATTTGGATAGTGCACGTCGGGCGAGTCAAAATGTTTGAAGAGCGCAGCTCCTCCACTCCAGATGGCAAACTGAAGCTTTGGGTCTTCTAAGTCTCTAGCAAGTTCGAAGATGAGAACTCTACCTGCGGAGGACTTGACAGATATGGTGCCTTGGCCGAGGTCATGGAGAAAATATGGCCAACTCCCTGGGTTGAACATAAAGACTGGCATGACGCGCGGAGTTGATATAATCTGGCACAGGGAGGATACGATACGACTGAGTACGTTGTGAGTTGGAGAAGACGACTAATATGAGGTAATAGGGCATTGGGCCATTCTGGGATAGGTTTCTTCTCAGCCGGAGATTGTGAATATATCCTTCGCACCACGCGATATTCCGGCTGGACATACAATATGACCAGTCAATACATGTAGACCGAGCCGCTTGGACACCAAAAGTGGATGGTGGCTGGACCCGCGGATGGTGATAGACCTGTCACTTTCATGTCAAAGCACACTGCCACGGCTCATCAGATGAACACCAATACTAGCTCAGCATTATAAGGGTATGTGCCCACTCGAAGGCGGAGAGTCACACCGGCCTGGTATGTGACCGGGAGGATGATCAGAGTACAGAGGCGACACTAGCGGTCTATACCTCCAACCAACTGTCAACTCTGGTACGAAGGTCATATTTCCGAAATGGCATTGCTGGATGGCTTAGTGGCCAAGAGGTAGGTGGAGCTGAACCACCAAACCCTTTCTGTGTCAGCAAGTTTGAATACGCAAGTAGACTGTCTCACCATCGACGCCTCGTTACGGATACGTCGGCGACGTGACGTCGCATTTTGCCCTATTCGCTGCCACCGCGGGCCCGCGAACTCTATGTACGATCGGAGCGGGCGGAAATGCGGGAGAAAAGGTACCCGAAGGGCGCGAGATAGCTGCCGTGCTGCGTTCGATCGTTGGAAAGCTTTGTTTGGGCTCCGAGGGTGGTGGTGATGGTGGGGGAGAACGGGATGCGATTGCCAGAGGTGTCACTGCCATGCATCATCCACCTGCATTATCAACTCGCCGACTGGTTTTGAGGCGTACATATTGGGGAGGTAGGTCGGCGCCGTGGTAGGTGTTCAACAGGGCGGACGGTGGTTCAAAATGTTAAAAGGGTGTATTCTGCTGAATTTTACATAGGTATATATTTCTACAAGTGAAAATGGAAACCGACAGTAAAGGAAGAATAAGAAAAGCAATATCCCCCAACAGACACCGACAGACGGACAGACAGACCGGCAAACGATGGAGCAACAAGGCGCCCCCTATCTCAAATCATCCTCGATCTTCTTCCCTCTCAACCTCCTGCCCCATCTCTTCCTCCACTTGTGCCCGGCCCTCCTTATCCGCCTCCTCGGGTAGTTGATCGGGCTCTCGCCACCCACAAAGATGGCCACGTCGTACAATCCCGCGCCCACCACCGCCCCAGTCACCGTCGCGACCCACGGCCCATAAAACCAATACGAGTCGCCGAACAGAGTGCCGCGGCCGTACCCAACCGCTAGCAGCGCCAGCCGCGGGCCCAGGTCGCGCGTCCCGTTGAGCGCCGCGCCCGTGTTGTACCCGAACGCGTTGCACTCGATGTAGATGACGAGACCGAGCACAAACGCCGACATGCCGGCGCCGGGCGGCGCGTTGGTGTCGTCGCCCAGCGCGAGCACGGCCACCGCCAGGAAGGCGGTGCCGACGAATTCGGTGAAGAAGGCCGTGGCCGGGTCCGTCCACGCATGCCGCGGATTCGTGATGAAGGCGTCCATGGTGCCGCCCGCGGCCAAGTCGGCGCCGCCGTACTCGATGATGGCGGAGCGGTACAAGCCGAAGGCGATGAGGCCCGCGATGAAGGCGCCGAGAAGCTGTGCGATGATGTAGGCGGGCATCTTGCGTGCCGGGAAGCCGCGGTATACGTATAGCATGATGGTGATGGCTGGGTTGAGGTGCGCGCCCGAGATACCACCGGCGATGTAGATGCCGATCATGGTCGAGAAGCCCCAGGCAAAATCGGTGGTGGTTCCGTTGCCCGCGGAGCTGCCGCCGCAGGTGACGGCGAGGTCGGCACAGAAGCCGAAGGTGAGCTGGACGATGACCTGTAAGGAGACGGTTAGTTCTTGAACTTTTTGTTCTTTACCTTTTCTATTCCAGGAAATTTCGGAAATGATGGGGGGAGACGCACTGCAAGGAGCTCAGCCAGAGGCTCGCGGAAGCGCGTGCGCACCACAGACCAGTGCGTGTGGTGGTTGTGGATCTCGTCATCGGTCCCAAACGCCTGGAGGTCCAGTTCGCCGGGCGCGTACGCACCGTCAGCATCGTCGTCGTTGGCCGTAACCGCCGACGAGGCATCGTCCGGGAAGCCATTAGGATCTTGTTCGCGGTACTGTCGAGCCAAACGATCCTCGTCAAGTTCGCCCTGCGTCAGGCCCGGTCCGCCTGTGGCCGACCCCAGTTTAGGACTCCCTATCGGTTCCAATTCCAGATCGGCGGCCGCGGAATCGTGCTGCCACCGCTCGCCCTCCTCCTCCTCTTCCTCTACATGCGACGGAAGCGCTCCCGGCGAGAAGGGCTGCGAGGAGGCCCCTTCGGAGATGTGTGAAAGAGGTCTCGAAAGGCCCGTGCCAACTCTTTTAAGAAACTTGTTTTCGCGCGTCTCGCGTGCGTCTCTGAGGTGGGTTGAGATTTTGCCTAACTTCAGGGTCGGTTCCACTCTACCTTTCTCGACGTCTGGGTCACCGGCGCCGGGGCGAACGCCGTTCTGCGCCTGGTTCGCCTGGTTCAGGTCGACTTCGCTGCCCGTGGGGACCATGCCGGGGCGTATCACCCTGGGTAACGGCTTCGCTAAACCCCACACTGGCCGCTGATTGACAGGCTGCTCGTAGGCGGGATTGAGCTGCGAGTAGCCCGGGTCGACATAGGGCGTGTGCTGGTGGACGGCGGGCGCATCCTGCGGACCGGGACCGGAGAGGCTAAACATGGACTGGGCGTCGGCGGGCACGGCCGAGCGGCCGGTGGTGATGACAGTTGGTCTGCGACCCAAGGTGCTGGCTCTCTGGCGGGTAGTCGGCGCTCTCCGCAGCCGCATCCCGGACCCGTCGGATCGCTGGGACTGGGTGCTCTGGCGCGGTGGTCTCTCCTCGGCTATGTCCCTCATAGGTGGACGTGGGGATGCGGACGATTCACTCGGGCGGCCGGCTGACAGCGTGTTGCCACGGCGTCGTCCTGCGGAGGCTCCGCCGTCGGCGGAAGAGGCGCCATCCCAAAGGGCGCGGCCACGTCGGGGCGTCGTAGTAGAAGACCGAGCGATGGGGTGCGGCGTGAACGAGAAGTCATCGGTTGCCACCGGGGGATTCGCAGACGCGGTGGAGGCGGAGGCGCTGGACTCTCCTCTGCCGACGCCGCGGTCGTCCTGCTGGCCGGGTGACTGCAGGCTCTGGCCGTCGCGGCTGACTGATCGAGGTCTCCCAGCAGAATTGCCGCTGCTGGAGGCTTGCTCGCGTGGCTCGTCGGCCATGATGTCGCGAGGAAGGATACAAACAAGCAGAGGCGCGAAGGCGGCGGATCAACGAAAACGCAAAACACAAAACACAGACATGCAGGCTCAAGGAGAAGCAGGGAAGGCAGGAGGCCACGGGCTTATTATTGGAGACAGAGCAGAGGCCGCCAGGTGCCAGGCAGGGCCTGTGGGCCAGCTGCGAGCGTTTCAGAGATTTCACAGTGGCCATTGTGCGCTCGCGAGAGGTGTCGCCGGCACCGCGGCACCTCTTGCAAGTGACGGTACCACAAGTACTTTGTACAGCACCCGCACGCTACGCAGGACTGGCGCGGGCCCCTGACAGGCAGTGACAACTCGGCAGCCCCGGCAGCGTCATCCTGGAGGGCGGCGCGCGGGTGTGTGCGCCGGGTAGCTCGAGCGTTGCGGGCTTGGCAAAAGCTTGGTAAAAGCTTGGTTTGCGTAGGGGCAAGTGCTCCCGAATTAGATATGAGCCCTTTCGACTTCGGGCTGGCTCCACCAATCTAGTACTGTGACGGTTATTTCTGCGAAACAGCATTGCTGGTTGACTTCCCGTAGCCAGCTCTAGGTGGAGCCGGACCCGCGAACCCCTTTTCTTGGTGCCTAATGTATCCACCTTGGGTGTGCCAGGGTCTTTGGACGATCTGAAAATATACGGAGATCGTGACCGTTTCGGGACCTGCTCTACGTCAGCAAATCTCAATAGAGGAAGTAGACTGTCTCACCATCGACGACTAGTTACTTACTCGTCGCATTTTAACTCGTCCACTCACCCTACCCGTTTTCCATTTCGTCCGATACTCCTGATACGAAATAAGGAAGCTCCACCAGCGGCATCAAAATGGGTGGGTTTGCTGCATTGGTTCTAGCGGCTGCCGTAGCGGTGGGCCGTGGCGCCCGGGACCGAGGGCAATGGCAACGAAGAAGCGCATGTTGCCGTTGACGTAGCACAGGTTCCGTGCTGGTTGTATTCTGCTGTCCCTGAAAGTCGACAGTCAGGGGCAGGACTGGTTAGCGGGAGAGTTTCACGATGCTCGTTTCGCCTGAACTCATGTCTTGATGATTTTTATGAATTCCTGTACTTATGGTGTCTCCACCCATCCACCACCACGATCATCGATAAAAGGGGTATCTCGAATGCCACGTCCTTGAAAGAAAGGAATAAGGAAACCAAGTGGTATCAACTCCAGCAGCTCGGGCTGTTTGCGGTGCGTTCTTCATCACAGCCCTACACTCGTCGCGGCCGTGTCGTTCAGGATGTATGCTGCTGCGACCATCCATCAGACCGACCCCATTCGCAGATACTCGTTCACCCTTACAAGCACCGCAAGGCTTCAGCTTTTCCTACCGCGAGTATCAATCCTGGATTTCGACCATCTCCTCGCACATCTGCAAGAACCGTACCCGATACTCCTTGCTCTCGGTGGTGATGCTCATCGGGCCCTGCTCGTCGATCAAGTTGTATCCGTTTATGAGTCCTGTCATGGCCTTTGCGTGGACTGTATGCTTAGCCCAGAAGAAGTCCAATACGGCAGCCCGGTAAACTTGTTTTTCGTCGCTTGACGTGATACCGGTGCGCCAGGTGGGAGGACTTGGAGGTGAAAACGACGGTTGCGTGCCTCCATTGCTGGCTTGTCCCGGCTCAAGCGAAGGCTGTGAATCGGTATATGGTGTATCTTCTGCGGATATACGGACAAGGAAGAGTGAGTAGTCCACGACATTGCAGTCAGCCAGCAGCTTGGTATCCTTCTGGAGCTCGGCTTGAAATTCGACAGCCTCGTCTCTCGAGAGCAGTAACTTGTCATCGAACTTGTCGGCCAGTTTCGACTTGGTCGCCTCGGATGTCAGCGCACCTCCAGCAACGTCCCGCTCCGGGTAGAAATAGGACGTCGGCTTGAGATCCCAGGTTTCCCATTTGTCTTTGGCACCCCCTTCGGCCTCTTGGTCTTGGCCATGCAAGAGGTTCTCCATTATGATGTGGTGGCTAGGTGCGAGACCCAAGAGTATGCCGATGCTCGCTTGGGCGCTCTCGAGGAAATCCGTGATGCGTATCAACAGACTGGCGCGATTTGCCTGCATGTGCTCGGCGTACGGGAGCAACATGTCATTCTTGAAGAAGTTGTGCTCGAAGCTGCGTGGGACGGATTTGATGAGGTAGGCGCCGTCGCTGGTGCGGAAGAAGGTCGAGCCGCTGTATCCCATGTCGCTCATGGGCTGCAGCGCGTTCTTGGCCTTCTTGCCGCTTCTGTCTCCGGCTCCAAAGCTCGCCTTGTAGTCATCTTCCGGAATCGACCAAATGCCACGCAAGGAGGTGAAGAGGTCCGATCGTACCAGCTGGAAGGTCAGCCAGTACAGGCGGAAGAGCCTGAAGGCTCTCGCTACAAGCGACGGCTTGTGTGCGGGCGTGCCGTCGTCTCTGGTGGTCAGGATGGCATGAACCACGGAGCGGGCAATCAGGGTTTCACGTCGCGTCATCTTGAGCAGTGTTGCATGTCTGGGATGTTCGATGCAAGCCGAAGAGGTCCAAAGAAGACCGAGAAAAAGATGATGTTGTGACACGTCCCAAGGCCCAGCCAGGAGCATAACCTCCGAGTGACGTCATCATCGGTACGTACCTTGGCGCGTCATTCTCGCCCAATTTCGCGTCTCATTCAAGAATCGACGCCGTCCTTGTTAACCCCGATAAGATGCACAGTCCTTACGGTACAGCATCTACCGCAGTACACTTTTTCTTCCCAACTGCTGCCTGCATACCACGATATGTACCAGAGTCGCCAGATGCGGCACATGATTCCAATGTCTTTTTGGACCATTCCTTGTTTCTTTACCTGAGAGGACTACATCACCAGCCACGTCACCAGCCACAGTGTCAACCACACTCCCAGCCATACCACCAGCCATGTTCGCCACATCCACCACATCTCACATACGGACTTGGAATTCTCGAACAACTTATCATCTCTAGGACACCCATTTCTGGTGTAGCAACCATGCTCAAACACTTCAGCTCACCGAGGGCTATACGGGGATGCCGGGAAAATCCTAAAAGCTCTACATCTGAATGACCCTGGTGTTCATCAGTTCAATCGAACTCAACTCAGGAGTCTCAAATTGAATTGAATGATGATTGTGTAACTTGAGTGTGTGGAACGCGGTACAGGCAGACTACTGGGAACTACCACACAATGGTGAGAGTATTTGCTGCATCGTTTACATCTTCTGCCAAACTTGAGGTCCAGCCACGATTGCACTGGACCCTTGACATCAGACCATTGTTGCCAGTGCTGAGCAATCAGTTCCACCCAAGACAATGAAAGACGCTTGATAATTCTGATCAACTCACAATGGCCAGGGGAGAGATAATGCCAGTGGCCTATCACCTTCCAATGCAAACCACGTGGTGCAAACACATTACGAGTGTCTTTGTGACAAGCACCTGAGCAGTTACACCAGACCATTGTGACCAGTGCTGATCAATCAGTTGCGTTCAAGGCATTGAAAGACGCTTGTTACTTCTGAGCAACTGACAATGGCCTGGGAAGAGAGGATGCCAGTGGCCAACCACCCCCTAGTACAAACCAAATGGTGCAAACCCATTACGAGTGTCAATGTGGCAAGCATCTGGGCCACTGGAGCGGTGAACTGCGGTGTGCTAGTATTGCACATGGCAAACGCTTGCGGATTGCAAAGTTCAGACTACAGACAAGAGACAACGGGTCAACCGGCTGCTCTAGTCGGGCAAACAGTCTCCCAGATGTGCTATATATCGGACGGAATTCGCACCTCCATTCAGCTCCCAATGTCACAGGAACACGTCCTCACATTAGAGCCTGCTTGCTTGACCGCTTGAAGGATTCAGCATGACACACGTGGAAGTTCCTGGCCACTCGTTCATTACAGTCTGATCTATCGACCTATTGTCAAGGTCATAGCGGGCCTGTTGATCGTTGCAATTGGCCGCCAGTGCCGTGCTGAAGGCACCGATCACGAAGACAGTGCACGAAGACAATGCCTCTAGTTGCAGATTCATCTGGAGAGGCGTTTCATGAGTCATAGCCAGATCTCTATTGGCTTCTGCTGCCCACAGTCAACACTGTCACCTGTACACAATGAGCTGACGGATCGCTGATTTCCTGTCGGGAAAGCTTATATATATATCACGCTTATTCCCCCTCTGCTGGACCTCCTTTTCACCACACACATCACCACACTATCACCACCAGTCCTTGCTCTCACCAATATCACCAGCTTTACCAGTCTTCCTGCCTTGCTTTCACCATCTCCAGCTTTACCGGTCTTCCCACCTTTGCTCAGTCCACGGACTTCACCAGCCCAACCAGCTCGAGACCTTCACCACTCCGAAGCAAGCACCACCTGCTCGCGCACCTACACAGCGTCGGGCAAAACCTAGACACCTTTCACTAAACCAACCAAAAATACACCAAGAACCGGCAAGATGTGCGCCATTATTCACTTCATTTGCCGGTATTGCAACGCCGATATTCCTAAGCCCAACGAGTGGCAATGGGAGCACAACCCGGTCTGCAGGAACCCCCGAAGCGAGCGTTCCGCGCGTTACACCTGTGGCGAATTTGGGCGCCCTACTCAGTACCCTACTCAGTACCCTACTCAGTTCGCTGGCCAGGGATACTATTACCAGGGATACTGATGGGTATGTTCAAGCATGGATCACCATGTGCACATGTGAGGTTTTGGACTTGGGGCTAATAATGTGACAGGTAACAGTGGTGTGTCTTACTGCTTTGGGGCCGTGGCAACTTCAGGGCTGGATCGTGTGGGGAAAGCAGGAATGGCAGTGTGCCTTTGTGGTAGCGGAACCAGAACAGAGATCTATCACAAGTCTCGGTTGGGATGATCTGTATTCTGGTTGGTGCTTGGTTACGTTCGGATGGGAAGGGATCCCATCCGAGAAGTATCTAAATACCTAAATTACAGTGGGTTGGTTCCTGTCACCTGGGGTAGCCATCCCAGGTAACCTTATCGTAGAACGCCCTGGATGACAGGAGATCCGATAAGGTACTGGTGGCTGGATCCAGTGGCTGGGATCCACAGCAGGATGATCATGGGAAAAGGTCTCTGGAGATGAAAATACTATTGCTACAATACCAACACTCTTAACGAAGTCAATAACACCTGGTATACCTCTTGCTTTGCTCTTGCGTCCTGCTATTTGCACCTTGTTAGAACTTTTTATTTGTACCTTGTCATTACCCCTAAGTATTTTCCTAGGCAGCTGGCAGCGGCCTAACCACCAAACTTACGGCCTAGTATTATATCGAGGTTGCCGGTGTAGCTGTCGGTGTAGCTGTCGGTGCAGTTGTCGGTGCAGCTGCTGGTGCAGTTGTCGGTGCACATGTCGGTGTAGCTGTTGGTGTAGGTGTTGGTATAGTTGTGTTAGATAGGGGGCTGTATGGAGACAAGGTGCAAATACGAAATACTAACAAGCTACAACTAGCAGTACTCTTGCTCTTAACCATAACATCGGCGATAAATAATCTTGTTCTTAATTACTTCTTTATTACTTATTAATTGCTTCTTAATCACAATACCGCAGACAGGATTTGTATTCTTAAGTACTTCCTAATTACTTCTTTGATTATGATGGCGGCGACGTATATCATACTCGGCGACATGATGCATCCTCGGCGATTCGAGGCACCCTAGCATCACGGCTCTTTGTGATAGTTACTGCGTAGGAAAGGAGTCTTTCATATAGCGAATTGCATGAATTGATTAGTCTGGACGGGACAAACATTGCCTCACTTGGCATAGTACCCAGTACAGTCCGTCCTCAGTCTTGGTGTTTGATTCATCGGATGAAGGTGGCACTGCAGAGTAGTTGCGAAGCATTCCGCGACTCCACGGGCTTGCCTGGTTTTGGCTGGGTTGACTGGCATTCAGGGCAGTTTCTGTTCAGGGCTTGGAGTCCCGCGATCTAAACATGTCAAAAGGGAGGTCAAAATAAGTCTTCAACTCGATTGAGCTGCCAAATCTGCTTGGGAAGTTGCTCGAAGCCACGGACAGGGCGACAAGGGTTCAAGCCAAGATGTTTTCTCCGCACCCAAGCAGAGTATCGACTTGGAGCAAGCCCCCTATCTTGTACGGCCGGCCTTGCCCAATGCAGCAGGTCGCAGTGATAAGCTTGGCTTGTCGTCCTTGGCATCGAAGCTGTGAGATTTCTCCTCTCACCAAGCTCATCCTCGGCTCGACGGGCACATGCGGGATGTTGCATGCTGCAGCAAACAATGCTCGGGGTCGCATTTATAGGCCAGCTCCCAGCTAGGTTGAGGAGATCGGAGCTGTCTTCTTACCTTCAGCAAATCTCGTGTCGTGTAAGCTCGTCCCAAGCACGTCTGTAAGCGACACTTGGACAGTAGCAGCTCACCGAGGTCATCGTGAAAAATGAGGCTCCCCATCGTATGCGGGAACCGCCAGACGGTCGCTGCGACTGTCTTGGCCGGGGCTTTACTGACGAATTCTGCCTATGCTGTGCCCTTGGTCGCACGAATCGGAAGCGATCCCTTCGCCGTGCTCGATCCGCAGAACTATGTGCTACCAGACAACATGACCTGGGCCGACTTCGTCGCTCCCCCGGGGACCAACTGGTCTGACCCTACTCAAAAGGGTTCGGAGCGAAACTTCAACATCGCGCTCGTCGCCGTCGACTACACCGACCGGCCCTTCGTCATCACCCAGGAGGCGGGATCGACCCCCTTCAAGAACCCGCAGCCGGTCGTGTCGGGACTCAGTCGCAACGAGGTGCCGGCTTTCTACCGCGACTTCCTGAACCAGCCGAGCGAGCTCAATCGCAACCACACGCTCCATGAGTACTGGATGGAAGACTCCGGCGGCCGCTTTGGCGTCGACCTCACGGCCTTTGGGGCGTACCAGCTGCCGAGTCTGTCGTATCAGTACGGCGTGGATGATGAAAGTGGCGGCTTTAACCCGGGTGCTTGCCCGGCAGAAGGACCGTGTTCAGTTGATCTTCGCACCGATGCGTACGCAGCATGGCGTGCCGACGTCGGCAATGAGACAGCCGACTCTTTCGAACTGGTATTTATCCTGTCCGCTGGCCAAGACGAGTCTTCGACATGGCAAGAGTTCGGCGAGATCATGTTCCAGACCCCTGATGATGTGCCCGAGGAGTTTGGACCACCAGATGAGTCCATACCCAACTATGCAGCCACCAGATACGTCAACTGGACGTCGTGGGCCTCAGCATCCGTCATCTGGCCTAATGCCGGTGGTGGTTCGTCTACACAAGCCGAGAGCTCGGGAATGGCAACGTACGCCCACGAGCTGACTCACCTGCTGGGAATTGGCGACAACTACAACAACCCCTACAGTGATCCTCCCCGTCGATCGTACACCGGGCCATGGTCGATGCTTTCGCGCGGCAGCTTCAACGGCCCCGGCGGTCCACACACACGCTGGCAGATCCCCGCCCAGCAAGGCGGTTCCCTGGGATCGCTCCACACAATGGGAGACAAGATGCGCATCGGCCTAGTAGCCAACACGAGCGTCCTGATGGTGTCACGCGCCGCGCTGCCAGTATCCGGTCTAGTAGTAGCCGAGATCACAGCGCGGGCCATCGACCCCAGCGAAACGGAGCTGATGGGACTGCACGTGCAAATGGGCGACGATCTCTCGCCAGTCTGCGACGTGGACGCCGACCCGCTCTGCGACGGCGGCGCCTACAACAACTACGACGTCGAGGTCATCGACCGCATGGGCGCCGACTCGTTCACCCCGGACTCGGGCGTCATGATCAGCAAGACGAAGGACGTCGATGACGCCCCCTTCCAGTGGACCATCGACGCAAACCCCGCGGACATCAACGTGGTCGACTTCTACCGACCCGACAGCACCGCGTCTATGCTCACCATTGGCGATTACCGCCAGTTGTCCGACGCGCTGTTCCACGCCGGCACGCGCTCCGGCAGCGAGTTCGAGTACGAGGACGAGGCGAACCGGCTGCACTTCTACGTCGTCGACATCCGCCGCGACGAGGTGGGCGTCCTGCACTACACAGTCGGCGTGCGCTCGCTCGACGGCAGCGGATCCAGCACCTACGGCGTGGAGCTGGGGGAAGGCAGTGTTGCGGCCAGCTTCGGGGCAAAGGCCACAGATGCGGGACTGACGTGCGCCTTCGAACTGACCAACTCGGGCACCTACGTCGACGGCGGCGCGGAGCACCCGCAGGATCTGTCAGCGTACTTGACGTCGGATATCTACCGCCTGAGCGCGGCAGTGGAGGGCGAGGGGTGGCGCGTCGAGCTTCCAAACGCGCTTGCTGTGGCTCAGTTTGGTGAGTCGACGATTGCTAAAGTCGCGGTTGGAGCGGCCGTCAATGCTACTGCGAGCGCGGTTATCAAGCTGACGGCTGTGTCCGAGTCTGACCCGTCTGTTGCTGTTACATCGAACTGCCGGGTGACGAAGAGCTAGAAGGATTTCGATGACGCATTGACGATCACCCAAATAGCGAGGCTAGTCAACATTATTGGTATTTGCATGACTGTTATTTTCTGCTGGCTTAGCGTCACCGAAGTCGTCGTAAGACTTTCAAGACTTTCAAGACTTTACATATGTCCCACCTTCGACACCTTTACAGCCGCCAGATCTGAGCGCTAGCACACTGCTTTAGAAACAAGTCCGGCGAGCGGAAGTCGATAATAGGTGTCTTTGTGTCGTCTGCAGTAACCGATATACTCGTTCGGGACGCCCACGTCGTCCAGATAATCCAAGACGACCTCGACGTGGCCCTTGTCAGAGCTCTTGCCGAATATCCTCTTCTGCGCTTCCAGCTTGAGCTCATTGACCCACGATTGGAAGGGAACCGCGCTGCCGTCCGTCTGTGCAACCACCTTGGTGATCTTTCCGAGATGCTCCATGTCTGATGTGATTGGGTGAAACCCAAAATCGTCTCTGTCAATGAGGCTCGGGTCGGGCGAGTCCATGTCCTCCCAGTCCACCATAACGTCATCGTCAATGGGGTTCAGTTCGGGCGAGTCAGTGGAGCTGTCGTCCAAGTCCATGTCGTCGCTGATGATGGAGCTCGATTCGGCCGAGGCCATGTCGCCCCCGGCGCTGGCGAGAGAGATATCGATAGGCCCATTGAATGCGTCAGCGACCTTGGAGCCCGGGATGACCAAGATAACCTTGTTGAGTCGGGTCATACAGGGCCAGGGCAAAATGGCACTGAACGGATCCGAGAGGTTCTCGTTGATCTTTGAAAATATTCGCAGCTCATGGCTACCCTTTTTACCGGGGCTGCCTCTTGATTCGTGGATATAGGTAGGCTCATACAACGCGGCACTGATAGCCACATTCTGGACGTTCTTGCGGAAGGATGGCATCGAACTGAGCGGGTCTCCGAGAGGATCTGCATTGAAACAGAACAGGTCCTTTTCCCAGTTGACAAAGAGAAAAGAGTAGACGATTGTCAGACGCTTTCTTCCCCGTCGGGGTTTGCTGCTGGTACCGTAGCAAACGCCCTCGGGAGCTTCAGCTACCCAGTTCGACGGCTTAATTCTAAGCATCTGGCGAGAGGCGAGAGCTGCCTTGCTTGCCTCTGGGCTGACTTGCATGAGAGTTCGTATCTAAGTATCAGGGTGATGTCAATCATGCCGAATTCGCCGAAGGAGGTCAGTCGCCGTGTGCCAGTCAAGAATTGGCCAGTAAAGGGGAGAGCTCTCTCGTAAGCTCTTTGTTGCCATGGTCTGAGTTGAATAGGGGCACAAGGTATGACATGCATAAGTGCCTTCTTTGGTAAGGCGTAGACTTCCCAGACCTTGAGACGGAGTTCCTCTGGCAGTGCAGCGAACTGGGGGAAACTCGTGGATGTGGACATGGTGTCTTGCTGGATAGATGTGGCAGACTGCCAGGTGGCGCGTGGTGGAGGGGGGAATGGCAAGAGGGAACGACGTGTAAGCTGTTCAAATAACTAATCGGTGGTGTTTTAATTGGATGTGGTGATGATGCTGGAGACAGGAATTCCAGGGCTCGCGGTGACGCGAGATGGGAGATGTAGTGGATTCTACGGTGCAACGCACCTGCCCGACAGTGGTTGACTCGACCGGCGATAAGGTAGAGAGGTATTGGGAGTCAACGTGAATAAGGTTTTGGCTGCTACTTCCCCCTTTTCTTCTTTGGTGGATTCGTGGCAGGATCAAACGGACCACCAGAGACAGGACTCGACAGTAGGAGCCACACGTAGTCTCGCTCGTGGATGCAGCAGACCTGGGGTTTCATTAGGTAGTCTATCCCCAGCTCAGAGTAATATGCATACCTTAGGAACCCGTATCATTATGTCGGCACTTGGTCAGCCTCGACTTGTTCCTTCGCGTGTTGCCGCATCCCCTGAGCACCGCCCAACGCGAGCCGATAACGCGTAAAACAGACAACCACAAGAATCACAGCACCCTGCACACACACCACAACTGCCTTTCCCTTTCTCGTCTCCAAGTCTGGATAGGCTAGAATGCCAACAATGTCATCAAACAGCGCAAGCCATGCCGCCCTCCAAAGCGTCCTGTCCACGGTGCCCACCAAGTTCCGCAGCATGCCCCAACGAGGCGGCACACTGTTCATAGCTATGCCACTGCCCAACGCCCATAGTGCATGTACTGCAAACTCAGACCTCCGCTGCGGTTCCCCCACGCCCCTTTCCCCAATGACGTAACCGGCCCCGTAGTTCAGCGCTAGATCTCCCACGAAGAAGAGCGGATTGAACGGTGAGCCGAGGATGCGCCCGTAGGTGAAGAGCACACCAGCGCGGTAGAGATGGCCTTTGCGCGTGAAGCGGACCAGTTGTGCGGGACTGGGAGCTGGCCGGTTGGAGGGATAGACGAAGGAACCGAGGAAGTAGGTGGGTATCCCGGCGAGGAGAATGGGGAGGCGATGGCCGAAGGGATCGGGGACTGTAAGGAAGATGAGGATCGTGGTCAGAAGGGGAAGGTAGAGGTGAACATAGGCGCGCCATGCTGGCGGATGGACTGCGGCAATGCCATTCATGTTGAACCTTGTGTTTTCTTGACTTTCGATGTGCATTTGTAGGGATGGGGATGAATTAATGTAGCGCGACTCTTTTTCTTTTAATGACACGAGGTCACGTGCTAGCTCTGGAATGCTCCCTTATCGATGGAACTGCTCTGGAAGTCTTGCGGCCCTGACTATGCCTCCAATGAATATTACTACCTGCACTGTTGCCATGTTCTTCTACCCACAGAACTCTTCGTATGCCTCGGACGTTCTTGATGAGCGGGCATATGCTCACTCGACACGAGCCTGCCGCAGTAGTCCAACTGTTGCTAGTATTGGCGATGGTATCACGCTGCGCGCTTCGCCATGGTTGATAATTCGGTATGAAGTATAGCATATAGGGTACATAGACTGGACTATGTGGAGTCCAGTGATGTTCGCTCTTGGTCCTACGTGTATACTGACCTGGCCCCTTCATCCCCGCGCTCAAGTCGCAGGGCTCGACATAGAACAAAAGCAGCCAACCACACATCAGAGAAGGGGAAGCATTGTTCCCTTATTACCCTCTTCCAATTCTTTCTGTGATACTTCACGTATTGCGCAGATGATGAAGATGCTACAGATGGTGAGTTGGGTGGCCGCCAAGACCTGCAGAAGCTCTCACCACCACGGTAAACATCGTCACCTACAAGTATGAGAAGCCCCACCTCTATAACTGAACATACAACGCCACGTTGTATAGTGCTCAAATATGGATATGCTGGTCATTGAAGATTAGCCAACCACAGTGCATCGTTTCACGGATCAGCTGTCACGGATTGATGACTTACATATATACTGAGGTCAGAATTGAGTACTGTTGTCTTGACGTCATGCATCCCTCATACCATACTTGGCTATGTGACAAGCAACACCTGGAAGGGCAACACTTCATATAAACCACGACAGTCAATACGAGATATCCCAAATCACAGCACTGAAACCTCTTAGGTACACTTCAGCCTATCGACTACCTACGATAATCTTGACTTTACACACACACCGACCATGTTCGGCTCAAGCAACAAGTTCGACCCCAACACCGACGACATCCCGGACCTCAGCGGCCGCGTCTACATCGTCACAGGCGGCAGCGCCGGCATCGGCTACGGCATCACAGCGCACATCCTCCAGCACAACTGCGCCAAGCTCTACCTCCTCAGCAAGAAGTCAGAGCACCTATCCGAAGCGCAAGAGGGCCTCAAGAAATACGGCGACGTCTCCCGCATCGAGGCCATCCAGTGCGACTTCGAAGACCTGCACCAGACCCACGCCGTCGCCAAGCAGCTATCTTCCCAAATCAACCGCCTCGACGCCCTGATTTTGAATGCTGGGCTCGGCGTCGGGCTTTATAATGAGACCAAAGATGGGTTGGACAGCCACATGCAGGTCAACGTGATCGCGCAGCACCACCTCGCGCGCGCGCTGCTGCCCAGGCTCGTCGCGACGCCCGACAGCCGCCTCTGCTTCCAGGCGTCCGAGTACCACCGCTTCGGCACAAGCGGGGTCGAGTTCCACGACGTGGCCGAGCTGAACACCGATGTCGGGCCCAGCACGCTGTACGCGCGGTCGAAGCTCGCGCAGGTGCTGCTGTGTCGCGCGCTGTACCGGCGCAAGCAGGCCGGGCAGCTGGGTCTCGCCCCGGAGAAGGCGCCGTGGATCAATGCTACGCACCCTGGTGGGATCGTCACGGACCAGCAGGATCAGGCTGTGGAGGCGTACGGCACGCTGGGCAAGATTGGCGTCAAGGCCGTGAGGCCGTTCATGGACGATCCGGTTGCTAAGGGTTGTCGGCCGATGCTGTTCGTGGCGACGAGCGACGATGTCGTGAAGGAGGGGATCGATGGCGCGTATGTGGTGCCGGATCGCAAGGTCACGGATGTGAGCAAGCAGGGTAAGGATGAGGAGCTGCAGGAGCGGTGCTGGAGGTTGGTGGAGGGGATTCTGGCGGAGAAGTTGGGGCCTCTGGAGTACGCTACTGCTTAAGTCTGGTGGATCGTGAATGGGCGATGGGTAATGGATGATGAAAGTTAGCGTGTGGTTACGGCCCCTTTACGGTCTGCTATCCGTGCTCCTCGGCACAAAGTAGGACTGCCAACATCGCCCGTGGCATGGTAAGTGAAGGGGTACTCCTGGATCTTGATCTTAAAGCAAAAAAGCTTTACGCTTTCAAAGATTATAAACAGCAATGGCCACAGATTTGTTCCAATTTCTGACGATAACTTGGTAGTATGCGATCACAATTACAAGGGAGCACTGCTGAGGACAGTAAGTCTGGTCGACATAAAAAATGTATTCAGAAAGCCATCCAACATCCCGTTGTCCCCAAAACGAGAAGATTCACGGATGCCAGAACGGATCACTGACTAGGCACTGACATACATACCTGATTAGGTACCTAGTAAGTAACCCCGCCACCTCCCAAACACCCAAACCGCATCATTCATCCATCCATCTCACAAAAACCCCTCCCTACAAGAAAGCAACAACTACAACACCCAGCGCCGCAACCGCCATCTCGACACCCACACGTCCAGCCGCCGCCGTCGGGACAACGGGGTATCCCGTCCCCGAGCTGCCGGGCCCCGCGCTCGTGGTCGTGGTGGCCGAGGTCGGGACCGGCATCGGGGTCGGCACGACGGTACCGATAATATAGCTTGTCGTGATGGTGACGTCCGCGGTGGTGCTGTTGCTGCCTGTGGGGTAGCTGGGGTACGTGCTCGGGCCCGGGATCTGGGTCTCGCTCTGGCTCTCGCTCTGGCTGTATGTGACGACCGTGGTGCCGGTGGGGTACACGGCGCTGACGGTGCTGACGGTGCTGACGGTGCTGACGGTGCTGACGGTGCTGACGGTGCTGACGGTGCTGACGGTGCTGACGGTGCTGACGGTGCCGACGCTGCTTAGGACCACGGTGGTGGTGCCGGCTGTTGTTGCTGGGTAGGTGGTGGCAGGAGTCGTGACGGGCGTTGTCTCGGCCGTGGTCTCCGGGGCCGTCACGGAAATCGTCGTCACAGCAGTGGTCACAGCAGTGGTGACCGAAGTCGCCACAGGAGTCGTGACGGGGCACACAGTGGTAGAGATTGCGATGGTGCTAGTCGTGACGTGCGGCGTGTTGGGGCAGTCCGTCACGGTAGGGGCGCACGAGGTCACGGTTAGCACAGTTGTGGAGTAGATGGTTGACGTCGTCATCGAGATGGGGTACGTCTCGACGGGGTACGTCGTCGTCGGGTACGTCTCGACGGGGTACGTTGTCGGGTACGTCTCGACAGGGTATGTCGTCGTCGGGTACGAAGCGGACGTGTTGCTGTACACGTACGTCTGCGACGGCGACGGCGGAATCGGGTACGTCCATGGCACCCTGGTGGAAGATGTGGTTATCGGGTACGTCGTGGCACTCGAGACAGGGTATGTCTCTGAGGCCGAGCTCGATGAGGAGTTGGCGGCATAGCTTGATGACGAGACTACCGGGTAGGTAGACGAACTGCTTGGAGGAGTGCTTGCCGAGTAGCTGGAGGTGCTGCTCGTGGCGCTGCTGACCGGGTAGCTTGAGGGGCTGCTCGCCGGGTAGCTGGAGCTGCTGGCAGGATAGCTCGAGGAGCTGCTCGCCGGGTAGCTGGAGCTGCTGGCAGGATAGCTCGAGGGGCTACTCGCCGGGTAGCTCGAGGATGTGCTGACAGCAGAGCTGGACGGGACAGACGACGTGCTCGCTGGGTAAGTCGGCGTGCTCGCCGGGTAAGTAGGCGTGCTCGCCGGATAAGTAGGCGTGCTCGCCGAATAAGTAGGCGCAGTGCTAAGCACGGTACTCGACGTCGTGGAGACTGGGTATGACTCGGCGGGCGTAGACGACGGTATAGCAGAGCTCGTAGACGCGGTGTGCGTGTAAGTGTAAGTTATGCACGAGCAAGCCGAGCTAACAGCCGCAATGTCGTTGTCGCAATTCTATAGGCATGTCAGTCGTTGCCCATCTGGATCACCCTTGCAGTTGGAAGATGTGTTTGCACATTCTCCTGAAGACTTACCGCGAATTCGGTCGGGATGGCGGCAGCATCGGTGGTGGTGCTGGCCAGGAACTCCAGGCAGAAACCGGGAGCGATGGCAGTGAAGCGGTCGTCGATGAAGTTACGATAGCAGTTGTCCTGCTCGCAGTCGGGGTACTCCCAACGCTTGAACGACGCGTTTGCCACGCCCGTCAGGGCCAAGGCCGCAAGGCTCGTGTATAAGCCGTGCATGTTGAATAGTATTAATGTATAAAGACTAGATGACCCGTTTTATATTACTTGTAGTAGAGTAGCGAGTGTCTGTAGCAATTATTATATTAGGTATCGCGAAGCGCAAGCAATAACGAGTGACTTGGCTGGGCTATTAGATACGTCCGTCCGTACGGGAAGAGACGTAGAGAAGAGGGGGTGAGAGGAGATCACGACAACCGGCCACCGCGGTCCACAGCCTCTCTTATTATGGGAGTTGTGATGGCATCTCGCGACGGCAGTGCGGCACGACAGGGGCACAGCCAGCTCGGATGCTCTCATTCGAATCTCACCTCATCTTCCACCTGCCTAGCTAAGAGATCAACACCACGACCATTAACCCGGGCCGCAGCCTAAACCCAGCGCGATGCTACGCTAGGCTCTCGCCCCGCCACAGGAAGCAAATAGTTCTACTTGCTCTCAGATTATTCCCCCCTGTACTGCCTGCATGGGAATACGAGCAACGCTGTTTTTCCTGCAAGACGGCGGCCCAACGGTCAGACTCGTGGTGATGGTGTTGATGAAATGCAGGTGACATGGAGAGTGATTGGCTGCGCAAAGGAGGAGAGACCCAATACCGTTAGCGCAGTCTGCGTGCAGGATCTGTAATTAGCATGCATCTCTTCATCTCCTCCAAATACGAAGGAACGTAGTATCTACTGGACTGCTAGTGTCAGGCTCGCAATAGCCGTTCGTGCCGTGAGCAGACGGCGGTGTGACAACTCATAAGTGACACATGGCCAGTGTCCATCGTATCCATTCCCCGTCGTTGTGTGTTCTGTCGTCATTCGATACAATATTCACGGGATGGGTCATCAACCTTGCTCTCATCGTGTTGCTTCGGCAGAGGGCCACAAGATCTCTCAGATCTCGCGACTGACGAGATAACAAGCATTGCATTGGGTGGACCAGTTGATCCGGCAGCATCCGAATGAGTATCGTACCACCCAGAAGCAGCAGTGGTACAGCAGCAGTGGCCCCCATGGCCCATGGGGTAGATGCTCGCTCGTTGATTCGGGCGCTTCCAAGAAAGCCAACCTCGTCACGACATGTGTCCCAGCTGTCATCATGGGAACCATGGCGACGAGCAGCAGAGGGGCATCGTCAACTTTGACAGCCGAAGTGAGCCGAGCTGGTTCCCGCATCGGGCAAGCTATGCAGTGGCATTCCGTGCCGTACAGTAGGTAGCTTCCCTGCAGGAATGCGGCGCGGGTGCTGTTGGGTGTTGGGTGTTGGAAAAGCATTTGGCGTTTGAAGGATGCGCCCACCGAGCTTTCGGTCAGACGCGCATCGGAGTGGAAGACGCGTTGTTGCTAGCCGAGCTTCAACTCCCAGCGCAACCCCCTTAAGTGATGCGAAATGCGCTCCAGACCCGGCGACCTGGAATGCCTCATCTCGCTGAACCAACACTGCCATCGTCGCGACCAACAGGGGATGCGCACATTGCACTTGCATCAAGTAAGTTCCAGCCACCTAGAGGCCGGAAGATGATCAATGTTGATGATATAGCCTGAAGCACGAGCTTCATTGGAAATTCCTGGCGTCGATAACAATTTCCGAACAGCCGTTGCTGTTACCGCGATCATCGATGCCACACCGTCGGGTTCAACTGGCTACGGCTGTCGGTAGAATGTGGGGGACATTGGTGGTTGTTCGAACGACCAGAAAAGTTCGCACCATTTGACGATTTCGTGGTCGACGGGTTGTGGAAGTCGTGAGATATCAAGTGATATACCTTACCGTAGGTGAAAGTGTAGGTGTTGAGTTCAGAATGAGGTAGGGCAGGTGTCTTTGATGATGCGATTCCATGGAAATGGAATGGAATTGACTGTCCGTGATGACGTGACGTCATACATACATGTGTGTTCATCGTTTAGTCAAAGCATCATCCTCTGTTGTAGATACGACTATCTCAAACACGCAGTCAATACAACATCCGATATCTGTGAATCTGGCATGATCCGCATCGCCAATCTCTGCATTTGGACCATAATCGCGTGGTTACTACTTTCGTCAGCAACAGCACAAGGATTCGAAGATCAGCAGAGACCCCTGCACTATTCCAACATGGCACCCCAACAGAGCCTCAACGGTATGTCTCCCCACTCACCCTTCCAAGGTTACCTCCACATGGAGATATCACCTTGATCCTGACATCGTCCCCCAAACAGTCTTCAAGCAGCCCCTCAAGCTCTTCTCCCAGCAGCCCATGACCGGCTTCTACCGCGACGGCTACTGCCGCACCAGCCCGCAGGACCCGGGCAACCACGCCGTCGCCGGCATCGTGACCGACGAGTTCCTGGACTTCTCGGCCTCGCGCGGCAACGACCTGCGCTCCGTCGGGCTCAAGGGCGGCTGCCGCTGGTGCCTCTGCACCGCGCGCTGGTTCGAGGCCGTCAAGGCCCACCAGGCTGGCAAGGTCAGCAATATGGGCGTGCCGCGCGTCGATCTGGAGGCCACCGAGGATAGTGCGTTGAGCATGGTGAACATGGAGACGTTCCGCAAGTTCGCTGCGCAGGGTGGTGGACAGCCTGGTGGGAGTGGTGGCTCGGGATCTGGTGCTGCTTAGGACGACTTCGAGTCGAGGAGGCCCAGTCTGTCTGCTGCAAGATCGCGCCAACAGGGCGGAAAAGCTTGATACGCACATCCTGATTTTGAGGACGAGGCCGAATCCCAATCATGGTGACTCGGGTGAGTTCCATATGTCATACTATGGGCATAGCATCCCACTGGGGATCTGACGAGTTGGCAAAAGCTGTTACTATGCTCCGAGCACATATGCTCCGGGCACAGGTCTATAATGGTGTGTATGATAGTGTGTTGCTAAGTTATCTCTCATGAAGATTCATCGACAACAGAATGAACTCGATACAAACAAAAGTATGATCAAGACCCAATAAACCCATGTAGGGAGTAGCAAGTTTTCCGTACATGTGGTCAAGATCTGTTCTAGAGTGGGACAATGAGAATCCAATCCTCTAATGGACGACTCATCATACTCCTGGCGCCAGATACGAAGGTAATCATGAGTTACTCGAGAGTTTCCTCGAGACGAGTCCAGGTATCTTTCTGAAGCTCCATCCGCTCTTCGTCCTGCAACGACTCAAGAGGCACACGTACAGACTAGGACACATTGGATATGCTGGATGAAGGGACGGGCTCACCGGTTGCGGTTAATCTCAGGGGTGACATCCCATACATCACACATCCAGTAGAGAAAAGCCCATAACAGGCGGAAGCGAACTCATCAGACGTACGCTGCGAGCCCTGTACCTTCGTCCTCGGCAGCGCGATCCAGTCGGTGATAGGTATGGGTCGTTATATAGCGGTGGCAGTCGGCTTGGCACTGATCATGTGTCATCGTCCGTAGATTATGTCTTTCAACTGAGTTTCAGGCCAAAAGTAGGGCAGCTTCATAGCCCTTGATTCCCGAGCTTTGGGGCATTGACGATATATTTCCCCTTAACCCAGATCTCTCGTCCAGTACTGGCATGCCATCGCCGGACTTCTCTGGAAATCGCAACCGTCGAACCAAATGAAAAGAGAGCAGAGGGGAGAAGATGGAATCACCCGAAGTTCTTCGACTCACTCCCCCTTGTTCCTCAATTGGGTATACATGCCGCTATAACCTGGTAAGGTTGATCTACGGAGTAGAGTAACAGATTTCTGGAGTCCGTCTGGCACTTGATTGCTCCTCCTTTTCTTTATCATACTCAAGTCGTCATGGTGGCATGAGTCTCATCATGACTTGGATCTCACCCAGAATATCGCGCGCACCGCCCGTGTCACCGGCTTAGCTGCCATAGCCAGGTCGGCCGTGACTGCGGCGCCAACTCAACAGCTCATCGCGAGAGCCGGCGCTTGGGCCAGGGGAGCCAACATCGGTACGCCGGCTCGCAACGTGAAGCAAGTGCTGGCGGATATCGACGCCTCTGTGTGTATTGCCAGAGAACGGGCCACCATCGCTCTACCCTGCTGACCGAGGCGGACAGGCGAATGACATCGTGATACGAACAGAACACCCTGGTTGGGGACGCGTGCAAGCTCGCGATCTCGACGCGATCGATTGCCAATGCCATATGTTCCTATACTGTTGCGACGGCCACATGCTCAGCGGATAAGACGAGATCGGCCATTCCGTCCGAACTTGGCAGGTCTGCTACCTAGACGGGGAGCAGTTCTTCCGCGACGATAGCGTTGGGGACTTCTCCATTCCGTTCACCGCAGTCGAAAACAGCCCTCACCACCCCGTTCTGAAGATGGCTGACGTCAACGACTGGGAGCTCCGGGAACTTCTGCGCGGTCTTCGACGAGCAGAGCGGCGCGCCCTCGGGCGGGATGTGCAAAACCCAAAAGCAACCGGAAGGTATTGAGCAGAGCATCGCACGGACGTGCGGCGTTCCCAAGCGGGGCGCCGACTCGCTCTTCGGCATGTCGAATTACCTTACGTCCGGACGCGAGAAGGCGCACACCCGCGTGGTGCACGGCACACATCACCGTTCCAACGCAACGAGCTCGCCAAAGGCGGCGCCTACGCTTTCGACGACGACATACTTTTTCCCTGGGCACTCCGTGTCTTCGTGTAATACAATGCCAGTCAAATCATTGGGCTACAGATCGGACGGACGATGGGGAAGGATTGGTGTAATGCGGGGATCCTGCCGTTCCTGATGACCAGATGGGTCAGAGAAGCAGACGCTTTGATGCGCTCTGACACCACTCGATCGGGGCCAGCAAAAATCCTGGCTGCCTGGCCTCACCCTTTTTGATGCATGGGTGCTGGGGTTGGGTGGCAGGCAGGTGAAACATTGAACGATGCGGTCGTCCGAAATGGGTTTAGCAGGCTGGCAGGTTGATGCATACTGACGACCTACATGTGCCATCAAATTCCAGTGCTATCGTAAACCACTACAAGTCGGGAATGGAGCGGGTGGGAAGCATCCACGTGGACAGACGGGACAGACGGGGGTTGCCAATCTATCTCATGGCTTCAACCCATGCATGCCACGCTGCCATGCTGCCATGCTGCCACGGTAGCGGCACCGGGGTCGAGGGGTCCGTCTCTCCCGCCCAGGATTCAGGAATCAGGGGTATCGATTCACCATCATCGTCGACCTTCACTTTTCATCACCGAATTCCCATATGCAGTACGCCGTCTCGGATGACGCTGAAGACCGAAAGTTCATGGTAAGACCTACTACGGACCCCGTCAGTCAGGTGGACATTGTAGGTTTCAAAAAAGAGACAGAGTCTCCCCTCTTGAATAAAGTACCTACAACCCCCCCAAACCCCCCAACCCCCCTTTCAATGTTCCACTTGGTCCACGGGGTGTGTTTCTCTTTTCGGAGTCGGATGCGAGAGATATCTTATACCCGACACGGTACTCTCTTGAGGTGGTGATGATGAAGAGGCTTGAGGCTATAGTGCCAGCGCTACAGCGACTAGAGCGGTCTTAGTACCCCAAAGCGCCGAGCCATTCGCTGGAATGCCGCTGCATTGGTACAGACTCAGCGCTATCTATGGGGATCAACCACTAGCCTTTGGCCTGTCAGTACTAGCGCGGACGGCTCACCCACAGACCCAGTCTGCCAGTGGACATCTCCAAGTTGCGGTTGTAAAACTCCAAGGGTCTCCATCTTCATTTTTCGCCTCCTGAGTCCCGAGCGTGGAAGGAGCTCTGGCCAGGGGCACCGGCAGACTTCCTGACTTCCAATTGATCGATCCTCTTATCAACTAATCCTCACCTCTGCCTCTCTGGATGGTACCTTCGCGAGATCCGTCTCCTCCCACTTGATACACCGAAGACCTGGCAATTGATCCTTTCGGCGCCACCCGCTCTCACTTTTGGATTTGGGTTCTAATTAATACCTTGTTTGCGCATTTGCTCATCTGCGACTTTTCGTGTATCAAAGCCACAATCTGGTGGTTATTCCAGTCGCTGGCCTCGGGAATACTCGCTTTTAGTCCAGGTGATCATGCGATTCTTTATTTCAAGCACTTGCCCCGACTTTTGTTTCTCGTACAACATTCTTGTTTGACCGCAGATACGGGTGACTGCCGACAAGGATCACAGTCACAGTCACGGTCACAGTCACAGATCGCTGTGAGTTCCGCTGTCTGTCCCGGTCCGGTATCTGGCTCGTCTACTGCCCATCGTCGGTGGCTTGCTTCTCTGCGTTGCGTTGCGTCGACTTTCAGCTGTGCCTCGAATGGCATATGTTCGTCCTGCTGAGTGCTGACGACCTACCTTGTCTGTCCAACCCGAATTGACCAATCGACACCCAGCCCCAGTCATGCATTCCTCCGATCACAGTCGACGAACCCAGCGGCGCCGCCCCGAACTCAACATCAACACATCCCCTGCCGGCAGCAGATCCCGTGATGCTGTCCCTTCGACTCCCCCAAAGAGAACCCCCGTGCCCGCAAAGGGAAAGCCGCCTGTGTCGAGCCGCAGAATACCAGCTGCCGCTTCCTCCGCTACGAGGGATTCTGGCGAATCCTTCTTGGACAATGGTTCGCCGGTCGACATGGGGAAGACCGAACCCGATATCCCTCGCGGCCGCCCCATGAGGGACTCGCACGATCTCTCCCTGCCCACTCGGCAGTATACCCGCGACTCGCTCGTTACGAACATGCTGTCGTCCCTCGACCAGTTCTCCCTCGGCCAGATCCACACACCGCTTGGCAACGACTTTGACGAGGAGGAAGACGACAGTTTCGGTGTCCCCCGGGGCGACGGTTTCTCGAGGTCGATGACGGGCAGTACCCGTCCGGCACTCATGTACAGCGCTGGGAACAGTCACAGCCATGGCCATAGCCATAGCCATAGCCACAGCCACAGCCACGGATACAGCTATAGCTCCGACTTCGACGGCACCGATGACGGGGCGAGCAAGATATCCAGTCAGTTTTCGAGAGGCCGCCGCAGCAACAGCAGCTCGGGCTTCCAGTCCAGTCTGGGGAGGATCAATAGTATGCGGGAGGGGAGCCATCCTAGCGCACCGGCCAAGAGCCCGCTCCATTCGAGAGGAGGGAAGACGAGCAAGAGTAGCAGCATGAACAGCATTGACGTCGGAGGATATGCACAAGTTTTGGCGTCGCAGCGGCTCACACATGGCATGGGCGGCAGGTCGACAAGTTTCGACCACGGACAAAGGCTCCCTCTCAACCCTCTCAACACTAACGCGGATTCGCCGAGTGCTTGGAAGACCGAGTTCTCCAACACATTCCTGGTCGATGATTATGAAGCAGCACCGACCCCCACAATTCCTGGAGGCCCTCGTCGTCTGACAATACCATCCTCACCCGCCGTGAGGCCACCTGCGCCTCCGGCACCCGAGCCGAAGACACCGGATCGTAAGAAAAACACAAGATCGAGGAGTGGTACGAACAAAACAACGCAGTCCAACAAATATAATACAGCTTCGCGGCCAATGCCGGAGCCCGCATTACCTACGCTCGATCTTGATTCTGCCCCCGCGCCACATGTTGGTTATGAGAAGTCAAAGGATGCCCAACAAGACGGCCCAAACTCTGCACCCCCAACCAAGGAGCGCCAGGGCTTCTTTAGCCGACTTTTTGGCTCTTCTCGAAATGCGCCGGTCGTTGTCGAATCAACCTCGGCACCCGTTACTTCGACGCCTGCTGACACCGTCGAACGTACGGGGAGTAGGACACAACACATTGCTTCCCAGATGAAAGCCGAGTCTGCTCCTCCGTCAAGGGACTCCCAACCAGCTCCTCCACCTGATCGCGTTATACAGAAGAAATCTTCTTTCTTCCGCAGGAGGAAAAAGTCGATTGCTGAACCACCGATGCCGCCACCTCCTATTCCTGCAGCAATGGACCTCACCGGAACACGGGACGAGTCTATTCCTGCAGCGATGGACCTCACCAGAACACGGGACCAGTCCATTCCCAAACCCGAGCCGAGCCCCGTCAGCAGCTTACGCCAGGTTATGAACCCGTATCTGGCGGGCAGCACTCCATCCACGCCCAGTGGACTCTTAAAGGCGCGAGCAGATGGTCCCTCACGCTCGTATGATCTCGAGTCGCGAGACGAGGAGAACAACAGAAGGACCAGGGGCTTCTCGCCAGACTACGAACCGAGCCCCAGTGCAACCATCAGGACCGTGAAATCTACCCCAGCCCTGAAGAACTCGCGCGGTCACACTGAAAGCCCAATGCGGAGCCCACCCGACGTGCCTGCGAAGCCGGTGAGCGGTCAGGATACGGCGACGTTTTTCCATGACAGCAGTGATGAGGGTGAAGGAACGCGTCGGCATCGTAGCAGCAGACCTTTCCCCTTGGCCGATGACTCGAAATCCGAAGCTGAGACTGCTAGGAGCCCGGGACTGATGAAACCTGAGCCCTCACCGAGCCTCGCGTTGAAGAAAAACAACACGTTCGATTCAGGACAGATCCAGCCGAGCCTCGGGCTCCCGATCGAAGGCAGTCGAAGTTCCCTACGCAAGTCGCCGTCTCGCCCAGCGCCAAGTCCATCAGCTAGCAGTCTGCCCAGCCTCAAGGTTGACAGTGCTGAAGTCAGCCCCGGATTGGTGGGCGGACCTATGGATGAACCCGAATTTGCGGTGGGAGAGCCAACCGAAGATGACCGGCAGAAGGCGCAGCGCATCTACGATGGAAACGAGGACTTCATACAGAAAGAAAAGGCTGCGGCATGGATGGGCGAGGAAGGGCTCGTGAGACAGAGGACCTTGAAGGCGTATATGGATCTATACGACTTTGAGAACCAAACTGTGCTTACGGCGCTTCGGCAAATATGCAGTCGCTTGGTATTCCGAGCCGAGACACAGCAGGTCGACCGCATTCTCGTGGCATTCTCCCAACGGTGGTGCGATTGCAACCCCAATCACGGGTTCAAGACGAAAGGTAATCCTATCCATGTGATTTCTAGACCATGTCACTAACATGCCGTAGATGTGATACATACGATGTGCTACTCGATTATGCTCTTGAACACGGATCTTCATCTGGCGAACATTGAGCAGAAGATGACCCGAAGCCAGTTCGTCAAGAACACCATGACAACTGTGAAACATGCGGTGGCCGATTCGGCTCCAGAGGCCTACGACCGAACGAGCATCCTGCCTGGTAAAAACACATTACTAAGTCCAACCGACTCGGAAGCTGGCATGTCCACTGGGGCTGAGCAAGAGCCCCCCCGCTGGAGACATTCCTTTAGACCACCGCCCAGGTCCGAATCGCAACTAGGTTTCCGTTCCGACTCGGGTACACCCGTGGATACCTGCGGACCCCTGGTTAACTCACCCTTCGACGGGACCTTGCGAGCCTGGGAAGGGCAAATGGAGACCGTGCTCAAGGATATCTATACATCTATTCGAGATGAAAGACTCCCACTGTTCGGTGCAGATCCTACTCAGACCCAGGCGCCACAGCAGACTGGCCTCTCCGTTATGGGCATGCTAAAACGGAGTCCGAGTGTCCTCAGCAAGGCACCGTCTGAGAGTCACGCCTCAATGCGTGGGAGGATCAATGACGGCCGCAACAATGGTGGGAGATGGAACTCGAAGAGCCGCTCTCGGCCAAGGTTCGCAGGCAACGGATTCTCGTCCAGCCGCACTAGTTTCGATGACGGCAATTCCATCTGGAGTCCGACTGTATCCTCTGCCACGTGGAGCCGCTACTCGCTGGGTAGGACCCATACCTCGATGTCTAACGAGTCCTTTGGGTCGGGATTCCCCCACGGTGATTATCATCAGTCTATCGGGTTTGCCAATGCACTGAGTCAGGCCATCATCCGAGAAGATGGGCCCCCTGGTAACAGCGCCCAGTCTGTTATGAGCGACGAAATCCCAACTACGCAGCTACTCGAAGACGAATCGCTTGAGCTACTAGGTTCGCCTTGGGCAAAGGAAGGCATCGTCATCCACAAGCACCATCTGGACGGGATTGATAAGAAGGCTAAGGAACGCAACTGGTCCGAGGTGTTTGCTGTCGTCCAAAAGGGAACGATGAGTCTGTTCTCCTTTTCCACCAAATCTATGCGCCATAAGGCCCGCTCAGGCCGGAAGCATGCAGCAGGGGCAGTAGTCGGCGGTGGTAATTGGCAGGAAAATGCAACGAGTGTTGGGACTTTCTCTCTGCGACAAACAATGGCCTCGGCTCTCCCTCCACCAGGCTACTCGCGTTCCCGCACGCATGTGTGGGCTCTGAGTCTCCCAACGGGGGCTGTGCACCTGTTCCAAGTCGGGACCCCCGAGATCAGCAAGGAGTTCGTTCTAACTGTCAACTACTGGAGCGCCCGCCTCAGCACACATCCTCTTATGGGGGGTATCAGCAACATTGAGTATGGCTGGAGTGATGACATTGTCAACAACGCGCTGGTCAGCGCTATCAACGAGACTACCCAGCCTGCTCGCCCAGGTAGCGCTGCTGCGCCAGGACGCAGTAGTATGCACAGCCGTCAGGGGAGCCGTCAGAGCAGCATTCGTTCCTCTTTTGACGTCGGTACTAGCAGCAACCGCATCAAGCTTCCTGGGGATCGGGTGCATATCACCGAGTGGACGCCACCAGCCCAGTCCATGCGAGCAAGCAACTGCTCGGAGGCTGAGCAGTTAGAGACCCTTCTCGCTTACGTCAAGTCCATCGAGGACGAGCTCCAGCAGCACAATCAGTTACGATCTCCAATGCTTTTGGCGTTCACGCCCCGCGGCCAGAATTCGGGCAAGGCAATGTCCAATTGGGAGCGAAAGAGCAGCTATCTCCTGCGGGAGATCGTGAAATTCAGGACATATGTTGATTCCCTGCAGGAGGCAGGCGCGAGACGGGCGGAGATCTTGACTGAGCGTGAGAACGCGAGGCGGGCCGCCAGGGGCGAAGATGTTGGCGATGAAGACGTTACACTTAAAGTTGCCTAGATCCTATTGATACCCAATTTCTGTTTTTTTGTTTTTTTTTTGGTATAAGCACCCCGGAATACAAAACCTTGATCTTACTAGCCACTTTTCGTGACCTGTTCTGTGTGCTTATTCCAGAAAATCTGATGGCCGTTTCTCACATGTTGCGTAATCACCTAGCTTGGCGGGCAGACCACCAGAGCGGCATGTGTTGAGGCTCGTGCCTATTCGAGAGATGGCGGCTTGCAGCAGGAACTCGGAGGGGAAAGGCTCAAGCTAAATAATCGAAACATCCTCAAGCTGTTAGTAACTAGGGCGGCATGTGCTGACGAAGTCGACACCTGGCTCGATCGCGGGACCGATAGAGATGATTCAACACATCAACAAATAAGAAAGTTGTCTCCCTGTACAGAGCAGGAGGCGTCGTCGCTGCAACGAATGCATCTTGCGTCTCGTCCTGGGGGTAGAAAGAGGTTGTCCCACAAGGCTTGACTTCACGGAAGGTAAGCTTATCGAGGATGTTCCGTTTGATCCGGTTGAACACATTGACGATACCAATGCTCTCGTGGATGTGGCTGGCGCCTTCATGGCATGGACTCCCCTATCCCCGGTTTTATCTCTGCCTCTGGAGCGTAAGGCCCCGTGACTACAATAATGTCGTCTTAGACCTAGCGAGACCGCAGATTTAACGCTGCTTAATCACCAGGCTATCGAAGAATACGTCGGAGTGGTATAAGTTAAGTATCCCTCTGGGAGATTAATTTACTGGAATGTGATCTCGTTGAGCTAGAAAACGCAACACATGCAGATCTTAACCGTCCTCAATGACCTTTGACAGGTCTCCGTTCACGCGCCTTAGGAGAACCGGACATCGTGGACCTCTGTATTCAGACGAGCACCTTAGCATAAGCAGTTTTATTGATTGACCCCTGCTATTACTCACCAATTGTTTATAGTACTGACTGAGGGCCTGCGCATGTGTCTAAATGGATTCGGCATTCCCTACCAACTCCCCTATTCACCCCATCTCTGCCCACGAATCCGCCCATCCTGCCTGCGCTCACCTGGTTATACATAGACTTGGACTCTCCCAACCCCCTAGGACTTCTCAAAACTCAACGCTCAACACCGCATCCGCCGCGTCCGGCGCAATGTCCTCCAGCGCCCACCCACACCCCGCGAACGCGAGTCTGATGGGTACCCGCCAGAACAGCGCCCAGTGCGCTGTTAAGATGAGCAGGAGCAGCTCGAGGAGCACTTCGAGCTCGTATGTGGGAGAGCGTCTTGGAGGTGGTGTGGGTTTAGTGGTGGGGGTTGCAGTGGAGAGAAAGGGGGTGAGCAGGCTCAGGAGGAGGAGGGAGGGGCGGAGCATTGTTGCTGGTACCTTGGATGGAAGTAGGGTAAAATAGGAGATGGTGTTTGAGGTTATGTCTAGGTATCAATGGGAGTTGTGAAGCTGCGAGGTTCGTTTCGTGTGGCTGGGTACCTGTACCCTGTTATGTGGCTGACTTACGAACTTCGCAGGCTTTGCGTCTCCTGTTGCTGGCTTTTCTTCGTTGTAGGCTTTTTCTGCGTTCGACGATGACGGAATATTGTGTGGCTTGAGATGGAACGGGGTAAAAGGGATTGTTTGGGCGTTTTATTGCGGTTGTGAGATATGGCCGTGAAAGAGGTGGAGAGGTCGGTTTGAAGGACTATGCATTGTCCATGCACGGTCATTGTGCCATGTCTTTCTGATCATACATAGAGAAGAGGCAGCCTTTGTGGTAGTTAAAGTTATTATGTTGGCCTTGTGGTTCCGGACTAGATGGAGATATCGGGGGATTCTTTGTATCCTCAATTTGCGGACAATGGAACTCAACGCTTTGGGGCACGGCGTTTGCCGCACGACTTACTTGGGTGGATCATAGCAGGTGGCAGACTCGTGGATCTCCTGAGTAAAGCTAGATGAAAGAGGTAGGTGATAGCCCTGAGTATCCGAAGTCATCCTCGACCAGCATATCAGGCAAGCTCAGCTTCAATGACACTCTCCATGGCTAACGGATTCGTCCAAATCTTCACGACCTTTAGGCCACAGCTTTCAATCAGCTGTCGCCACATGGCCTCCGTCCTCTCGGCCGCCGACAGCAAGGTCATGAGGCCTATATCTACTGTCGTCTGCAGTGGCGAAGCTCCCGTTGGCGGAATGACGACCTCGTAGATGAGAAGTTTTGAGTGGCCTTTCTTCATTGCCGGGGCAAGGTTGCCGAGAATGATCTTCGCCTCGGGGTCCGTCCAGTCATGGAGTACTGCGTGCATAAAGTAGGCGCGACTTCCTAGGAACGGTAATCAGCTTCAGATGCCTTTCTCCTGCTGGACGTGCTGGGATGGGACGTACCTTGAACGGGCTGTGGGGTAAAGAAATTGTACGGCATTGTCTCGATCTTGGAGTCAATTTTTGCCATCGCGACTACATCAGGCAGGTCCTGGAGAACCAGAGCTCCTTGCGGAAGCTCTGGGTGTCTCGCCAACATGCGCATGATGTCGATGCCATGTGCGCCTCCTGTATCAACCACGCAGACTCCCCCGTCTGAACTGCTGAACCCGTCGACAAGCGATTTGGTGTCATAGACTTCAGTCCAGTCCACCTTCTGCGTCGCGATACCGACCATGATTCCATTGATGAAGCTGGCCTGATATCGGGGATCGGCCTGGCAGCGAGCAAAGAAGTCCAGCCCTTGGTCGTCGAAGTCCGCGTAGTTGCCTTTGTTGGGATCGAGGGGCTCCCGGTACGAGGTCTTCGCTAGATAACCTGGTAGGTTCTCGCCCGCTGGAATCGCGTGATGTGTCCTGGCATGGCGTCAGAACCTGATAATAAAGAGTTGACATCGGTGTGCAAAGGGCGTGAATCACGAACCCACTCAGGATCGTGAGGGCAATGGGGCCATCTGGTTTCCCAAGCTCGAGCGAGAAGTCGGTGGCCTTCCATTGATCCTCACCAGTCTCCTCTATGACATTGAAGGACGCGAGGATGCGAAGAAGCCGTCCTTGCAACATATCGTCAGTGTAGAACAGCGCAATGCCACATTGGATGCAAGTATGGAAATACTCAGTAAGTTCGTCTCGCATTTGGCATTGCAGAGCGTTAGGAGTTCATCCAGTGACGACTCTCTGCCGCCATTCTTGGCCCAGCCCTCAAAAACGCCGAGGTCAAGGAGAACCTGTGTTGCAGAAAAAACAGAGGGCCCTGCTATAGCTAGCTCCCATGCTCGCTCCCAAGGGTTCTGCGTGCGGTTGACCAGTCGTCTAGCTGCATCCAGGACTTGTTGCCGAGCCGCCTCATTGCTGTTGCCATGAGCGTCTGGCCCGATGGCGTTGAGAGATGCGACGATGTCTTCCACGTTCGACGACATGGCTGTCTACAGCTTCTCGTGAGTGTTGCCTGTACTGTTTGACCCAGTTGAAAGAGAAGGTGAGTATCAGATGTGGCCTATATGTAAATGATCCTCAAAGGCGGGGTAGCTGGAGTCCCTGCTACCGATGAGGGTGTGGTGCTTACTGGTGTACTAGACGAGAGCGAATGAGATTGGGGTACTCGGTCTTACGGTCTCGTGATGGGCTCTCGAAGGAGAACAAGACAGGGAACACAATAGCAAGTATCTTTGGTCCCACTCTGGCTGCCGATCCTAGACTTTGTGAGATGTTTGGCAACATGTCGACGGAACCTCCGCCTAGGTATTCCCATTAGGGCACCGTCCTTGAATACACATAGCGTTTCTGTTCGCATGCTAGCGGGGGAGCTTTCTGTTATCCTCTGCCACTTTCCTATCGTTCATCGCTCTAATGTTCCTCTACTGGTTTCTGTTGATGCGCTGCCTCGAGACTGGGATATGGGTCGTCTTCATTGAGGTGATATCTTCCCGTCGTTGTATATCGTTGTACTCCATACCAAAATCCGCACTGAGGCCATTCCGAGATTGTAAATTACCTCACGATGTTCTCAGTAAGGATCTTGCTCATAATTCATGCCACTTACAGCTTCAAGAACTTCTGCTCGCGAGCCTTGATCTCTTCTCGAGGTCGGTCCTCGGCTTTAGGAATGTCGACATTCTGTTGGAATCTTGGGGTTCTGGTTCACTCTGAGGTCTCAACGTCACCAATCCTACCAAAACCCCATATCTGTCCTTTGTGCTAGGATTGCTAGAAAAGGACACACTGTCCTTTTCACATACATTCTTTCTATATTCCTTATATATATAAGGGCCTTCTGCCCTTCAGGAACTACTCCTGGTTTCTCTCCTTCAACAGAACACTTTGAAATCTTACACATTCAACCTTTCATGTAAGGCCCAGGGTTCCGAACAAGTCAACGGATATCAACTAGTTGATTGAGTTGACGTCAATATCCACGTTAACTCAATCTACTAAGACCCCTATAACTATGATGGATCTGACACCCATCAGGTGGTTTGCTGGGGTAGACGCGTTGCCCTACTACACAAATAGATAGATAATTGTGGATCGGGATTCGGGATCTATCACCCCACCAGATTTGGCTGGTGCTGCAGATCTCTCTTCCCTTCTTCACCAAAGTATTTTTGTACAATTGGAGATATTGATGGGCACTTTCGTCCTGGTCTCCAAGCTGCCCCGTGACAATAACCTTAGCAACCAACTTAACGATGAAGCTATCGCGGGTTAATATTAACGTGGATATGTTAATATCGGGATTTTAATTTTTAACCATATACAAAATATTTTTTATAATAAGTTTTGCTAGAAAAACCCGGAAAAACCGGGATTTTTATACCGAAATTAATAAGGGTTTAGCCGGAAATCCGGTAATTTCCGGGGCTATACTGCCCTTTCAAAGCCTAATATCCAGCCTTATTTCAACTTTTTATACATACACAGACAAAGTTAAACTAGCACGTAACGACTTAAAAATACGTTTTTTAATAACAACGCTTTTTAACCACCATTGCATATATTATTTCATATATTCTTAAATATTACTGTCACGGCGAGCGTACTGAGGAGCTGGGACATGGCCGGCAGCAAGCAGCTATTACTTTATTGACGAGAATATCAAGACTAGAGAGGAAAGGAAGAGAGAGAAAGATAGGTACAGCGGGAGGTTGCCCCTTTAAGGGGATCCTCTGGTCAGATCCTTCCCTTATTGGGAAGTATCGGCTTTGTCATGTGGGAAGGTCCGTGCAGGCCGTCACAATTACTAGTTTAAAACGATTTAAAAACATATAAAATAATACATACGACGGTAATAAAAAAACGTTATCGTATAATTATATAATTAAGGACAACGATAAAATTTTATTTTATAAATACCACACTTTTAAACCTTATATCGCATATATTAAACGTACAGTCTAAAATAGCCTTGATTCGTACCTATCTTGAAAGTATAACATAAAAATACATAACGTTAATAAAAAAACAAAGTAATTATAAAGCGTACTTTTATCGTATAATGATTAATAAATATTAAGGTATATTACTCCGCATATCAATCTAATAATAACGACGATAAAAATATACTTTATAATCATTACATCCTAAAATTAACGTCGTAAATATTTGTTTAAGTATGTATTAATAAATACGATTTAGGGCTATTAGTATATATATATATATATACGACATTAAACCGGTAATAACAACTTTGAAAGACGTAATTTTATCGTTTAGCGCATGTCAGCTCAAAACTATATATATAAAAGTAATATAAGGCTAGACACTAGGCTTCGAAATGGCAATATCAACCTACGAAAATGATAATCTCCAGAGACCAAACTCTTCGTTAATACGCTTAACTCGACAAAGCGACGACAAGGTCGTGGATAATGTCAACTCAACTCAACAAAGGGGTCCCGTTAACGTGGATTAAGTTGTTCGGAACCTTGGTAAGGCCAGACAGCATTAACGATGCTCTCCTTGCCGTACTCCGCCTCGCAGTTTCGCCACTCTCTATCAAAGGAGAAGTAGTCATTACCCGGCACGAAGTATCCTAGGCTGCTGTCGTCACTTCCGAAACTTGGGTCTTAGAGTGGATGAACAAAAAGGGTGAATTCAACTCGGTGTTTGCACTGGTCGACACCAACTGCAGAACACACGTCCCGCGAGGAGCGAGCTCATTTCCAATACTTAGAACCACCTGATGACTTCGGTTTGCCCGGGCCCCAGCCTTCCTTGCGCTCATCAGCCGTTCGCTCTTCAGTATAGGACTTGTTTCCAACCTCATTCGTGGTGGGGACCCAGCAGATGCAGCTTGGGAGACGTTATTGTATCTGGGAAAGGGCTGAGCTTCGTGATGGTCTTGTAGTATACCTAGGTAGTTAGATCCGACTAACCCCTTCTTTGAAACCTGTCGTCTTGATCAGACGCTCGAGTTGCGTGCGTGTGAGAGCTACGCTCCAGAAGCTGACCCCGAACGTTGTACTGCGACTCCAATAGCACTTGCCATCGTTTCCTGCAACCTGCTTCATCGACCGTTCAAGCTCCCATTGACACGGCCAGTCCCGCTCTCTGGATAGACCTGAGAAGTCATTGCGGCTGAGATCACGGTGACCCAAATGCGAATGATGGTGAAGGTGCTGTCGCTTACTGTGATGGACACTCGTGCCGTAAGGGTAGCGATGCCACAATCTGAAAGCGCAAAAGCATCATACGCGAAAGCTGTTGGTAGCCTTGCCTTACTCATGTGGTGGCGGTAGCTGAGGTACTCGAAGACTGATCAGCTGATCACGAGGCGAATGGCGATGCGCCGTCGGCAGACGGATACTTCTGCATGACGGCAAGGCCCCTGAGCCTCGGTTCATCCCATCGCCAGGCAGGACACGGTCGTAACCATGTGCTCTCCACGACCCCCGCGACTGCGGCATCGTCGCCAATGAGTCTTCGCATAATCACGCATCATCCTCCCTTGCCGCCATCCCATCGCACTTCTGTCGGTAACTGTTTGCGTCGGTTCCAGATATTATCTGGTCGTACCAGATGGAGGCATACTTCCAATGTGTGCTTCACGACTACATATTGTCAGTGCTCTGGACCATGTACGGCCTCCGTTTCGCCCACAATCACATCGCAGAACCGCGTACGGTGCATGAATTGCTATCTCGGGCGGATGACACTGGTTTGGAATAGGACGCTGGAGGAGGAAGACTACGATATCGTCCAGGTTGACCATGATACATCACGGCTGGCTGGAATGGGGTGATCTGCCGGCCACCTTACAATTTCGGAAGCATACTGGTTCATGGGTCGCCCCAGGCTGTCGGCTATCGGAATACGACACTGCACGGTTTAAGCTTAATATATCATTGTTGACCTGCCGGATCTGGAAAGACAGCCGGCCCGACCCCGAGAAGTCCAGCACATTATCTGGGCACAATGCTACCCTCTGTTGGCCTTGGCAATTTGAAGGAACTACACCTGGTTCGACGCCGAGATGTTCTGGACCTGACCTAAACACACCTTGCTACCGTTGGCCTGCCGGATTCGATGAACCTATAGCTTGTCCAAAGCCTAGATGTTCTTGGCCCGAACTTGGCAAGAACTTGGCACATTGCCGATATCTCTCAAGAGCTGTTGTCTAATTCCTATCTCTTCTCTTCCTTCCTGATTACCTATAGGTTGTTGCAACACGGCGCGGATGTCTTCTGGAGTGCCTATTGAGGATTGCCGGCTGATAACATCAGCATCACTTCTCGTAGCACCAGGGGCGAAGGCATTACGGGTGAGGGCTGATTGGGAAGGAGCAGGGCTTCGGAAACCGGGTGAAGGATGGAGAAGAAGGCCAGAGGAGGTGCAAGATGTGGCTCTGATATGGGCAGCAACAAGAGCAGCATGATGCTATTTACGAATGAGTGTCGAGATGATAAGTATAAATAAGTATGTTCGTTCTCCTTCAGGTTGGCACTTGGGTTCTTCAGCAGCACAGCATCCTCCACTCATCTTACCTGCCTAGCTTTCACAACATCGCAGCCAACTCTCTTCTCCCATCTTTGTTGTCTTCAAATCGCTAGACATGGAGCTCACTCGATTCCTCGCCTTCCTGGCTGTCGCCTTGCCCGTTGTCTACGGTGCCCCTACCCAGACCGCGACCAACCTCGGTCCCAAGGTCCTGGAGGCCATGAAGCGCGACCTGGGTCTGGAATCCGACCAGGCCTATGCTCGTGTTGCCAGGGAGCTCTCGGCTGTCGAGATCATTGAGCAGATCAAGACCGCGGCCGGCAACTCGTTCGCTGGCGCTTGGGTGACCGAGAACGGCGCCATTACCAATGTCGCCATCACTGATGCCGCCATGGCCGGCCAGGTGACCGCTGCTGGCGCCACGCCCGTCATCGTGTCCAACAGCCTCTCCAAGCTTGAGGAGGCCAAGCTGGCACTTGACAACACGAACATTGACCAGCCCACGACCCTCTCCACCGGCGAGGAGGCCGCCACTGGCATCGCGGCGTACTACGTCGACGTCGAGGCCAACAAGCTCGTCATCGAGGCCCTCGCTGGTAGCACCGACCATGCGGCGGCCCTGGCAGCCCAGGTCGGGCTCACCGAGTCCGAGTTTGAGGTGAAGACCGTTGATGCGTTGAACACCCCCTTCCTCCAGGGTGGCGACGCCTACTACATCGCCCGTTCTGCCCGATGCTCCGTCGGCTTCTCGGTCACCACTGGTTTCGTTTCGGCTGGTCACTGTGGTACAGCAGGTTCTTCTGTCTCCACCACCCTGACCGGTACGGCCATCGGAACCTTTTCGGCTTCGGTCTTCCCAGGTAGCGCCGACATGAGTAAGTTTATTCTATCTCCATCTCCTTTTGCCCATGTCCCCTAGACCAGACCCCCTTTTAAGAATTGAAGCTAATGGGTTGCCAATAGGCTACATCAGGACTACCAGCGGAACCAACCAGGGGAGCATCAACGGCTACAACTCGGCTGACCAGGATGTCGCGGGCAGCACCGCGGCCGCCGTCGGCGCGGCCATCTGCCGCTCCGGCTCCACCACCGGTGTCCACTGCGGCACTGTTCGCTCGCTGGGCGCCACGGTCACCTACGCCGAGGGACGTGTCACCGGTCTTACCCAGACCAACGTGTGCGCCGAGCCCGGTGACTCTGGCGGTTCTTTCTATTCCGGTGCCCAGGCCCAGGGTGTCACCTCCGGAGGCTCCGGTGACTGCACCGCCGGCGGCATCACCTACTTCCAGCCCGTCAACGAGATTCTGTCCACCTACGGCCTCACCCTGGTCACCTAAATGACCACAATGTCTGTGCACAACCGTTGGTAACACCTTGGCTGGGTTTGGACATTCGTTCCTCTTTTCGAAAGTGTTTGGACTTTTGCGTGAGATGTAGCTAGGAAATGTAACAAGACTAGCAAGCCCAATAATACATGTGTTAGCTGCACTTCTATCGCAAGAATAATGTGAAGAACCCGCCATTAGTTTCTGCTGCAATTAGAATCCAGGACCCTGTTTCCTAAAATAGGGCTTCAGGATCCCGGTTAATCTAGAAGAAGGCGCAGTGTTATGATGCAGGGGAAATGAAGCGGGTCGTGGTGCGCGGCCATTTCCGAACAGGCATTGGGTGAGAAAGTTTCCGGACCTTTACTGGGCAAGATTGAAAAGGTATGGTTCGAACTCACATACCTTATTCCGCCGGTGCAAGACAGCCTCAGGAAGAGCAAGAAAGCTGCAGAGCTGGTGCACAGTGACTTGGGAAAAAGAAGACTGCATGACCAGAGACTCAAGCAGAGCGTATAGGAAAGGTAATGTGACATTTCCACATAACTGCCTACTATTAGGGTACAATAAGCTGGTACATATAGTTGGCCCAGGGTATCTCACAATTCCAACATTATGAATCGCCGCTTCAAGGAACCTGAAGAGAGAGTGAACTCCTCTCTATCAAGCCATACGAACCATTATGCCCTCATCATAGCACCCAGTAGAACCTCGCGGAGGGGCTTTTGCCCTGCGTGCCCAACGCCATAGGCAACATCTTCGACTGCTACCCCATCCAGAAGAGTCCAGGCTAATGTGAAGTCGGCTGGTTGTTAACCGCACGCCGGACGGTCGAAGCCTGCCAAAGGTGTCAGGACTCAGATACTGAACGGCGGTTCGCAACCTTGAACGAGCAACGCGACTGGAATAGGTTTGTATCAGTATCCTCCTTCGACGTAGTTCTCTCACCCAGCGGGAATCGCATCGCACTGCCGTCCAAAGACATTGCACATGCACTCAGAATGCGAATGCGAGCACCTGGAAAACGTCAGTCCTCATCGACGATCACGATAAACGACAGCAGACATACGAATAGGCGCCCTCGCCCAGCCAAATATGCCACGTCCACTCCATCAACCTGCCGCTAGCCGAGCTGCCCAGCGGCGTATCAATAAGCCACTGCCGCAGCTCCGTCCACCACTCCCGGCTGCGTCCGCGAATGGCCTCGCGACTAGCCGCGAACTGCGCACAGCACGGCGCCGCAATCAGCTTCGGCAGCGTCTCGTGCTTCTCGGTCTCGAGAAACGCATTCAGTAGCGAGCCGAGCTGCCCATCGCGCCGCACCTCGGGCATCTGCTCCAGCGCCACGGGCGGCGCCGCGGACACGGGCATCACATTCTCGCAGTTGGAGAGACACCGCGTCGACACGTAGCCCTTCTCGACGACGTAGGCGGTGCGCAGGCTACTGACCTCGGTCAGGGAGCTGAGGCCCTGGTGCCAGGAGCGCAGGTGGTCGTGGTGGAACAGGACCACGTCGGGCAGGTCGTGGTAGTGGTCGATGATGTACGTCAGGTAGACCATAGCCTCGTTGCCTCTGTTCTCGGGCACCGTGAGCGCGGGCGACAAGGGCCGGTCGGCTGAGTAAACGTGGATGCGCCAGTCCAGCGGGACGTCGGCGAGCCATGCTGCGTCGCCCTCGGTGGCGGCAGTGGACGCGATGACGAGCGCCTTGGTATGCGCCGGCGGCGAAGGCTCGTCAAGGAGAAGTCGCAGACATAGCAGGATTGCGATTGTGGTGACCAATGGCTTGAGGAGGGAGAGAAGCAGCTTGCGGGAAGGCTGTCGGCTCAGTGCACTAAGGCGCATTTGGCAATGAAGCTGCCAAGACAGCATGGTTCTGGATCACCGGAAAAAGCAACGCAGCAGAGACGTTCGGATGAGACATTCGGATGCCAAGAGAGAACGAGAGGGCCAAGATTCATTTTGACAGGTCTGGATTGGCGCAGGGATGACCATTTTCTTTGACGGTTCACGCGAAACCCACGAATGCGTAAGCAGTATGCTGCCAACTGCGGCTGATACGTGCTGTGTTTCGCCTCTCCCAGGTCGATGAGGGCCGCAGGGGTTGCTGTGAATGAAACGCATCTGTGCCATTCGGGTGGGCGCCCCCTAAGAACCACACTCAGAAGGCCGCCCTGCGTCCTGCGACCTCGTCCGGTCCTGGGCAGTGTCATCACGGCCGCCGTCAAATATCTCGGGGTTCCACCAGCACCCGATGAAATCGGGTATCCGGGCTTGGCGATGCCGGACGACACGAAAGGCGAACTTTGATGGAGGATTAATAACAGAGACTGGGCATTTAGTTTGTCGGAGTATTGTGCTTAACATCTGCAAGGATCTGCTCCAACCCCGGGCACTAATTGCTGACAAGCTGACGGGCTGAAACCCCATGCTGACAATGGTCGGCTAGCTGTCCCGAGCCCGAAAGACCCCTAATTGATCCCACACAGACGGCCAACGAGGTTGTCGAAATTGAGCTGTGCAAGCGAGGGCCATGCCGGCATCGTAAGAGTAAACGACAAGACCATGGCGGCGAGGGCGGTCACTCCGAGAGCGCAAAATCTGCTTTCACGAGCGACGATTCCTTCATCCTCAGAAATGCATTCTCTTCCTGCTTCCTCGTTTACGCGCTGCTGTGGCATTAGAGCGACGCCGGAGGTGAACCTGCACGAAGTCGTCCCGGAGGCCGACCGCGCCGCGCAGGCCAGTGTGGCTGGTGGTATGGCTGGTTGTGTGGCTTAGCTAAATGCTGGCTTCTGAGGTACCTGAAGAATTGATTTGATTTGTGTGGAAAGCAGATTCTATGCCCGAGAACTCAATCCTCCGACAATGCAAGAAGAGAAGAGCCCCGTGCAACCCCGTGATAGGAATGGTATGCACGTTCCCACCGTTGCGATACCGAGTCAAAATTCTCGAAGTCAATCTACCCCTGGTTTCCTGGCGTTCGCGACTTCTGAAAGCTCTTCATCGGCTCAAGCCCCCATCGGCCAAACATGGCTCTGTCCTCGTCCCAGCCGTTGCACTCGGTCGTGAGCATCTTCTCACCTGTGAAGACGGCGTTCGCCCCGGCCATGAAGCACAGAGCCTGCTTCTCCTCAGACATCGTCTTGCGACCAGCTGCGATGCGGATGATGGTAGCCGGCATGATGATGCGGGCCGTCGCGATGGTCCGCAGCATGCTGCTGAATTCGATGGGCAGCTGGTCACCTAACGGCGTGCCCTTGATCGGAACCAGCGCATTGACAGGGAAGCTTTCTGGGTGCGTCGGGAGCGTCGACACGGTGTGCAGCAGACCTATTCGGTCCCCGGACGTCTCGCCCAGGCCGACGATCCCACCGGAGCAGACATTGATCCCAGCATCCCGCGCATGACCCAGAGTCGTGAGGCGCTCGTCGTATGTCCGCGTGGAAATGACGGACGGATAGAACTCCCGGCTCGTGTCGACGTTGTGGTTGTAGGCCGTGAGCCCGGCCTCCTTCAGCTCCTTAGCCTGCTGGCCGTCTATCATGCCCAGGGTCACGCAGCTCTCCATCCCCATGTCGTGGACTCCCTCCACCATGGCCTTGATATTCTTCAGGGCGTTCTTTCGGCCGCGCATGTCGCGCCAGGCGGCGCCCATGCAGAACCGTGTGCTCCCGTTGTCGCGGGCGACGCGTGCGGCGGCCAAGACCGACTCGACCGACTCGACGCGCTTGGCTTCGAGGCCGGTGCCCTTTTGGTACCTGGTCGATTGCGCGCAGTACGAGCAGTCTTCGCTGCAACCGCCCGTCTTGATGTTCATCAATGTGCATAGTTGGACCTCGGCGGGGTCATGGAATCGGCGATGGATCTTTGCCTATCAACAGGATTGTACCGTGGTAAGTTTCTGATCTTGCTCTTGCGTACAAACGGAATCAGGCTAGAGGGTTTGCGTGCGTGTGTGTTCACTCACTGATTGGTACGTCAATTCCATTAGAGGGTGGTAGTATATACTGGCTATCTCCTCTCGCGTCCAGTTCTGCCTTGGAGCTGATGCGGCAACCGCTGCTTCCAATGTGTCCTTTGCACTTTCTCGTCGTTCTCTCGTTTGGCCAACATGAGATTCAAACTGGACGGCTTCCGTGGTAGGGGGTGGTGGTGGAGGCAACGATGATGGCGCTGAGAGGGTCTGATTTATGGTTGAGTATCTGACATAGGTGACTCCAGCTTGCGCAATATTGAGTTGGAGACGGCAAGCTGGGCGGGCGGCAGTCGTTGAGGAAAGTAGAAGATGAAGAGGATGGCCTCCGCCGCCAGCCCACCTTCTCCAAGCCCAAGCTGCTTTCGAATATGATGTCATCAGGGCTCAAATCCTTGACCCCAAAAGCGAAGAAAATCAACAGAAACTCGCGAAAAGCCTGTACGTTTATTTCCAACGACGGCTCAAAATTGTCGATGGGATACCCGGAAGACGGCGCCTCTCAAGCAGGAATCAAAGGCTACATGGAAGGCCTGCCGGTTGGCGACGGCTTGTTTTTCGAACAGACGAGATCCGATTCGCTCGTTTATCGTGGTCGGTGTTCTTCTCGGCAGTGGTAGGTATCATGCACGATACCACATCAGGTTGCAATGCAGCTCTCATCAGTATTGCTAGCGACTTCCCTTTTAATGACCCAGCCTTGAACCGTGGAGTGAGATAGCAGGCGGTGGTGTCCCCTGAGACCAATGCCTGCCATAGTCATTGGCTCTTCCCACTTGAAAATTCCACCGTGAACTTAATTCGGACCCCAAGTATGGCAATACGAGATTTAATAAAGGGCTGGCAAATGGTAGGCTACTGCTTTGCAAAAGGATACAAGCGGCATTTAGACCTTCTTCGTTTCCCTAGCCGTCGGCCTTGTTTCCATATGTCAGCTGTGCATCCCCATCACCGTCGATATCATTCCCGAAGGCAGATCCATTCTGGAGCACAGTCTTACCATGATAAGCAGACACCACGTTGCCCTGGCTAGCCAAAAAAAGGCAGCGTCGGCACAGCAGATGGCGGTCGCGGCGTGGCCAACTTCCCCTTAATTATAACGGCGGCAGCGTTTGTCATTATCGTCGATTTAACGCATATCAGTATGAAGTTCTTTTGTGGTACTGAACGAGAAAGGAGTCTTTGGTACGGGTGAATTGGTTGGTCTGGGTCTTAACGATATCACAACTCATAGCCTGGGCTTGTCCGTAGACCTATTAGCCTGGCTTACATGTTCTTGCCCCTTTTCCAGTCTAGTTTCCATGCGCTGCTTCACCCAGCCCTCCAGAACTTGACAAAACCTATCGATCTCTTTGATAGTGTTGGCAGCATGTAAGCATACTCGGACTCTTTCTTTTCCTTGCGGGACTGTCGGTGCCACGATTGGATAGATCATGAAACCAGACGACTGGCAGTGTTGGGCAAGAGCCCTCGGGGATGAAGTGAATAGGGGTATGATTGGAGAACCAGAGAATCGGTGAGGAACCCGAAGAAGTGAGGAGGGCGGCCTCAACTGCCGATCCAGATTCCGCAGCCTCATTTGGAAATATTGGATCAATATTTGAAGGTGGCGTCTGAGATGGTCGGTTCGCCCACTAATCAAATGGTCGTAGACGACATCAATGCTTGCCAGGGAATAGAATGGCATGGATGTAGTATATATCAGAGTCCGGGCGTAGTTGATCAGGTAGAGGCGCGTAACTGAAGAGCACAGGACAGCTCCTACATCCAAGCAAATGTGAGCGTTATGGCCAACATGGTTCGGTACAAGCGAACGGACGTACCTCCTGCGCAGCCCATGGCCTTGCCAAAACCAATCACTCGGGCCCATATCTGATCCTGCAATCCCAGTGCGTGGACTAGCCCACGACCTTGGTCACCCAATATACCGACTGAATGAGCTTCGTCCATAATGATATGACCACTCCGTCTTGGTAGGCGTCTCTTCACGACTTCGGAAATCCTTCCAAGGTCGGTCACATCACCATCCATACTATACAGAGCTTCAACACAGACATACACATGTGACTTTCCCTCTCTTACATCAGGGTTACCCCCTACTAGGGCTTCCAACACGTCCTCCAACGCCCCTGCACTCTGAGCCGTTGGGGGTTCGGACAGACTCTCTGCGGCCGCGATTCCCACGACAGACGCATGGGAAAAGGGTATCCTCAGCGAAGTGCGAGATAAACGCATTCCATCATGAACACTTGCGTGGATGGACTCGTCATATAATATGACATCACCAGGTTGTGGAATGGAGCCGAGAAGCCCGACATTGGCGTCAAATGCCGAGTTGAACAGCAAGGCCGCATGGGAACCGTGGAACGCAGCGATCTTGTGCTCGAGAGATTCGGCGAAGGCGGAATTGCCGCCCAAGAGACGAGATCCTCCAGCACCGAGTATTGATTCACTTGTTGTCCCAGTGCCCTTCTGCCGGTCTCGCAGTTGGGCTAGGAATGAGTCCTGTATGGAGGGCAACGCCGTCGAGAGCGATAGGTAATCGTTAGATGAGAAGTCGACCATCCCTGGCTTAGTAGTGCTTAATTGCCGCAGCGTCCCCTGGGTTCTCCGGTGCGCCAGCCGCGCTTCGAGCCTCTGGTCTAAGGAAGTATCATCTCGGGAGTCGGCAATGTCGCCCAGCCTGTCTGGAGGTGAACGCACCATTGGCGACGTCCGTTCGCTGATTTGGGAGGGTCCTGTTTTTCCGCATCATTATCTGTCAAGCCTTGTCGATTTCATATTCGCGATCTGTAACTCAAGGTTTCAAAGCTGTATTAACCGTTTGATGACTGTTCTTCTTGTGCCGCATCTAGGCGAAAGCAATAAGGGGTTAAAGGGGGACCCCGCACCTATGCTACCTCAGGGTATCATTGAGGAAAGGTGTCATATTCTATTATATTCCTCTGGCCAATCTGAATTAGCATAGAAGAAGATGGTATGGGCAGCAGCTCGCAGTAAGAAGCATATTCTATCAGATATCGGCATCTAGTTCTGTGAGCGCCTCAAAAGGCGCTGCTTGAGAAAGGGGGGCGACCACAAAACTAGGCATTGGGTATCACGTCCCTGACAACCAGGATGCCGGCAATCAGTCCCCTGTTATGGTGCTCCCTACGAGTCCATCAGGTCTTCGGCGCGAATACCGACGTCGGTAAAACGGTGCTCAGCTCCATTCTCTGTCGCGCTTCGAGCAAGGTCTGGCCACAAGAACCGACCGCGTACCTCAAACCAGTCTCTACGGGGCCAGACAATGAGGCCGATCATCGGTGTGGGTGTTCAGCATTGATTACCCCGATATAATTTGGCACATGACTTACACTCAAGTTCAGAAGAATTGTGTCCTTCCCTCCAAGGTGGGTCGTTGGAAGCTTAACACATTTGTCGCCAGTCACATAGGCAAGTATACTACTGGTGTTTCTCACAAGACCTTGTTTCAATATGATCAAGCTGTGAGCCCGCACATTGCAGCCAAGGGGAAGGTACGTGAGTCTCAACAGAGGCTGCTCTGAGCCATGTTAATAAGATTAGTAGAAACCACCCTCGGATGAGGAACTTCTAGGTACGATCTACTACCATGCATCGCAGCGAGTCACCACTGGCTTCGGATGGCTTTTCATCGAAACGGCGGGCGGAGTCCACTCACCAGGTCCATCCGGAAGTACGCAAGCGGACCTTTATAGGCCCCTCAGGAGTCCGGTGGTTCTCATCGGTGACTCCAAGCTCGGAGGCATATCCCTCACCGTTTCGGCCTATGAATCTCTCAGGATCCGTGGCTATGACATAGAGAGCGTTTTGATGTTTCAGGACGCAGAGTACGGCAATGCTGAGTACCTCACGGAGTACTTTGATCGGCAGCATGGCGTCACGGTGACAGCGGTACCCCAGCCCCCTCCGCGGATCCCCGAGAACGACGAAGAAGCAATGTTGGAGTATTATGATCAGACGAGCCACAGTTCACCTGTGAGAGAGGTCTTAGAGCACTTAGACGATCGACACCGCACTCGCGTACAAGCCCTGGAGTCGATGGCATCAGAAGCGCACGAAAAGATCTGGTACCCTTTCACGCAGCAGAAGCTACTCAAACCAGATGATATAGTAGCGATGGACAGCGCGTTAGGCAGTTACTTACAGACCCTGAAACCCAAGTCTCAAGCCCCAGTCAACAGCAGCGAACCTCTGCTCCAACCCTCCTTCGACGGATCTGCATCGTGGTGGACGCAAGGACTAGGCCATGCGAATCTGTCTCTGACCATGGCAGCCGCATATGCTGCTGGTCGTTACGGGCACGTCATGTTCGCGGGCGCCATCCACGAGCCCGCCCTGACACTGGCAAAAATGCTTCTCGAGGGCCTCCAGAACCCGCGACTCTCGCGCGTTTTCTTCTCTGACAACGGCAGCACCGGCATGGAGGTCGCGGTCAAGATGGCACTCCGCGCCGCGCGGGTCCGATACGGCTGGTCCCCCGATACCAAGGTCGAGATCGTCGGGCTCAGTGGCGCGTACCATGGCGATACGATGGGCGTGATGGATTGCGCCGAGCCGAACATCTACAATGAGAAGGTCGAGTGGTATGAGGGGAAGGGCGTCTGGCTTTCGTATCCGACTGTCCAGTGCATCAAGGGCAGATGGCGCATTCGGGTTCCTGATACCATGGATTCTGGTTCCGGCGAGGATCGGGAATTTCGGTATCTGCATGATGTCTTTGATCTTGAATCAAGGCGAGCCAGGGGCGACCACAGACCATATGAGCGATATATCCTCAATACGTTGCGAGACGAAGTAAGAAAGGGCCGCAAGTTTGGCGCTCTAGTCATCGAACCGGTGGTCCTTGGAGCTGGAGGCATGTTGTTGGTGTAAGTACCGTTCCCTGAACGTCTCCAGCGTACGAGCTCGTTACTGAGGACTCTTTAGCGACCCTCTCTTCCAGCAGACACTCACGAAAGTGGTTCGCGAAACCCCCAACCTATTTGGTCCAGATACGCAGCCCCATAATAGGGACGAGAAGTCTTGGACAGGCTTGCCAGTCGTTTTCGACGAGGTCTTCACTGGCTTATATCGTCTAGGTCGGTTCGCCGCATCGTCTTTCCTCGGTGTCTACCCCGACATATCTGTCCACGCAAAGCTCTTGACAGGCGGCCTTATCCCACTATGCACGACTCTAGCGTCAGAAAGCATCTTCCAAGCCTTTGCCAGCGACGACAAGTCCGATGCCCTGCTTCACGGGCATAGTTATACCGCTCATCCCATCGGCTGTCAGGTGGCGGTGGAGTCTCTGAAGCAGATGTTGCAAATGGAGAAACGAGGCGACTGGGAATGGGCAATTCAAATGGGCAAAGCGCAAGCTGGTGGTGACACCGGTCGCACCCAGGCTGGAAGCCACGTTTGGTCTATATGGCCTCCGGATGTGGTTGAATGGATTTCGCAGCAGGATGGTAGGATAGGTGGAGTCTGGGCTCTGGGCAGCGTACTTGCGGTGCGTATGCGCGCACGCGACGGTGGTGGGTATAAAAGTACCGCCGCCGAGGGAGTCAGGGACAGATTACTTCAGGGTACGGGGGGGAATGACGGAAGACGCTGGAATGTACACAGCAGGGTGCTTGGAGATGTGCTGTATCTCATGGGGAGCCATAAGACTACAGAGGACGAGGTGGCGGAGGTCGCTGACCTGCTTTGCAAAGCTCTACAACATTGACTCAAAACCCATTTGAGGTCGAAATACAATGAAGTTCCTCTTACACTCATTATCTTGTTGCCTTATAACTTAGCGTATGCAACGTGGTCTCAGCGCAGTGTAACGGTGTAAGGCGTGACAATAACTGCGTTCAAGAGCCCATAGTCCCTCGATGGATCCGTGAATGGTCCCGATGGCTCTTCGTCTGTATCCATAAAGCTTGCAAAGACACCGCAGGTCTCCAGCTCAGTGCGCATCGGCTTTAGACGGTTGTACAGCGTGGTCGCAACTACCGCTTCAACTGCGTTCTTGCCATCGACCAGGTATGGCATGATATCTGCTTTAACCCATGCCAAGTCCAATGGCGGTAGTCTGTGGCCGTTGATAGAGACGTGGATAGTGTGGACGATGGCGCCGAAGTCTATTGTTATTGCGGTATGTCTTTGCGAGGACTTATGGGAGTGGGCGGTGGGCCTCGTCCAGTTGAAGGTCGTGTTGTAGTACCCAAGTCCGCTGACGTTCTGCAGGCCTGGAATCGCTTGCCAGGAGACAAGTTGCGGGAGGTGGTGCGTGGTATTGTGCTTCACCGCGATCAGATCAATGTCGCTAAGGTTCGCCGGTGGATCCCAATGTTCAGCTATGAGTGTCCAATTCTCCAGAATTATAGCATCGCCGGTCTTTGTCTCCAGGGCCGGGTGATCTGATTCCTTGCCATGACCGTGTTGCTGCCGCCCATGTCCATCGTTGTGAAACGCAACGATGACCGACTGATTGCCCGCAAGCGCGAGCCAAATGGAAGTAGTATTGGCTGCCTGCGTATAATTCAGGATACGTGTCTGATCGCCCGTCCATGCAGAGTAAAAGTAAGGTGTCCCTGTGCTTGCAAACTCAACCGTGCCTTGCGAGCGTCCCATATTGAATGCAGCACCAAGAGCGTCGTTGTACACAAACACATAGTCTGCTTTCGCCTCCTCCTCGCGCCGCCAGTACGTGTACCAGATACTCGACGCCGCGATTGTAGTCCTCGGCTTGATGCCAAGAGCTGCGATCGAGGCTGTAAGTTTATCGTAAGGCACCACGTGGACGTTATCGAGCGAGACCAGACTCTGCAGGGCGCTGTTGGCGTACGCATCGCCGGAAGCATTATAGCTTACGAGATAAGAGGGCACGCCGCCAGAGAACACGATCGGCAGGCCAGCGCGAGCGTACTCGACCAGCTCCTCAACACCTTGCACAGTCATGGAATCATTCGCCCTGACAATCATAGCCTTGAAACTCTGTCTCTCCGGCGCAAAGACCCCATCAGTAACATACGCCTCCGGCAAGCTGAAGTCATCCAACAAGATGTACTCATAAGTATACCCCGCCTCAACGAGATCATTGGGCTGATAGAAAGACTGGATCGTTGCATAGCTCGTGACCTTCGAATAGAAAGCCAGATCCACCTTCGGCACGCCAGATTGGAAGACGTACTGATTCCGGGCCACATAATCCGTAGAATCCCGGTAGAAGTCCCACGCCGGTTGATGCCGGCCATGCTCTGAGAATAGGTAGGTGAACGTCGTGAAACCTGGCCATGTCGTGTTCGGGTAGTAGCCAGAATACGGATATACGTGGATGACGAACTGGTTCACGCCTCCGGCCAGCGAGCGGCTGATATCCCGTCCACGGGCCTAGCGACTTGAGCTCCGTCCGTCCGATACCAGATACTACAATCGGTGACAAGTATCACGTAACAGCTAGCCAGGATATCCAGTGCCACTTGGTCGGGCTCCATCATGTCCCAAAGGTCCATCATGTCCCAAAGGCGTGTACAACCGATGCCGACGGTCTTCCGCCCTGAGCGGGTGATGGTAAGTCGCTTCGAGGCGTTATCTTTCCGTGCATGGGACCTGTTCGGAAACGGAAAGACAGCCTGCGTTGGTCGGGCATTTGCCGAACAGGAGAGATGGCAGTAGCTATGATCCTTCAGCGCTTCCCAGTACGAATGGCATATTCCATCTACGACGTGCGTAGGCGTTGCCGTGTAAACTGTTCTAGCCAGGCACTGACAAAGTATTCCAGACCTCAAGAGCACGATCACCGTGAAGCCAGACGAGATCAAGATCGAAGTAATGGTATGCATCCAAGAGGTAGGCCATTTGCTACCATATTTCAGTGCCCGTCCTGACGGCAAAATTACAGCGGCACGCCGGGTCAAGCAGACGACGGCGTCACGGCTTTGCCCTTCCCAGGCGCTCCCTCGAACTTGGCACCCCATGTGTCTTCCTGCTTGAACATGGACAGACACTGAAGCGCAGACGGGGTGCCATATTCGGGATCCGCACCTCCCGCAAGCAAGACCTGGACACCGGCTCGTCAGCAAGGGGCATACGCATGCCGGGTGGAACACCCACGTCAATAACCGCATCTTCCTTCTTGAAAAGTGCGCCAGCCAACGGACTCTGACCGCGATCATTCAGACGGTTTGGGTCGGCGCCGTGCTGGATTAGCAGCTTGACGAGATCTGCGTGACCGTGATAGGCGGCGAGCATGAGCTTCGGACATGAAAGGGTCAGTGTTAGCGACATGCGCGGGCTCCCATACTACGGATTGGGGACATACGAGTGTGTCGCCCTTGTCGTTGGTCAGATTGGCTGGTAGTCCTGCCGGTAGTGCTTGCTCGAAGATATCCATCTGGCCCTCCCGCGCTGCATTGTACATGCGCGTCGCGAACTCGATGGCCTCGGGTGGGATGGCCCCGGGCGTTGACCCATTAGCGGCGTTGTCGCTCGCCATTGCGGAAGATCTGCAACCGTGTTCTGTGGTCAATTCAAAACACTTTGGGAGCAGAGCTATGAAGTCAATTCGTGTAGATAGGTATGTGGCTTGAAGAGCTTGATGATGCTGAGTGAGAGGGCGATGAAGTCAGCGCCAGCCGAAGCTCCGCGTTAAACTTTAGCTTCTGTTCGCATGGCTTCTGCGCCGTGATTGGCTCTTGGAAGCCCTGGAGCCTCACTACATCGTTATCGTTATCACGTGAGCTTCGTTCGGTCCAAGTCATCTCGCAGGCATCTGCTTTGAGCTGGCAAGTTCAAACAAGAGTGGTTAATTTGTCATAAAACAAACATCTTCATCGGGTCGAGAACTTTAGTGACCGGGCAGAAGACAAGCGACAAGTCACAACAGAATCGCCGAGGGGCAGCTCCCTAGCTCCACCCTCCAGCTCTAATCGCAGTGGATCCTCTAACCTTGATAAGGTTAGTCGTAGCCTTAAGTAATCAGCTGCCGGGGCGGCTTGCGACGGGCCCATTCATTCCCTGGCCCGCTGTTAGCCGCCATTGAGCTCAACACAGTGGAACAACCCGTGGAGTCCAGACAGCTCTTCGAGGTTCATCACCAAGCAACATCCGCGTCATGCCTCCTCGACTGAATATCAGATTGCTTTCTCCAGCATGCCGCCTAGTGCGGCCGTACTCAATCGATGCCGGGTCCCTGATCAAAGTCACGAACCTCCCCGCCCCGAACTCCGGCCACATACGAGTCCTCGAGCTCAACAGGCCGGCAGCGCGCAATGCCATATCGAAGGCCCTCCTCGCCGCGCTACGAGCCGAAGTCGACGGTGTCCAGGCGCAATACACACCTGAAGGCGAGGAGCTGCCAGTGACGCCTCGATTCGGAGGCGCTGCAGGGGTCAACCAGAAGGGACCGACGAGGGTGCTGGTCCTGGCCAGCGCCGTCGATGCCAGTTTCTGCGCAGGCGCGGATCTGAAGGAACGGCGAGGGTTCACGCAAGAAGAGTCGGTACAACAATTACGATTGGGAACCATCATCAAATAAAGAGTTGCGCGGCTACAGGTGAACACAGCTGACTCGATTATCATATCTAGGACAGCAGACTTCCTCGCGAACTTGCGCGGCACATTCTCCTCTCTATCTTCTCTACCGATCCCCACCATCTCCGCCGTCTCCTCACTAGCCCTCGGCGGCGGCCTCGAGCTCGCACTCTGCACAGACTTCCGCGTCTTCGCCTCGACCGCGACTGTCGGCCTCCCAGAGACACGCCTGGGCATAATACCGGGAGCCGGCGGCACATACCGCCTGCCCGCTATAATTGGGCAATCGCGCGCAAGGGACCTCATCCTGACCGGACGTCGCGTATCTGCGCCAGAGGCTTACTTCCTCGGCATAGCCGACCGGCTAGTCGAAGTCTTGCCCGAGGATGAGCGGGACGCCGTTGCGCAGGAGGCAGGCGGCCAGAAAGCCGGGGAGGGCACGCCGTCCAGGGCGCGCCGGGCAGCCCTGGCCGAGGCGGTCCGGCTGGCGAGCGAGATCTGCGAGGGTGGACCTATTGCAGTCAGAGCTGGACTCATGGCTGTGCGGTGGCCGAGGGAGGAGGTTGAGAATGCCATGTACCAGCGGGTTGTCAAGAGCGAGGACCGAGATGAAGCGCTGGAGGCCTTTAGGGAGAAGCGGAAACCCGTCTTCAAAGGGAGGTAGTGCGCTAGCATCTGGGATGAACGTCGCTACATGTTTGAGCACTTACGTGTGTCAGTATGGATGTACTATGATCTTGACACTCAGGTCGAGCTAAATGGAGCAAATTAGGCCGAAGTGGCCTCCGAATCTACCTTGCAATACCCAATGCAGACTGCGATCTGTCTATCCGAACCTTACACGCCTTGGTATTTCCCAAATAGGTCATCGCGCCACCCTGATCGCGATCTCCCTCTTGCCAGCAGAGGATCCAACAGAAGGATTCCTGGCTGTCAGACTCCGCCCGTTTGCAAGAGTACAACACGGCAGATGGAACGATTCCGGCTGCCAGACTCCATCTCCCGCTTGCCACCAAAAACCCCAACGGAAGGATCTTGGTCGTCAGACTGAGCCTCCTGCGCCGTAGGAACTTTTTACGACCAGCTTCTCGATGTCATGCCCCAATCGTCCTCTCAAGTGATACACCCTTGTGCTCTGGAGCTTAACAACGTGTCCACTGAAAATCCTAATCCGAAGGCTCAGGTTACCGAATACGTCGAACGAGGATGGTTGGCCAGCACGGGAAGCTGCAGCGAGCTCCTAACAGGAATGTTGTGGGGGGAAAGGGGGTGTTTGCGGGGGTGGATGTGTGTGGGTTGACTCTTTGGCTTATTCGGTCCCTTCTCGGTCTCGAGAAGGATCAATGGGTCGCATGGCTCTAACCTTCAAACACACCATCCTCGTTTTGTTAAATTCCACTGCTTCTTTAAGGATGACTTGTAGTGTCCCTTTAGTGACCCTTCAAACATCGTGGGTAGCTTGGGTAAAGAGTTGCGCTACATCACCCCTTCATCTGGCCGCTTGCTTGCATGTAAGCTTACCTTGCACTTTTCGGCCGGTTGCCCTGTGGATAGTTCTGGCCCAGCGTCAATTTCCTGATAGACTTAATACTGCCACCGATACTTCGCGGGGACGCCGACAATCTTGGGAGCACTTTTACGAGCACGTCATTGGGATTGTATTGATCTCCCCTGTCGCTGCTATCCTCTCGATAAACTGCAATGAACTAAAGTTATTAGATGTTAAGCTTTATCGTAAAGTCAGTTCCAATGTTAATAAAAAGGGGGGGGGGGGGGGGGGGGGTAATGGTATCATGAACACATTTACAGTCAGCTCCCCTTAGTCTCTGTTCACGCCTTCTCATGACATGTCGAGATACCCTCACCCCTTATGAGTCCCCTACTATTATGATGTTTCTCCACCTAAACAGATGTGTAGGTGTCAAATATCGTCCGCCATGTGACTTTGGACGGCAGAGATGGGCGTAAAGCGTGGTACAAGCACGCCGTGCCATACCATGTGGCCGTACGCGCATATTGGTAAGATTCTAGACTGCCAGTAGAATCTTTTAAATACTGGAATAAGCACACAGGAATAAGTAGCTTTAGTTTGATATACTACTTTTAATGATTATTTTATTGTGCTTATTCCAATTCGATAAATTTACTATGGTTTGCTGAGACAGGTAGTGTACGGAGACTTATTGGGTGACTGTACCAGCGTGACTGTGCATAGAAGCGACGATGTTATTATTCACATCTAAGAAGAAGGGAGCCAATGCATAAGTCCAAAAACGATGAGCTCAGATCCACGTTCTACGGTGATAAAGGTAGAGAGGGTCCGTAACTTCATGGTTGGGGCGAGCTGCAAGTGTGGACGACTGCCCCCAGAGCACGTCTTGCGACAAAAGCACCGCGCTGGTAACGGGTCAAGTTCCGTAATTAAGATCTCTGGCAGCTACTGCTTTCTACTGGTGAGCCTCTCACTTCACGTTTTCTTATTCTGGCTCCGTGTCCGCGTACTAACGAGGTCCCCATCCTTACGCTGTGCCGCACTCTTCTTTGGCCTGCCGGCTAACTTCTGTTTCGACTTCTTGCCTTCTTTCTCGGACCCGTTCGGTTCAGACTTCTCACCAGTATTCTTGTTGCCTCGCTTGGGCTTCTCTTCCGTCACCTCCTCGTCCTCGTCATCCTCCTCATCTTCCTGCTCCTCGTCCTCGTCATCTTCCTCCTCTTCCTGGTTCTCCGGATCTTCAGTATCGTCTTCCTCCTCCTGCTTCTTCTGCTTCTTATTAGCCGCCTTCCCGCCCTTCTTCACCTCCTTCCCCTGTTTATTGGTCGTATGAGGTTCGTCCGCCTCTTTGTCCTCGCCTCCCTCCTCTGAATCCTGGCTCTTTGCCTTGCGTTTCCCGTTCTGCCCACTGCCACTCTTGCCCTTGTTGCCGGACGCCTTCTCTTCAACGTTGAGCTCGGAAGCCCTCTTCACCACATCATTGCCGGATCGCTCAACGTGCACGGCGGGATTGCCCGGGTCGGCGTTCTTCTTGATGGTGTTGCCCTTTTTGGACTTGATGGCGATTTCGCCCTCGGTCTTCGTCTCGGCTACCGTGCCGCCGGGCGCACCACCACCCCAGTTCCAGGAGACTACTCCATCGGTAGGATCAGCGACATATCGAAAATATCACGCAGAGCATCCGCGAAGCATCCTGTTGCGAGTCGCATACCTTTGTCACCCTTTTCTGGTGTTTCGCCAGCCATTTCTGGTGTCGTAGTAAGGGCTTCGCCGCGCTGGGTTCGATATAATGTATCGTCAGTGTGTTCACCACTTCGAATAGGAGACTGTATCGCGGATGCTGATGGAATGATGGAGGAAGTTGTATTCAATCATAAGACAAACTCGACAGGGTTCTACATATAAAATTTGCATGAACAAGCACAGGTTGGGCGCTTTGTTCCATGAACAATGGCATTACATCATACTGGTGATTCATCACGGTCTTAGTCAGATTACGCTCTGCGCTCCCGAAAGCCCCATCCCTGCGATCTGGGGAACCGGGTCCGTTTCTGCATAAGGCGGACTCAACACCAAGCGGGTTGACGGAAGCGATCGATCTTTAGTCGATAAAAACATACCCACTTGGTCCCACGATGCGGCGCAGTGTCAGGGCGATCAGAACGGTATAATTGCTCGTAGTCGCTGAGTCTATCTAGTTCCTAGTTACGCCACTGACGTACTTGGTGAGACAGGCATCTTGCGATATCGTCACCGCATAACGGCGGGCGTTGGTTTACAAGCTGGGAGGCGTAGATTCCCCCTGGGCCTTGCCCGCAATCCTTAAGCAGTGCCAATGACTGGTACTTCAGGGAGCTACCTATCGCCAAGCACCCGAGCACAGCGGCTCAGAATGCCCATTGCCTCATCCAGTTCTCCATCAACGCGTCCCCAACCGGCCCTAGGCCGGCCAACATCTCCGACGCAGCGACAGTCGCCTTGGTATCCAACAGGATCGGGCTTGCGCTGTCGGCGACCAAGCCGTCGAAGAACCCGAGGATCTTGATTGCCGGGTTCTGCGTTACGTCCTCGGTCTTCGGCTCGCTCTCTCGCAGCGCATCAACCCACACCGGTAGTGGTACGACCTCAACTCCGTTCGCGCTTTTGAGCGACCGCACGACTGTGGGCAGGACTTCCGCCCACGAGCTGTGCTGCGGGTTCGCGGCATGGTAGACCACGGCACCGGGACTGGCGTTGGCGGCCCGAGCGCTCGTCGAATGGACGGCGAGCTCGACGATGCTCCGGCAAAGCACGTCCACCGGGATCCAGTCGACCGTGTCCATCTGGCCCAGAGACGCCGGTATCTTACCCAAGTACTTCGAGCTTGCGATCAGGCTGGGCAGCCACTCCTGCTTGGGCCAGACGCCAGCCGCCGTAGTCGGACCCGCGACCTGGCCCACGCGACAGACCACGGCCGGGACATCGGCTTCCCTGGCTGCGGCGTCGAGCAGACGTTCCGCGACGAACTTAGACTCCCCGTAGCCGATGGGCTGCGGCATGCGCCAGTCCGTGTAAATCTGTTCGAGGACCTGCTCGGCTGAGGCGTCGGCGGCACGCCAGTTGGCGATGGCGCTGATGCTGGAGATGAAGAAGATCTGCGCGCCGAAGCTGGAGCGCGACGAGAAGTCGATGAAGCGCCGGACAGTGGCGACCTGGCTGGCGAAGGAGTCGATGGATAGGTTGAAGTCGACCTGCCAGGCATTGTGGATGACGTTGGTGACTTCTCCCAGGAGCTTCCTGTATGTGGATGCCGAGAGGCCGAAGTACGGTTTCGACAGGTCCGCATCGAGACACTCGACCTTCGACGGGAGTGGCTGGAGACTCTTCGCAGCCTGAGATTTCTGTTGGCGCGCAAGGGTGCTAGTGCCGCGGTTCAGGCAGTAGACCTTGCGGACATTGGAGTTGCTGACCAATGAGTCTAGAATATACGATCCCAGGGAGCCCGTAGAGCCCGTTATCAAGACAACGAGGTCGTCTGATTGCTTCCCCTGCGGCTTCCTCGCGGTTAATGGTAGGTTCGCCGCGTGCATATCGTACAGCTTCTGCATCTTCTGCTCGTCGCTCTCCGTAGTCTGTGTAAGCGTCTTTCCTTCGACAAGTGTCGACACAACGGTGACGAGCGCAGCAATGCTGGGGTTTGAGTATACCGTCCTGACCTCTAATGACTGTCGCATTCCTTTTGCTGACAAGAATTTGTTGAGCTTCCTGGATATGAGCGTTACTTGCAAGGAATCGAGTCCCAACTCGAAGAGGTTGACATCGGGTGCAACTTGGTTCACGTCGATCTCGGTGGATGTGGCAATGATGTCCTTGACGGTGTCTTGTACACTACCATGCCCGCCTGTGGTGCCGTTGATGATGCCATTCGCTTTGCGATCCGCGGGCTCCTCACTGTCCGTGTACAGAGCGCCAAGCTCCGCTTCATACAGGTCCAGCGTCATCTTGCGCTGTACCGTACCTTTGCCAGCTCTGAGCATGGGCTTGTCTGCGGAGGTGAAGGTGATCATGTTCCGATGAATCCGGCCATGGGACGGACTCTGCTTATTAGCGGCCTGGACCGATGGCCAAATGCGATCCAGAAGGTCTTCTCTCTCCTCCTCGCTCTGGGGTGGCTTGACAGCCTCGACCAGCAGACTGGACTGGAAGCGCCCGAGACCACATATGAGCGCAGCGCTGACAGCCGGGTTCTCGCCAATGGTGTTCTCCATCTCGATTGGGTTGAGCTTCTCGCCAGTAGAGAAGACGATGATGTCGTCGGCGCGCCCCCTGTACAACCAGACATCCTCCTTTGTCGGATGCTTCGAGTACAGGTCCTTCATCGGCCACTCCTCCAGCTCCGGAAAGGTGCCGAAGATTCCTTGGTATTGCTGGAGTTTTGGGTCTCGTACGATAACCTGCTCGTACAGATCCTCTGAGAAATGTCGATACTCATGCCCGAGCAAAGGACTCACGCTCATGTATGCCCAGTCTTCGGGATCGCACAGTTGGATGGGAAGTACGCCGCATTCTGTGGTACCGAGAACGTTCACCAGCCTGGTCTTCTTGCTGATTAGTTCGCCAACTGCCTGGGGACAGGGCCCTCCGCCATACGTAATCTGCTGCAGGCGGCTTAGATTTTCCAGGTGCTTGGGATCCTTGGCAAGATCGACCAGCGTCATGGGAGCCAGGCAGCTATGCTGCACATTGCCGTGGACGTGTATGGCATTGGCAGTGTCTGCCGAAGGTGGGAAGGGACCAAGCACTGCCGTGAAGCCGCTGTAGATGACACCTGGGAGAAGCATGGAGGAACCAGCACAGTGGAAAAGGGGGAACGCGAGATACACCCGGGTGCCGGCGCACAGTGCAGGGTAGGTCTCCTTGTGTCCTAGCGACGGTAAAGCCGTAAATGCGTCGAGTGGTGATACAGTCGCATGGGTCTGGATAATCGGCTTTGGCATGCCTGTCGAGCCAGACGTGTGCAGAACCACGAAGGGATCGGATCTCGCTTCGGCGAAGGTCTTGGTGTACGGATACGGCTCCTCCGGTCCGTCCCCGATCCACCCGTTCATGCCGGCGATCTCAAGCACCCGCATGGGCCGGGCGTGTAGAATCTGCTTGACGACTGGCAAGGGGAAGTTTGGCGGGAGCAAGAAGGTATTGCAGTCGGTCTTCTCGAACAGAGAAAGGTGCGCGTCAAGCGTGTTGCGGGGAGAGTTGAGGAGAAGCGCGTAGCCGGTCTTGATGCAAGCAAGTGTCAGAATTCCATAGACGACATCTTGCGGTCCCATATAGGTGAGCGTGGGGAAGCCCTGGCCTCGTCCCAGATTCTTCTCCAGGTACCAGGCGCAACGGTCAACCGCCCGAGCAAAGGTCTTTGCGCTGATATCCTGGAAGCCATCGGCAGGATCCCTCGTCTTCGCTATGGAGTAGAATATGCGATCCGGGTCGGATGCTGCAATCTCGTCCACGAGGGATGGGAGCAGTCGCTCGCCGACGTTGGCAAGTGGTGCTGGTGACATCGCGGGTTTGGGCGGCCTGTGCCAGAGAGAGAGACGTGTGATCCAGAGGCGGGGAGACGTCAAGCAGGTAGAGAAATAGGCAGCCGGACAGTGCTGTTCTCTGTGCTATGGTAAGTGAAGAGATGAACCGGAGACTCGAACAAAGAAAGACTACTTCCAGTTAGGCACGAGCTGACATCTGCATGCTGGCTGTTTGTGAGCTGCAGCGCAACAGGTGATAATAGCTGTTCGCGACAGTCAACCGCCTGTCACTGATAATCGGTGTGGCACACGAACGGAGTGGCGAAGGCAACGGGCTATCATCGTCTCATCTGCCGTTGAACCCGCCATTGTCGCGTTCACCTTGGTGAAGGATCGATTGACCCGGCGTTGCCCCAAGTCGGGTGGGATTCGGGCTGGAGGCAATATTCAGGGGTGATTCCTACGTTGTACGCCGTTCGGACCCGGTCGGCGAATCTATTTCCCCTCTCAACTACTGTTGCGTTAGACAATCTTCACAAGTGGTTGTAGCATCAAGCAAGGCATTCCCTGGACATGTGGCAACCTGGAACTTGGAAGGATCCCTTGCTCCCCAGACCCATTTGGATCATTAGTACCTCCCTGGGATCGCCCAATTGCGCAAGTACGAACTACTACGTAGTCGGGCCACATGCCGATAGACCCCTGAGCAAAAGCAACGAACGGGCCATCTCTCGATTCCGGTGATAACAGCCCGCAGGCTGTACTAATTACTAGGAGTCTACGAAAGGGAGGGCAACGGGCCTATCGGGAAAGGATTGGCCGGGTGCAATGCTCTCACGGTCGTCACACCCGATTTGGCTGAGACGGGTGGTCATGTGTAGCTAGGACAGGGATGTATAATATTGGATAAACTCTGGAGATCCTATATAGGTACTATTTTAAGCTTATCGGCTAGCTCGACGATGATCGACTCACTCTCCACCGTCGGTAAGACAGCAGTGAGACAGATAGGTAGTCCATAATTCCAGAGTACAGTAGGTATGCTGGCAGCCCAATTCGCACGGTAAATCAATACATCGCTGATATTATTCTCTTATATTGCAAATGCTCATCATAAGATCACTAGCAGTATGGTGTTGCTATTATCGCTGCGTGGTTGCCGTTGGGCTTTGACGTGGTGTGCTGGGCTATGGTAGGTTAACTCCAGGTATGTTTCGCAACCTCACATTATGATTCATCCAATCCTGCCGTGGCACCCTGCCTACCTAGTCCACCGATCCTTCAGGAACGCCCACTCCGCCTAGTAGCCGCAGGATATCCTCCTGCGCGTCTCGAGTCATTTTCAGCCAATGGGGAGAGTGTTGATGGTGGCGGTGCGGAGCGTTATACCCTGGTAAAGGATCGAAGACGTGCCTCGGCAGCAGGACAAGACGTTCACATGGGTGGGAAGTCCCCGGCAGGTTCTGTCGACGCAAGGTACTTCTTTCGAGAGTGGCTACCAGTAGGTGTGTCGGCCTGGGGATATCTTTGGATCTGGGGGAGGCAAGCTGCCCCGGGAGACGAGGGGACAGGAGTTCGCGTTCACTCACCAGGGCCTATGGCACTCCTGTTGTGTCGGAAGGTGACAATAAGGAACTGTTGGATTCGCATGCCCTGCAATAATCATCCTACGAAGGCTTAGCCTTTTCCTGGTTTTCCCATACTCCTCTATCTTCCAACATCCCTTTATTCGACACTACATTTACCTGTGCTTGGAGTGCCCGGCCGATAAGTCATCTTTCGCATCTCCTGTCTTTTCTTCCCTTTTCCTGTTGTTGATCCGGACGCGGGAAATACGGCCCCGGCACTCTCTTTAAAATCATTTCACACGTTCCCTTTACGCGGCTATCATGGCGGAAGACTCATCCACCAAAGGCGGCACGCCAGCGTTATACGGGGGCCTCTACGCCTATGGCGGTGACAGTGTCATCGCCTGCGTCGTCGTTTTTGCCGTGTTGTGCACGGTCTTCCTCGCTTTGCGCTTTATGTCGCACCGAATCGGCCGCAGGCCTATATCTCTTTCGGATTGGCTCATGATCCCATGTTGGTTCTTGATCATCGGTCTCTGTGCCAGTGTGGTTTGCAGTAGGTCTTCGGCGCGCCCCTCATTCCCAATGACTGTTCTCTAACTGAGGATCCTACAGGCGTCGGCTTGGGCGGCGTTGGTAGACATGCAGCCTATGTTGCTCAGTTCATGCCCAACGGAATGACGAGATGGGCCGAGACGCTCCTCGCGACAGAGGTCATCTACGGGGTCGTCATCCCGTTGGAGAAGACTTCTATCCTGCTCCTATACCTGCGCCTCTTCCACATCCACCGCTGGTTCCGCGTCACGACCTACGTGTTGATTGCCTACATCTGGATGTGGGCCAGCAGCGAAATCCTTGTTGCCATCTTCCAGTGCAGCCCAGTCGCGCTCCAATGGGACAAGTCGCTCAAAGGCGTCTGCATCGACCAGCTGCAGTACTACCGCTGGATCAGCGTCCCGAACGTGATCCACGACCTGGTCATGTTGGCCGTGCCGATGCCCGTGGTCTGGAAGTTGCAGGTCTCCATTCGTCAGAAGGTCGCACTGATCTTTGTCTTCCTGGTCGGGTCCATGTAGGCTCCCACCCGTGCCCTCTTGCTTCGCAAGTTGCCGTGCTGACATGTATACAGTGGCTGCGTCGCGTCGTTCATCCGCCTGTCGATCTTCTTCAAGACAGATGCCTTCAGCGACCCTACGTGGGCGTCAATCCAGCTCATGTCCTGGACCCTCGCCGAGCCCGGAGTTATTTTTATATGCGCATGTATGCCTTCGCTCTGGCCAATGCTGCCCGAGATACCCTGTCTCGGATCGGTCTTCAACCGCTCTGGTAACAGCACGAGCAGTCGCTCTAGGGTGCTAGAGTCGAAGCCTGGGGCGATCGCTGGCGCATGGGACGGTCAGCCCCGCGGCCTTGGTCCTCACAACGACAACTTCATCCCTCTCGACGACGTGGAGGATCGCGCCGGCACACATGGGGTAGTCAGCAGTCCAGGCAGACGACATGAGATGGTTGATCACAGCAGTGGCCGTGGAATAAGCGTAACGAAGGAGTTTTCTTGGGTGTCGGTGAATGGCCAGCCATTTCCGCATGATTATGCCATGAGTGGGCAGCCACTGCCGCACATGGATGATTATGCCATGTGGAATGGACAGCCACTTCCGCATGGCTATGCCATGTATAGCCCGCCGCTTCCGCTTGAGTATGGCATGAATGGCCAGCCACATCCACACGATTATAGCACATAGTCAATACACGTCCATCCAAAGCAAGGCAACGCCGCCATGTCGGGTTCTACTGGCTATGTACCCCCGTGCAAAGTAGTTCTATCGTATTTCACTCTGCCTCTGTGGGGCCGCGAGCGAAGTGAAAGGATGCCAGAAATAGATGAGCTGTGTATCAAGATAACCTGGAAGCACATGTGGGAGGCCTACCGCCTACTTTTGGGTATTCTGAAGAATTAGCTGCCACTCTACCGGCACCACCTGGGGCCTTTGCGCAACACCTGGGGAACGGCCGGGGTATAAAGCACATAAGTTCCGATAGGCAAGATAGAGACCCAGTGGTACAGGCTTGGTGGGAAAGAAAAGGGAGAAAGGTGGATGTCAACTTCGGGAATATACAGAAGTAGGTGGGACTCCCCGGATGGAATCTAATTATAAGTTTTGAGCGTCAGACGGGCTAGATAATCACGAGTGGAAGGATTGGACTAGGCCGGGCATACAATCCTGCTGATGCGATAGAAAGACCATACATTTTTGCAAGTCAATCCATGGCCCCACCCATCCACCCCGGCCGCGCCACCCCGAGCTGTCGTCTTGTTCTGGCTCGTGGCATTGACACCGCTTCTCTGACTGGCTAGAAATATGGATGGGATGCTGCTCAGGGTCACGTTGCATTAGCGGTATGCATTCCTTCTGCGGCTGTTTCTCACGTAGTAGGAAGGACAATGTGTAAGCGTGTGTTCCAGACCGCCCGGTGCTTTGGTAATGCAGAAAGTAAGAAAGGAATCTCTAGTGCTCAGACTGCCTATCCGTGCATCTGATTCAATACAATTGGCCAATTATGATATTGATGTTATGGAGTCTAAACTTGTCGTGGTACAACTACCCCTCCACCCACATCCGCTGACCAGGTTCAACTAGGTGGTGGACTCACCATGATAGGGTAATTAATGACCCCCCGGACTATTTTACTCCTTCGTCTTTGGATACGTCACCTACAACCTGACCCTTGACCTCAAATCGTGTACAGCGGGCCGCTTCTGAGAAGAGTCCTATCACGTACCAGTATATGAGGCCTCGTGCTCTCCCGTGCCGGAAAAGGCACATCGGACATATTCTTATTGAAACAGAAAGCGAAATAAATATGTATGTCGTCTCTAGAGATACTAGAGATACTAGAGATAGTATGACAGTGCCCTGTCAGTCGTCTGTAAGCGACCGACCCACTGGATATCCTTTCACTGTTCAGGGGTAGACCTGTAATTGCTAGCTGCATCAAAAGAAAAGAACCAAGCATGCCTTCATATGTACATAGGACTCCAGGTTTCCAATCCAACCTAACCGACGCCGGCACAGCGGCACAGCGGCGCAGCAGAAATACTCCTCCCGGCACTCCGTATTCCGATGTGGCCCCCTCTGTCTAAGCGATCACCTTCATGGCGTATTCGGCAGTTAGACCCGCCATGAAGCCAGACCCAACGATCCAGAACTGGTCGCGGAACCAGTCGCCACAGCTCTCAGGGCGCTTCAGGTCAACGTCGTAGATGTAATAGGTCATGGTAGCCGCGACGCCGCCGACGGTTCCGATGAAGTAAAGGGTGCTGAAGCCAGCCCAGTGACCACATAGTGCAAGCAGGGCCACCTGGCCGACTGTCAAGATGCTGGCTAGGAGCTTGGTGCTGTTCCTGAAGCGCAGCGCCATGCCCTTGACGCCGGCCTTCTCGTCGTCGGCGACGTCCTGGTGCGCGTAGATAGTGTCGTACGTGACAGTCCACAGGATGTTGGCCGCGAACAGCGCCAGCGTCGGGGCCGCGTTGGCGCTGCTGAAGGGGTCCATGTCCAGCGCCGCCACGCAGAAGAAAATAGCCCAGGCGAACGGGAAGCCCAGCACGACCTGGGGGTAGTAGGTGACGCGCTTCATGAGCGCGTAGACGAAGAAAAGTACCACGGCGACTGCCATGTGGGGCGTGCAGGGAGCAGGGAGCAGGGCCAGGATCGGGTAGCCCACTGCTAGTTGCGCCAGGGTGAAGACGTGGGCCTGCGTGGTCGAGACCGCACCCCGCGCAACGGGGCGATGGCGACAGCGCTCGACGCGACGGTCAAAACCCTGGTCGACGTTGTCGTTCCAGGCACAGGCCGCACCGCGGAGGAGCACGTTGAAGGGGAGAAGGATGGCAGCGAGCCCCAGGAGGGTGAGTGGCGAAGGAGCCGTGGGGGCAATGCAAGCTGCATACATGATGCCGATCAGATAGGGAAAGTAAAATGCGTACAGGCCTCCCGGCCGGTCGATACGCATCAGCTGGCCGTAGGGGATCCATGAGGATGGAAGCAGAGACAGCACGCCCGTCGTGGGATCAGAGTACGACGGGAGATGGGGAAAGAAATCGATGTCCTTGTCGTGGACTAGCAAAGAGCCCAATTCCGACTTGGCCATGAGAGAAGGTGCTGCCTTTTCGGGCGTGGCAACTCCGGGGTCCGTGGTCCTTGGTGACTGAGTCGCCAGTAAAGAGGTAGATGTGGTCGTACGCGCCATGGCTTCTGTGAGATTCTATGAGAGGAAGAGACTATGCAAACGACGGTGTACGAAGAAGAGGAATGTCAAGTAGCTCGAGTCCCGGCTTTCAGCAAGTGAGTTGATGGGTGGTGAGACTTTCGTATATATACCGCAGAATCTAAACCAGAGAGAAGATGGACTAACTAAAGTTCGGCTCGGCTCCGACGAGGAGGTAGTTACATCGAGGGATCTCGCCATGGCTTCACGGCCAGATAGCCAACAGCCAACGGCACTTTCGTTCCAACTTGGAACTTCCAAGCGCCGCATTGGGATCCCGGTCGACGGGATACAGTCAGAACTGTAAGTGTACGGCCCGACGACCAAGCTCCCCTGGCCAGACGTCCCACCGCTACTTCGAAAATGAAACCTCGGAAGAGACTGTGTCACTTTGGCTTACCCCCTGCTAAGGTCTGATGACACTTGCAGTCATACTCAACTGATAAAGGACGGTATCGTACGTTTAACTATCTATGAATGCGTAGCTAGCGCCCAGCAAGGCGTAGAGTAGGCAATACCGTTGTAACGTCTTGTCCACGTGGAGGGTCTGAAGGATCTGCCAGTCCCGGGGAGAAACAGTGCGATTGCGGGTCTATGCGAGTGAAAGTTCCTTGCTGAAGGACCTTGCAGTCTGGGCCGCTAGGAGTTGCGCGTTCGTGGTAAATTACCATGGATGCCTCATTACCATTGGTAACGGAGCATCTGGATCCTGGAGGATGTGATAGAGGATCTGCCGGGCCTGGAAGGAAAATGTGTGGTTTCGGGTCTATGAAGGTGGAGAAAAAGGACCTTGCAGACTTGCAAGTTGCAGTCTATTGATCTTCACTGCGACGTCGAGAGTGGGACATGCACAGCATATCACGATGTGATGCGTAGGTCCGAATCCACGGTGGTGGGATTTGCCGTTATCTCCCCCCTGGTCAATTGCTTGCGGCCACGAACCGAGAAGAGGAGACGACACGAGAGCGCTCCGCGGCTGGCCTCACCCCCGAGTCGATGCGGCATACAGCACGTACCCCCTGATACCACATGTGATTCGTGACGATATATGAGGATGTGAGGTCGTATTGTGCGCCCCATCTCGATCTCCGTTCCAACGACGCACCGCACACTGGCTCACCTTAGACATTGTCTCAGCCGCCAACCCCCCACCCTCGTTGCTGTGAAGGTCTTTTGCCTTGAGTCTCGGTTTCCAGAACTGGTTGTCATAGGCCTCACCAGTGTCACGATGACGTTTTCATTTGACCTTCCGTTCAGTCAGTCAATCGTTGGCTCAATACTGTGTCTTCTCCTTGTGGCTGCCTATGTTACTATCCTCCCACCTCACAGCAGAGGCATCTTGCGCGGAAGACGATACGTCATGCCCCCTGGGCCCAAGGGCCGCCCGGTGGTCGGCAGCTTACCAGATTGGCTTCAAGCACGGCGTGAGGGAAACATGGTGCCATGGGTAAGTTAGCTAGAAACTGGTACAGCTTTGGAGGCTTCGCTAACATCAAGTTCCAGCTCGTCAAACAGGCGCAGCACGGCGAGATGACAACACTCAGCATGGGCACGAAGACATGGGTCCTCTTAAACAGCAGCCGTGTAGTCAATGAGATCATCGCCAAACGGGCCGGCATCACGCACGAGAGGCCGTACTTCCCTATTGCATCAGGGCTCGTCAGCCAAGATAAGAGGGTCTTCCTACTGAAGACGGACGATTGGAGGGAAGGACGGCGCCTTCTTCACCGGCTGATGATGGGCGCCGGCGCGAAGAACCATGGCGATCTCGCAGAAGTCGCCAGTCTGGGCTTGCTCAAGGCCTACCTCGACGAACCCAAGGAATGGTACTCACACAACTATCGGTATCCCATAGCCATCATGAGCAAGATTGTCACCAACACGCCGGTGCAGAAGTCAACAGCCGAGCTCAGGGATCTGCAAAACGTCACCTCGAGCTTCTTGACCTCCATCAACAGCAGCTTCGTCGAGTTCTTCCCTCAGCTGACCATGCTCCCCAAGCCTCTCCAGTTCTGGCGGCGTCACTGGGAGGACATGGGCAAGTTCCACTACAGAGTCTTCAACCATTGGTGGGCGGGCATGAAGGGATCGGAAGATGGCAGCGCAGAACCGTCGTATGTGCGCGACGTAGTCCTCAAAAGCTTCTCTGGCACCGAAGAGGAAGCCATGTACCTAAGCATCCTCGCCATCGTAGCCGGGGCCGACAACCCGCGGATGACGATGAATGCCTGGATGATGGCCAGCATTGCCTATCCCGGCGTCATGCAGAAGGCTCGCGAGGAGGTCGAGCGCGTCTGCGGCACCGGTGCTGGCCGTCTGCCGACCCTGGACGATCTCCCGAGCATGCCGTACATGTGCGCAGTGGTCAAGGAGGTGCTGAGGTGGCGGCCCACCGTGCCTCTCGTCCCCCAGCGTGTCCTCGTCGAGGATCTCGAGTTCGAAGGCTACACGTTCCCTGCAGGCACCGAGTTTCTCGTTAACTCGATACCCGTGTGTAGCAACGGCTATGACAAGCCTAGTGAGTTCTGTCCGGAACGCTGGCTGGGGAGCAAGGAACATGGGGGCGGTGTCGATCAGGATTTGTGGCAGTTCGCCTTCAGCGGAGGCAGACGCTCGTGTGTGGGCTATAAGCTGGCCCAGAAAGAGCTGTTCGTGGCGTTCTCGCGGTTGCTCTACTGTTTTGATTTCTCGGCGGGTGGTCCGTTTGACGACCGGAAGCTGAATGCTTTTGAGCCCGGTGAGCCATTTCCCGTCAAGGTGGTCGTGAGGAGTCCAGCCCACGAGCGGTTGGTCCGCGAGGAATCTGCAAAGTGTGACCTCTGGGGGTTCTAGGGGGTTCCAAGAATCGGACTCCAGAACGGGACAGACCAGAGAGGTCGTTTTCAAGTATCCGTTAGCTTGCGGTAGAGTAGCCACGTTTAATTAACTCCGTAATCAGTACATAAAATTGGGCTAGGTTTCCCCTTGTAATGTCCTACATCTTTGCATAGATAGATTGGTGTTGGCAATATGAGTTCTTTAGATGGCGACCTGGCATGACCGGGACTGGCTATGCTTAGGCAGTCTTTCAAGCACGAAGTGGCCTACTGTGACCGTTTATCCATGTTGCAATTGTTGCCCTCCTCGACTAGCTTGGCCAGTTGGCCGGGTAGGTCCATAATGGGCTGGATCACTTTGGTAGCTAACCAAAAGGGCGCCGTGTTTATGAACCGGCGCGGGATCGCCCCGGGCTCTGTCGGTCGTAGATCCGAATACGGCAGGGGTTCTCCATAACCTACTTCATGAGCGGCAGTCGAGACATTGTTATGTCAAGGGAGTCCTGGTCATGTTGGCCATATAAGAGGTCAATGCCTTCTCTGGCGCTCATGTACAACTGTGTACATGTTTCAGCTTGAGTGTTGAACCATATTTAGACGTCACATTCGCCCATTTAATCACGTCTACCTATAGCAACGGCGACTTATTTGGAAAACACGCAGGTTCGACGCGAGTACAACGCGTTGCCGGCTGATCGGCCTGTCGCCTAGTTACCGCTTTCGCACGAACTGATACACGAGTCAGTTGGCTAGAGGGCTTACGTGTAGCCTGGCTCGAGTGTATTGAAGAACAGAGGCCGATTGAAATCACCTAGAATGGGGTACAACAGCTCTCGGGACCGAGCATAGGCAGACAAATCAAATCCGCATGACGGAACGGAAGCGTGGTCCATTAATGGATATTGTAATGGCTCAAACCTGCCAGGTCTCGGACCTTCAACCGACTTCCCCCTGAGGCCCCAACTCACCCTCCAACGTCGGGCAATAGTTCGCATTAGTGCGAGCCCTATCACATCCGTGCACTACTAGACTCGCCGCTGTCTTATAGACTACTGTAGTCCCGTAGGTAACCTAGGGCCTACTGTAGTCAACTCACGGGAGGTGTTAAAAATTCCCAACTCTGGATGAACACGACGCTTGGCTCCACGCCGGGTTTCTTGACCCGATTGGCTCACTCTTTGTGCCCGTCGATGCCTCTGGTGACGTTCGGAACGTGGCTATACCGTGGTAAGTATTCCATCTTTTCTCCAGTGTCAGACGGCCGCGTAATCTTTCCCTCTGTCCTTGACGTTACCACCAGCGACGATAGCATCGAGTTCCGACTACTGCGCCTTGCTAGCTGCAACAATTGCTCGAATAGGAATCGTCACACCCGTAGCGTCACATTAATTCCGACCAACGATTAAGCTCTCTACAGTCCAGTTATCTCAAGAAAGCCGGAACGAATCGCCAAGATCTTGGCCTCTCCCGGCATCAAGCCCACCCGACTTGTCTTTACGTGCGATGCGGATCGACACAGCTTCCCTGGAACAGCTCGTGAATATCAAGCAACGGCCAACTTACGATCTGCGGCTCGTCCAAAGGCACAGTCGTATCCGAGCAACAAGCAAACGGCAGTTTCATATTGATCTGTAGCTAGGACAGTTCTGTTCATTATATCCGATGGCCAACAACTTAACTAGGTAGTGAGAATTAACTCTCAGCAAGACCCGTACTATCACTTAGGTCCTATACCCCTGAATAGGGGGATTTCTCAGCTAAGAGCCAATCCAATTGAATCCCCCAAGGACAAGGGCGTGACGGCATTCATTCCATTATGGCATGGATATCCGATCAGCAAGGTCCGCACGTGTCAGCCCTACTAGCACTGCGACTACCGATTGAGTTCATCCAATCTTGAGACGCCGTCGCGTGCTATGCACGATTTACAGTGGCTAGAGCGCCCTAGAAACCCCCGGCCAAGAGAAAGGGCTTACCGTTCAAGGCGTGGTGCCGCGGCCGATCACGACTGATCCCTCCTATCGATTAAACCCCGAAGCACGGGTCCCTGGCCTTGAAGCATATCGAACCAATGACTAGAGCTGCCACCTAGTACCACCGGCCTCTGCGCCGTGTCTCCAGATAGATTATCCACCGGCATTCTGTACCCTCGATAGCCGCGAGTAGAAGACGACTAGAAGGGGATGTAGCGTGGTCGGACTCGTGGGCAAACAGACCATTCAATGGACGAGATCGCAAGTCTTGGCCACGCGTGAATGCAGTGCGGATATTTCGGCTTTGTGAATACACCCCCTGAGTAAATCCATCCCCTACCAACCATGGACCAGATTATCATCGGCTCATAATAATGGGCGCCTTCCCCAGCCGTGATTCAGGTGACAGACAACCCCAACTCCACCGGTGACAACTCCAACTTCCCCCACCTGCCTGCCCGCCTTGTACCCCTGGAATACAATCTGGTTTGAGCCGCACCGCTCTTTCACGCAGTCATGTCGTCGGCCCTCGTTGCAGAATCATGGACATGGTACTCCCTAACCTGGACTGTGGTCCTCGCCCGGATGTAGGTTCTCGTCGCGTAAACGCAGTCGCTTTCATGTTCCCTCGCTAACATGGCCGTGTCTGTAGGACATCGCGGCGAGCTCTGTTCGGCTCGTTCAAGAAGCTCCAGATCGACGATGCCCTCATGTTTGGCGCGATGGTACGTCGAACCAAAACATATTCCACAGTATCACCCGCCGCCAGCCGTTCTAATTTACCTGATAGGCGACTGACACGGTCCTGATGGTCGCGATCAATATTATCTCCCACACCAGCAGCAATCTGATAGATCCGAACGATCATGCAGCGCTCACAAAGGAGAACATCGCTGAAAGGGCGTTTGGTTCGAAGATGGTTGTGGTCGCTGAGCAGATGCAAATTCTGACAATATGGCTCGTCAAGGCGTGCCTGCTGCTCATGTATGCTCGCTTAACGTCAGTATCGCCCACAGCCCCATTCCGATATCGAATACTGTGACTTACATTGCCTCAGTATGAGTTTGAAGCAGAATATATCGGTGAAGATCGTCGCCGTCTACGTCACCTTAGGCTTTGTTGTGATGGAGATCCTGTACCTCGGTGTATGGTGCAGGCCATTCAGCCAGTACTGGGCGGTTCCTCCAGATAATGGTCGGTCAATTCGAACCGCCCGCAGATCCTTTCTTCGCTAACAAGTCGTGTACAGTCCAATGTTCGGCTGCGACGAACCACCTTATCACCAACGCGGTGTTGAACATCTCTTCGGATTTCATGATTATTCTCATCCCGATGCCGGTGTTTCTACAGTCGCAACTGCCCGGGAAACGAAAGGCGATTCTGTGCTGTGTTTTCGCCCTAGGACTATTTACGGTACGTTGGATCATACCGAACCTGCTCGCTAGGACGGCGTTCGAGTGCATACCTCTCTTTCCATTTTGCGCTCTCGTTCAATATGGTGCTATCATAGTTAGTTAACTCCCACGGACACTGCTAATACTCATGATCTTCCAGATACTCTCTGCGATCCTAAACAAGTTCTACAGTTTCCACGAGCCCTTCGGCACTGCCTGGACTTTCTGGTACATCCGCGAATCTTCAACTGCTCTTATCACGGCGAACCTACCATTTACGTGGACGCTGCTGCAACGGGTGTTCAACCTGAAGTCTTTCAACGGGAAGTCTTCGAACCAACGGACCGGCGACCCGCCCTCCGGCTTCAGATCAGGCTACGGCAACCACAACACCACCGTTGGGAGAGGCGAAGATATGGAATTCTCGAGGACAGATAGCCAGGAGCATATCAACCGGACGTTTGAACGTGACGTGCCGCTGAAGATATATAAGCAACAGGAGGTGCACGTCACAAGGACCGACGGAGATCAGGAATCGAGTCGCTCCAGTGCCACGAGTATTGAAACCAAGCAATAGTCACATATTCCATTCCTGCAGGGGCGTTCGGGTGGATACTCCTCACATGCCTTCATGGCTCTTCATGTTCTCCTTTATAGTTCGCCTTGATATATCTATCTACATGCATTTACCCCGTGCCCCGCCTACTGACTCCGAAGCAACTGAGCCTCGCGAGTGTCCTCAGTCCTTCCACGTCACCGCCTTAGTCATGTACTACTCCGACAAGCCGAACACAGTGTTGAACTTCCCATAGCCCGTCGCCTTGAAACCGCCATGGGGCAGCGCACTCTCATCGTGGAGCGACATGTTATTGATGTGCACAGCCCCAATTTCGAGAGCACGAGCAAAGCGCAACCCCCGTCGAAGGTCCTCGGTGTACACGGCCGCAGCGAGACCGTAGTCCGTATCGTGTGCGATCGCCAGGGCCTCCTCGTCGGTCTCGAACTCGAAGATGCTGACCGTGGGGCCGAAGTTCTCGTTCCGGTAAGTATCCATGTCGCACGTCACTCCGGTCAGAACCGACGGCCGTAGTCGGGATCCCGTGTTTAACGAGTCGACGGCGTCGCTTCCGGGCCGCGTTATCGTCGCACCCTTGGCTTCGGCGTCCTCGAGTAGCCGTGTGACCTTTTTGACGCCTTGGGGATTTATCATGAGCGCTGTTTCGTCCTTCGAGGGGAACATCGAGGGAATGAGCGCGAGCAGCTTGGTCTCGAATTCCTAACGCACGCTCTTCTGGACGATGATGCGTTCCGTGGCCATGCAGCACTGGCCCGCGTACATGAAAGCGCCAGCCACGCAACACTGGGCAGCGAGATCGAGGTTTGCATCTTCGCAGACGATGGCCGGGGCTTGTCCGCCCAGTTCAAGCAAGGCCGGCTTGAGGTGCTGCGCCGCGAGCACCGCGACGATCCTGCCCACGGCGGTGCTTCCGGTGAAGTTAACCTTCTTCACCTGGGGGTGCGCGATGATGGCTTTGCTGACTGAGCTTGCACGCGATATATCTGTGGAGATGAAGTTGAGCACGCCTCTGGGGAGACCGGCTTCTTGTAGCACGCACACGATTGCCCACATGCTGCGGGGTGACAGTTCTGAACCCTTCAGGACGACGGTGTTTCCAGCGGCGATGGGAAGTATGGTCGCACGCATACCTAGGATGTATGGGGAGTTCCTGGTTTCATGTAAGCATGCGTTGGTGACTTCGCGATGCGCTGCCAGCATGGGAAGAAGTGTGCTGGGGTCTCTGGGGATGGTAGTGAAATGGTCACCAAGAAGCACCTTATACCAGGACCAAATAACGTGCAGTCACCAGTCCCGGGATGCTCTGACTTACCAAGGAGCCACCACCCACGAATGAAGCTATTCAGCTCGGAGATTTATGGCAATATTATCATTCGAAAGCGCAGAAGCTGTTTACTCGTACAATCTTACGGGCGTCCGAATGGCTCGCCCCGAACGGGTGTGCCTAGGCTCCTGTACAGCCTCCAAAACCTCCTCTTCAGCCGAGTCTTCGTCTTCGTCCTCTGAATCCTCTGAATCCACAACTACAACTTCTGCTTCACCCGCAAGGGCACCAGGGGTGATAGTACCACCCGTACTTAGTATCTGCGTGACTGTTCTGAATTTCTTGTTAGGATTAGGGACCTTCTTCCGCTTCTTAGGCCGTGCCCGCTCCAGTTCAGCCTCCAGAGCCTTGATCTTCCTATCCTTGATCACAAGCTCGGTCTCCTTAGCCTCGAACGCGTTCGCTATCTTCCTATACTTCAGCCTGGTTCCTGGAGATCATTTTTTGCCGAAATCCATAATCTGTTGGCTCGTAGTAGGCGTCTGCTGGTCCTCTGGTTCAGAGCTTTCAGGAGTATCAAGCTCAGGGGTCTTTCTCTTGTCTTCTTGTATCTCTGGGTGTTTAAACACTTCCTGCGGCTGATAGGATAATATCCAGTGACTTTGAAGCCAGAGAGGATGTTTTGCTTCGTGAAGGCGGTAGTTCTGGCTTTGCTATAGCACCGGATGAAGTTGATCTTGTCAACAGGCGAGGCATCCGTCAAGGAATTCAGCTCAGAGAGGAATTTCTGGTAGTATGCCTTCAGGGCATTATAGGGACCGTTATCCAGGGGTTGCATGCCGTGACTAGTATGCGCAGGAAAGAAACAGAGCAATATGTTGTTGAGAAAACATATAGTCATGAATTCGTCCTATTAATACGCGTTAGACCATATTAAATCAGGAAAAATGAAAGAAAGTCCATTTAAAATAAGGAAAAATCGTATACGTACGGAGGTGTGGCTCTTGTGGCCATCCAGTATTAAGAGGATAGCCTCAGACTGGTCTCCTCCTCGTTCTTCGTTTGCCTGTGGGAGGAAAACATCTTTTAGCCACTTGTAGGCTATAGCATTCAAAGTCCAGCCGTTCTCTGAGCATATATAGTGCCAATCTGCGGTCTTTTTAAACTCGTCGATGAACCACTGCACTTGGAGGTCCTTCCCTTTGAAGATAATACCTGGTTTAAGGATTTTTCCAGTTGCTGAGATGGTCTCGATAAAGGAGGTCCAGCTACGGCCCTGTGGGCTCTTAAGAAAGGCTTTCTTGATAACAGAACTACCTAGAACTAGGGAGTCGATGCCTGTGAATCTAATGAGATTTTTTCCGGAATTAAAGGGGTAGATATAGTTACCAAAACCCGCCATAATGCCGCCCTTATCGATGTTATAGGTGTTCTTTGGCTTCACCTAGCCGTAATCTTCGAGAATTTCAAAGAACCAGTTAACTGATTTAGGCGTGAACCCCTTGAAGCGTGCTACTTCCATCCTTTTGCCGACTTTCGTCTTGATTTCGGGGTTGCGGCGCTTGAAGGCTGCCATGAAGGTGTCTCCTAGGGGGCCCTCATCTCCCTTCTTCTTCAACAACTTCTTGACGATCTCACGAACCAGGGAGTGCGAAGGGGCTAGGCCGAGCTTTTCCTGTAGTAAAATCCACTTGATTATAGTCTTTTCCTGGACAGGGGATAGTCTCTGTTGCTGTGTGTGGGCTTCGGTTCTGGTAGCCTTGCCGTTGAGTCGATCAGACAGCGTTTGGTGCGGAATACCGTGTTTTTGACCGGCTTTTTGCACAGATAGGCCCTTATCTGTGATATCTAAGATCGCCGAAGCCATCTGATCCTTCGTATACGAATAGGGAGGTATTTTGGGCGACTATACGATGCTGCGGTGCGTATAGAACGAGGCTTTAGGAGAGCCGTGAAAATCTCTATTTAGGGTACTAAAGGCGGGGTAATAGCTCCTCAATCACGTAAGCCGGGAGGGGTAAATTTAGCATTGGGGAAAACCTCAAGATCAGGGCTATCTAGAGCACTAAATACATTGTGAATAGCTTCAATATCAGTCTGAATCTGTATAAGTGAACATGTGGGAGTTTTGGTGGTGATGGTGGGGTTTGGCTGGCCGACTAGTGGGGGTGGCCGACTTCTATGGGGGGATGGTAAAGCCGACCCACGTGTCTGATGCTCCTGTCTCGTCTCGCATGTACGTGGCTAGCTCTTCGCGCCTCTTGTCCATGATTTCCGCGGCTCTCAGCAGTATGTCGCGTCGTGTAGTTGTGAGCGAGTGTCGCCACTCTCTTAATGCTGCCAAACCCGCTTCGACAGCCTCGACTGCATCTTCAGGGGTTGCTGCCACACATCGATGGCACAGCTTGCCGGTGCTTGGGTTGATCACGTCGAACAGGTTATTGGTACGACGCTCTTCGCCGTCCACTACAAGGGGTACTGAGTAGTCCGTCATTGCTGGAGTCATTTGCTAAGGGATATGTCTGGGTGTTATAAGGAACTTATCGCGTCGTATTGTACCGAACATCGAGAAGCATGAGGGTGACCAACGAGAAACATCTCGCAGTAATATAGACTTTCGAACGAATGATCCGTGCGTGGGCGAGGACGGAGCATACACCGTTCGGGGAAATCAATCGCAAGAAGTTTATACAATGGAACAGTGTCGCACCTCCTTGGACTATGTGATCATCCATCAACAATGGGTTCCTAGAGTTCGAGACATTTATGTCACTCATGAGCAGAGAAATAATGGACAGAGCAAAAATCCTTGCCAGCAGTATACTATGATAATGCAGCGCCCGTATGATGGCGAACCTGAGTGTATTTTTTTGCATATTGTGACCCTCGAGTTGCATATGCTGAGACTTACCACTTCCCGTTCTTATAATGCGGGCTTATAACTGCCATGCAGCAGACATGTGTGATGGGCACTTGTCTACATAGCTAGGTACAGTTGCGCGATACAAGACGAACACCAAGACGCCAACCCCTCATTGTGGACTGCGAGATGATTCAGCCGAGGCGACGATATGTGTGCACGCGTCGCCAGATATGGCTCCCACCCATATGCAATAAGATGAGCCCGGTACTATTGGGTGATCTTCGTGTGGTATGTGCCTGCCCCGAGAAATATCGCGTCGTATTGTACCGACGCGGGACTGGCCTGGCTGCCTACCATTGGTTTCATGGGACACTCAAATATCACAAGTCAGCAGCACGCAGTCAGGAACACTTAAGCATTCAACGTCAGCAGTACGCAATAGTAATCCAACAAGGCCGATTCGTCAGCCATGTGGAGGTGAAATCTCCGTCCTATCTACAGTAGTCCAAAACAGGAGATATCGATCCGCACCAGGATGGTGGCTCAATGCCCAGGCGTGTGATGCTATGCTTGCACGAACAACTCGCACGGATACTGTATGCAAGATCTCTTGCCCAAGGCAACCGACAACGACATCGTCAGCGCCGTCTAACGAAGTCACAAGCGCCTATCCGTTCGCGAGCGTGAAGAGCGGGCGAACCTTGCCTGCTCCTCAAGTGATCTTGTTTTGGTAGCTATGACAGTAGCGCGGTCGGGCTTTGGAATGCGCCGCGCCTGGGTTTTTCCGTTCAGTAAAAGACGTTCGTTCAGGGGAAAACGTTGGAACCATGGCGATGGTCCAGGAAACGTTCGTGGGGCCCTGGACGAGGTTGGTGCATTGTATAAGGTCCATATCCAGGCTCGTGGACTGGAGTCGTACCCGGACCTTCGCGCTGTTGTGCGGGCTTCGCAGTCTGCCTGCCCCTTTTTTGGACACCATAGGGGTTTCCGGCTGGCTGGATCCGAACTCCTCGTAGCGGAACCGCCCCAACAAAAGCTGATTTGCTCCAGGTTGGCGCAGAGCCCGAAGTGAAGTTAGAGTTGATATCACCTTTCAATATCCTGAGTCCGGAAGATGAAATCGGAGTCCAATATCTCTATGGAATCTGTCGATTAAATGGCGAGGAAGCGGCCTGCGTATCCAGGTGACATCTCAAGTTGAGCTCTCGAAACTTGGCTCTGATTTCAGAGTCATCGGCATCACGAGGGATGCGAATGGGAATGACATTGTAGAGACTGCGTTAGTCCGTATCGTGTCTCGCCATGGTTGCTCGGTGTGGGACGACTGATAAGAACATCCAGACTTAGATGGGAAATCTGGTCTGCTTTGACCATGTTTTACTGGCGACTCGACCTTATAAATAGACATGGGATGGTGCCCAATCTTACGTACCAAGGCATTGGGTGCCTGCTAAGCCAACGTTGTACTGTACAGAGGCACGTTATCGTTTCAGATGCAGGGCGCTGAGGTTGTAATTCCAATTTCCATGCTTTCGCTACGATCGGTGAAACTGCTCAAAACACTATTCTTGGTGATACATGACTATGAATGAATAATAAGCCGTCTACCAGAAGATACTCACATGATTCTGGTCTTAGGGCACCTAGAGACCCTGAGGACGTATCCATTGCTTGGGTTTTAACAGAACGTTGCTTGGAACATGCCAGTTCAGGTAAGCCAATGCAGAACAGTATTCGATGATGAGAATTAGATTGATTCGGAAAGCCTTCGATGTCTTGGTCCCGCTTGCACCAGCGTCTACCGCAGCCGAACCCTTGAGACCTTGCCTGACGACACCAAGTGGATCTACAGCACGGAATCAAACGCATGTGAGCTCTGGAGGCCAGCACTAGGCAGTCTCAATCTCATAAGGCCGATACGTCAACCATTGGAGGTGATTTCTTTGCTAACCACAATTGTACAGAATAGGAGTATCGGTAAGTAATAGGAACGTAGCGCAATGCCTGGGCGTTTGATGCTGTGTTTGTACGAATAAGCTCCGAGCTATGTGTACATTGATTTGTCCAATGAAGCCGTCCACGACAACGGCAGTATCGAGTAGCAATGTCCCAAACGCCTACCCGCTCGCTGCTCAACAGAAAAATAGGTCCGTTGCTACTGCCTCCTCCAACAGTCCCGCCCAAGCATCGATTGCCTCCTTGAGTCCAAGATATTGTCGCCACAGACTTCCGTACTGGGTAGCGGACGAACCGTAACCAGATAGGGGGAAGGGGACTGGAAATGCCGGGGCATGTATGTTGCCAAGCAGCGTTGTGCACTCCATATTTGCCTTGTTCATGTTGTCGAGGAATTCGTGATAGGGGAATGCTGATAGGAAAGGATGATTGTGAGATAAGCAGATAAGGAGACCGCAGCGCGTTTGGAGTTCTAGGACACGCGAGAAGAGAATTTCGCAGTCCAGGAAATTATTGTGGTAGTGCATCGGTGGCACATAATGAGCTCGTTGTATGTTATAAGCTCGGGGCGTATGATTTCGAGTAGAAGGTTGTAGGCGAGATAAGGAGTTAAACGTACGGCTGCGCCCTATGTATTCCCAGATACTTTGCTCGAGGGTGTCGCTGCCCGGGAAATGATTAGGGTAGTGAGGCGGTGGTACATGACGAGGTCGTGGTATATCATGAGATCGGGGCGTACGATCTCGAGTCCATGGCTGTGGCGGATCGTCGGGCTGTTGTGCAGACTTCGCAGTCTGCCTGCGTACTTCAGGGTTTTCGATATCGTACGACCTTCGGCGGACCGGATTAGAGAGCGTTTCATAAGCCTCATGGATGCTTACGAAGATGGTTTGATCGGCTTCTGGTGAAGTGGTCTTCTTATCCGGGTGATATCTCAAGCTTAGCTCTTTAAATTTGGCCCTGATGCTTCCGGCATCAGCATCGCGTGGAACCTCGAGAATCTCGTAAAAACTGCGTTTGTTCGAAAAAAAATTCGGCATGGTTACTCGGTGTGTTTGGGGGGGGGTATGGACGAATACGTCCGGAAGTTGATGGGAAATGTGTTCTGCTTCGAGCATGTGTTAGTGGCGACTTGACTTTGCGAAACAGACCTGGATTGGTGGCTAACCTTAAGGTACCAAGGAATTGTCTGCCTGTTAGGCCAACACAATGCCGCGGAGACCTTGAGGTCTTTACCCGGGGACACCAGGTAGCTCAGAACATGACCAAGAACACGGTGGTATCCTCTATTTGCTTCACCAAGCTTCGATACACGCTGCACTATGCGAGAAGCTGGTATTAACGGACGGAACGTACTGCTGCATGAATAGCCGTGACTCGCCAAGATTGAAGATGTCGACGTCGACGGTCAAGAGAGGGGTGACTGATCAATGCCAGCCCAAGATGGGTTGTGTGAGTGGGAGAGGAAGAGGAATACTTGAGAGCGACGAACAAATGAAATGTTTCTGTTGGTCTACCTTAGCTTTCAAACGGAGCGGCTTGCGCTACTGACATGTTGTGGACGTTTTGGGTACTCGACAGAGTCTCAATGTTTTGATTCGGATCGCGACTCATTGGCGAATGACGGAGGTTTCGCTGGAGCCAAAATGGCGCCTCTAGCCGTGAGCCATGACAACCTCGGTAATTTGCTCAAAATTACAGCAGAGCGTCTGATTGTTGAGGAAATTGACACCATCCCTCAACCGCTGGGTTGAGAATCACAAAGCCGAACGAGTGAATTATCATGTGATAGGTGTGCAAGCGCCAGGAATCATAGAACCACCGACCTGAGGGAGTGACACGACTGGAACCAGATCTGCGAAAGCAAATTAAGACGTGAACATCGATTCTCATTATTCAGTATACACAAGAGGCTCCAAAGCCCAACACCAGAGAGATAACTTATGTACAACGCAGAATAGAAATAAAAGATGTCGAAAAATGTACAGCAGAATGTTCCCCAATCCAACTTGCGACCCCCGAGCAACCATCAACTTCATCCATTTTATTATTCCAGCAACCTGGTTCATCAGCGGCATTGTGGAGGTCTCGCCAACTCCCAACTCCCAACTCCCAACTCCCAACACCCAACATCCAACATCCAACCTCCAACATCCAAAATCCCCAAATTCACTCGATAACTCAATAACGTAACTTAAGACGAGGAAAACCCGCCAACGGTAAGCTGCAGAACCTGCGGGTTCGCGCCGGCCACAACACCGGCCTCGTTCTCGGAGCTCGGGTTGACGTCGTCGTACGAGAACGCGTAGCCCCGGCCGTCGGTCTCGTACTCGTGCACGAGGCGGCTGTAGTGGTTCGTCGGGCTCTGCTGGTAGTAGCTGTCGCTGCTCAGTGACGGCTGGACGTCGCCGCCATCAACGAGCAGGGTGGTGCGGGTGAAGGCGGCGCACAGCCGCGGGACGATGGCGCTGTGGATGTCGTTGTCGCCCTCCAGGATGGCGAAGGGCCCGGAGTTGCAGCCCCAGATGTCGGCCGTGGTCGGCTTGGGGTAGCCGCGGTTGTCGCCGTCGCACGTGAGCTCGGTGCTGGAGACGCGGCAGGTGACGTTGCCCGCGCCGACCTGCGTCTGGATCGTTAGGTCCTCGTTGGTGTACTTGGCCCACACCTGCTCCGTGTAGTCGGTGTAGTAGTCGTACATAGCCGTGGGGTTGTTAGAGAGGTATAGGTTAGGAGCCATGACGCGGAGCGGCGTGGTGCCGTCTTCGCTCATCACGCACATGTGTCCCCATTCGGCGCCGTCAATCGCAGATTGTGCCTTTAGGCCGTTGCAGATGTCGGCGATAGCACCAGCGCCTAGACCCTGGACCTTCTGGACCTCGCCGCTGTTGAGAGTGAGGGTCATGCCCATGACGAGGCCGACGAAATCCACGAAGGAGATGTTGGCGTAGATACCGCCCTCGGATGTGTTGGTCAGCTCGACGAAGCCCCAGTTGATGTTCGCCGAAGGGTCTCGCGGATTCGCGGCCGATGGTTCCACGAGCTGAGGGTTCCCGTCGGCCGAAGACACGGTGAAGAAGGTAAGCTCTCCATCGGCGATCCAGATGCGGCCGGATATGAGGAAGTCCGGCAGTGTGAACTCGGTGGTCTCGCCCAGGCCGCCGAGAGGGTGTGCAACTGTCGCGTTTATGATGATGGGGGTGGTGCTTCCCAGGGGGTTCGGGTAGTACCAGGTGCCGTCAGTCGACAGCATCACAACAACCCCGTTCGTGTCCTGGCCGGTTACCCAGGCGTGCATGGAAGTACCTCCGAAGTTGTTGACCACCGATATCCGCAAGGGGTTGTCCGCTTTCACTGCATTGATGGGAAAACTTGTGCCATTAACAGTGTTGAGTTCCGAAATCTGCAGGCTCCCTGTGCCTCCCGGGTTAACGACGATCGGAGCAGCGAGCGAGGGGGTGATCAAGGAGACCACGGTGGCCATGGCGAGGGTGAAAAGGCCACGCATCTTGAAGTTCCAGACTATGCAGTGGGGATGAAACGAGGGTTCGTGAAAGATTGAAGGTAGAGATTGAAGGTTAACGAACGTGTGCCTGGGTGTAAGTAAGTGGGAAGAAAAATGAATGGATGCTGATAACCACAGCGAAAAGAATGGCAGTTCTATTCAGAACGTAAACAATACTGTTGAGCGCACCCTAGGAACGACATGTGAAGAGTCAATCATGAATGAGAGGCGTGCGAAGTGCGGCTATATATCTCAACATGAACCATTCAACAGCCTCAAAGTGACTTCAAGCCATCGCCTGAGACGGCGTGCCTGAAGAAACGTTGCGAGCCAATAGTCACGTAGTAACATCCCGCTCACCATGTTCACTAAAGTCTAAGACATATTATGAATTCCAGGTGTTACCAACACCCGCGCTTACCTTCCTCTTACAGCGCGGGGCCCGAAGTTGAAGGGAGCGCGTGAAACCAACCACGAGCGTAGGCGTTACAGCATAGGGCTCAGCTGCGATCCCTGCGATCCCTGTGATCCCCCGTGCTGGTCGACCGGACTAGACCAGGGCTTTAATTCTTGGGGGAGTCGGGGGGGGGACCCGGCGGGAGGAGGGGAGGTCTTGTGTCACTCAGATTCTCGGGAGTCAAGCCAGAGCGGAAGCCAGGGGCATCGGCCCAGGCCTCGGGCAGACAAGATCAACTGGACTGGACAGTGAACTAGGATTTCAGCTTCAATTGCCCGTAGAACGTCCGTAGGCGCGCGGTGCTTCATGCGCTTCATGCGTACTTCCCAAAGTTCACCTGCCCATGTTAGTTAGCTGTCGCCAGGACCGCGCCCACTGTCCAATCACAGCCCATATACCGCATCTGCACCACGACCCCGATACCTGCTCCACATGCCGCCAGTTTACCCCAGGATCCCCCAGACATTCATCGACCCCTGACAATAGGAGGTATGGACCAATGCGGGCAGCATGTGACCATTCACAAGCAGACATTCAACCATCTCTTGCAGTTGATGCCATTCACTGCGTGCATAAACCATTGAACCCAGTTGGAAGTGTGCCCCTCCGGAGACCTGCACCGAGACTCTGGATGTTCTGTTTCAACAAAACAGGACGATGATATGTCCTCAACAAGCATGCCCACGAATTTCTGTTTCTGTCGTAGGGAAGAGAGGGAAGACCACGGACCTCACATACCTCGGCTTTTTCAAGTGCGTAGCAATACACGATCCCTGCAGAATCACCATGCATCTGCTACCGGCAGCTTGAGTTATCTCCGAACCTCACATGTCTACTAGACCAAGTCGAGCAGGCAAACCGGGCATGGGCAATGACATCTGAGGCATCATGCCGGTAGGGTTGCTTCCTGTTCACTTTGATCCATGCCTCTTCGCAATTACGACCAGGGTTAGGTGGTCGCGAATTCCAACGCAGAGTACAATAGTCGGCTCTACCTAACAGAGGATGGTGGTTCGTCTTCTTGCGACTGGAAATGGGGGGAAACCTCCGACGCAGAGAGAAATGCCGGACTGCTAGATGCAAGCCTCGATCATTTGACATAGCCTGCGCGTAAACACCAGAAGACACAAGTTATGAAGCCTCGGGAAGCCGACGAAGACTGTACCTCACAAGTAAATGCATCGATCGACGCCAGGCATGTCCAAAGAGTGTCTCGGCCGACAGATGCGGACCCACGAAAGAGCCGAGCAGGATTCGAATCCCGGCTTCTAGGGCGGCGCAACCGGACGGACACACACCTTTCTTTCGGATCCAAAAGAGCCAAACGCATGACCTGGGCATAACAAAAAAGACCGGCGCGAGCAGATGAAAACACCAGACGTAATGGGATAGACCAGGCTGCCAGATTCCCCGCGTGGGTCTTGCGCAGACGGACGGCGGGCCCACTCGATGCTAAAATTGGACGACGGAACAGACGGCACTGCGACGGCGGAATGCTGGGGGTCGCGCCTCGCCAACCGCATATATCGTGCCACCCAATGTAACGATGGGGCCGGCAGGGAAATATGGTGGAAAGGGCGAGCAAATCCAACATGTTTCAGTGAACCCAACAAGCCCATAATGAGCTTGTCTTCCAGGCTGTAGCTAAGCCTCCTTGGAGCCCATTAGCTGCGATCTGGCCTGCCAATATAGCCGACCAGACCCATTCTCCGACGTCACTTGTGAGGGCGGGCCGCGGGCCGCCCACCCAGCCGCCTCGGGTCATTTCATCGAACGTCCATCCACACATTGGAGAGTTCTAGAATGCGACAGGAATGTGGGTCGCAGTCATCTCAGACATCGGCCGAAGCATAACCTTCAACACCTGTCAGCCTGTGACATACATATGCGGGGGAGACAGGCGACAGGGCATCTGTTAGCGATCGGCTGATCTATGCAAGGTACAGGAACAGAGTTGGAGTCGTGCAGTTCTTGTTGAACAGGGGTGTGAAACAGACGTGGGCATCCGGTCGTGACTGGCTGAGGGCTGGAGACGTCTTTCATCTCATCCCAACTAGTGTCTGACAGTAGAATGTTTCGACAATGCTATTTGCGAATGATTGGACGAGACCGCCGCAGTCTGGCATGTGCGGCAGCCTTGCGAATTGAAACATATCTGCCAGGAAGATAAATGAGAGGGTCATTCAGTAATGCTGATGGCAAGGTGCCGATTGGAGAGAGAGCGGATAACCATACTCGGCCGTCGCGTGATTTGAAAGAAACTCCTTGGGTGCGCAAAGCAGAAGCACAAAAGCAGAAATCTCCTAGGCGCATGAGCCACTTCCTCTTTCTGTAAGCTGTGAGACATGGGCTTTCAACGCAGGCTGTCATTGAACAAGCCGTTTCGCCAGGCGGGCTTTTCGAAGGGGAGTTGATGATAGACCACCTGCCACCGGGTCATTCGTTCTTCGACATCTTCGTCCTTGAGTGGAGTCCAGGGGGTCACTTTCTGGCCATTTGGATTTGGCGATCACGTGTCCATCATGTTGGACTGGAAGTGTTGTCTACAGCACGAAGGGGCAGTGTGTCCGCGAGGGACACGCTTGAACAGATCCCTGAAGGTCTCACCTGATAGCTTTGGATGCTGACAACGATGTCTCTGACAATCTGTCAGCAGCGGCACTGCCGCAGGATTCGGCCACATTGTCGGCTCCTGAGACCCTGGTGGATGGCTAGGCACCCCATGGAAAGAACCCTACCGCCGAGTTAGCACCGAAGAACGACACCATGAAGCATGTGCTTTCTCATCGACGTTTCGACTTGCCTTTTCACCTCAATCGTTCCGATAAAACGGAATGAGTTCCCCCACTCTCGCACAGGGTCTCTTCACCTCTTTTCTCTGACATATGGTATGGATGTGCCAGGTGGAGACTTATCCTGAAAGATACTGAATGGAACCATGAACTGATGGGTAGCAGCCCGGGCGCCAGAGCTCGCAAGGTCCCATCATTCTGTTCAAATCCCGAGAGGCGCTGCAGCCGGGGCATTGGATGTTCGACAATGATTGAGGATGCGGAGAAGACGATGGTAGGCATGCCTCTTGACTGCAACCATCAGCTCAGTCGGGGGCGCTCACGAGGCTCCCAAAAACAGAAGGCAAGACAACGCCGGACTCGGAGTTGCTCTACTAGACTGCTGCAACGTGTTATGCGTATGTTGCTTTGCTCGAAGCCTACCTGGTCAACCTAGCATGCGAGTAAGCTGTAACATGTTGGGTACAATGTCGGCGTGTGGAATAACTCTCCGCGCACCTTCGCACACTCCTCCGAGCGGACCGGAAGTCACCGGGTATTGGGGCTCGCGTATCCGGACGACCATGGTTACTCGACGACAACTTCGGACACCCTCCGAGTCCGTCATGACCGTCAAGATGTCCTTCACCGGCCGGCGATCCACGGCGCACACGTCCTGGTGTCAGGCATATGCAATGCATGGGGAATCCCAAGAGGAAGACGATAATCTAGAGCTGCCGTTTATCACGTTGGTGTTGCGCTTCTTGCGTCTGGCATGCACCTGTATCCTGCCTCTCGGGGACTATGGTTCGGCCGGATCGTATTCGTCTTGACCGGAATCTTTCGGCGATGCTTTGATCCGCAGTTCCGGATTGTCTTCGGAAGCCGCCTGGCCAGCTTCGGCTGTTGTCTTAGTCCAAGCGACCTCTCCGTTCAACCGGCAATGACAATGAGTCGGGCGTTGAATCAAGCGACAGACCAGGCGCGTCTAAAGGGGTTTAAGATGTTCTCTATCACGAGATGATGAGCAACACAAAATCACTTGAGTAGAGATAGTAACGGGCCAGAAACGGGGTCGTCGTGATCATGATATAAGGCTGTTTGCTGTTTGTGTCTGTTGCGCGATAAGTGATTGCACAGATCTCGTGTCATCAGACTCCGAACCACGCGACCAGGCGACGCGGGCTTGACCCACTGAAAAATGGTGCCACCTGCCACGCGGATGGCAGATGGCTGCCCGGCACCGACGCCCCGCCGGCATGGCCGCATGTCGGCCTGTCGTCGCTACACCTCAACCTTGATGATAAACCCTCAAGAGAGAATTACTCTTTCGCTTCCATCAAAGGATCTGCCAAGCATGGAGAATTGTTCCAGAAGGCTGTCAGACAACTGAACCGAACAGCCTACCTAGGTAGTAACAAGGCCCCTGCTGCTAATCAACATGGGCAAACGAGACGGGAAGAGTTGCTCACTAATGATAAGGCCGGTCGTACGATCCCACATGGCGGGGCTCGAGCTGGACATGCATCTGCCTTCCATTATGACCACCACATCATGTCATCGGCATGTCATCATCCCCTCCCGAACCGACGGGCGCCCGGCACCGCACACCGCACACTGGGACCACGGCCATGTCCAGCCCACAAACCTGGAATCAGGCCAGTGCAGGTCAGGTCATCGTCTCGTGCGTAAGCGCCCCAACTAATGCTGCCTTGAATGACCCTAGCCAGCTTGATAAGATCCATTGATAACGGGGAGTAAGTTCGACAGTACAAATACCTAAGGTAGTCATCATCAATGACATCAAACCCCCCTTCGTTATGAAACCTAGCAAGCAGATGGAGCTTCCCTCCTAATCGCACACATCCGACCTCTTGATACTCTACAGAGCACCCTCACCCTCACCCACACCCATACGAAACACTCATCCAGGTCAATGTCACTCACTGCTGAAGACCTCACATCATAGCCCTTCCAAGGTGCTCTTGCTCTTGGTGCTTTCAACATGGAGAGCGACAAGGCCGAGATCGACGAGATCCGGCCCTTCGGCAAGGCCCGGTCCACCGTGCAGGGCGAGCCACTGTCGCAAGACGAGCTGAAGAAGTACGATGACTTCTTCAAGGCCAGTTGCTACTTGTGCCTGGGCATGATCTACCTGAAGGATAATCCTCTCCTACAAGAACCCCTCAAGAAGGAGCACATCAAGGCCCGCCAGCTCGGCCACTTCGGATCTGCACCCGGTCAGATATTCACCTACATGCACTTCAACCGCCTCATCAAGAAGTACGATGTTGATGCTCTGTTCGTCTCCGGTCCTGGTCACGGCGCGCCCGCTGTGCTGTCGCAGGCCTACCTCGAGGGCACGTACTCCGAGGTCTATCCCGAGAAGTCCGAGGATCCCGCCGGTATGCAGGTATTCTTCAAGCAATTCAGCTTCCCCGGCGGCATCGGCTCGCACGCCACGCCTGAGACCCCTGGCAGTATCCACGAGGGCGGCGAGCTGGGTTACTCCATCTCGCACGCTTTTGGTACCGTTTTCGACCACCCCGAGCTAATCACCGTCACCATGGTCGGTGATGGCGAGGCTGAGACTGGACCATTGGCAACATCATGGCACAGCACCAAATTCCTGAACCCCATCTGCGATGGTGCTGTCCTCCCGGTGCTACACCTGAATGGCTACAAGATCAACAATCCCACCATTTTGGCTCGAATCACGCACAAGGAGCTCGAGCAGCTGATGCTTGGCTATGGCTGGCAGCCGTACTTCGTAGAAGGTGACGATCTTGAGTCGATGCATCAGGCCATGGCTGCCACCTTGGAGCACTGCGTGCAGGAAATCCGGAAGTTCCAGAAGCAAGCCCGCGACTCTGGCAAGCCATTCCGCCCGCGGTGGCCCATGGTCATCCTACGCACTCCCAAGGGATGGACAGCGCCCCGCAAGCTCAACGGCCACTACTTGAGCGGCTACTGGCGCGCACACCAGGTGCCAATCACCGATGTGAAAACGAACCCAGATGACCTGAAGGTTCTGGAAAATTGGATGCGCGGCTACGAACCTGAACGTCTATTTGGCGAGAAAGGTAAGATCGGCCCGGAGCTGAAGGAGTTATGCCCTACTGGCCCACGCCGCATGAGCGCCAATCCCGTTGCCGATGGCGGCCGGCTCACGAAGCCGCTCAAGATGCCGGACTTCAAGGACTACGCCATCGAGGTGACCCAGAGCGGCGGAGTCCTGGAGGGCAGCATGAACAATTTCGCAGGATTCTTGAGGGACATCATCAGGAACAATCCGACCAACTTCCGCCTGTGGGGTCCTGACGAGACAGAGTCGAACAAGCTCTCTCGCGTCTACGAAGCCGGAAAGAAGGTGTGGATGGGCGCGTACTTTGAAGAAGACTCCGATGGCGGCAATCTTACTCCCTTCGGCAGAGTCATGGAAATGCTGTCTGAGCACACCTGCGAAGGTTGGCTTGAGGGCTACATCCTCAGTGGGAGACATGGGCTCTTCAACTCGTATGAGCCTTTCATCCACATCATCGACTCGATGGTCAACCAGGTAACGTAACCTAAATCAGAACTTGTTCTCGAACCTCTACTAATACCACAGCAGCATTGCAAATGGCTTGAAAAGTGCGCGGAGGTGGAGTGGCGCACCAAGGTGGCCTCGCTCAACATTCTCCTCACCGCGATAGTATGGAGACAGGACCACAACGGCTTCACCCACCAAGACCCTGGGTTCCTTGACGTCGTTGCCAACAAGAGCCCCGAGGTTGTTCGCATCTACCTGCCTCCTGATGGTAACTGTCTGCTTTCTGGTAAGATATCACCGTCGTACGAGCGACATCTGATGTGAATGCTTACTATCTTGGCAGTAATGAACCACTGCTTCCGCTCGTCCAACTACGTCAATGTAGTCGTGGCCGACAAGCAGGACCACCTCCAGTACCTGAACATGGAGCAGGCCATCGAGCACTGCACCAAGGGCATCGGCATCTGGCAGCAGTTCAGCACCGACGCGGGCGCCGAGCCCGACATCATCATGGCCAGCTGCGGCGACGTCATGACCAACGAGTCGCTGGCGGCCATCGACCTGCTACTGCAGCACTTCCCCGAAATGAAGATCCGCTGCGTCAACGTCGTCGACCTGTTCAAGCTGATCCACCACAGCGATCACCCGCACGGGCTCAACGACAAGGAGTGGGTGGCAATTTTTACCGACGACAAGCCCGTCATCTTCAACTTCCACTCGTACCCCTGGCTCGTGCACCGCCTGACATACAAGCGGCCCGGCAGCCATAACATCCACGTTCGGGGCTACAAAGAAAAAGGTAACATCGACACACCTCTCGAGCTTGCCATCCGCAACCAGACGGACCGCTTCAGCCTGGCGATGGACGCGATCGATCGCATACCGCAGCTCGGCAACCGCGGGGCCACGGCGCGCGACACGCTCAAGAACCAGCAGCTCGCGGCCAAGAACGAGGCCTACGAGAACGGCATGGATCCCCAGTTCCTCACCGACTGGAAGTGGCCGCAGAAGGGCATCCTCGAGCGGAACAAGGAGACGCTGGAGAAGTTGAAGCTTGGGGGTAAATAAGTGAGGCTGGTTTCTATGCACGATGATGTCGTGGTGAACAGGGCGAATGGTGGGTGGGTAGGTGCCATTGGCGTTCGCTGTCGGTATTTCCTGTGTGGACGGGTTGTGGGTGCGTGATGGTCGTCCGTCTACCTGAGTCACGACGTATAGGTACCTACTTATTATACAGTATTGTTCATGTTTGAGCTTCTAACCTACTGCCTACCTACTCTCTGGACGTCCGCAATATTCTCTTTGCCAGGTAGTGACATGGTCCATCAAGAAGAGGAGCACCGTCACTCTTGTACGCCGTAGAGACCGGCGAGAGCAGAATCCAATACCGCTTCGAAGGGTGAATGTCCACCTCCCAGCTCGTGACTCCCATGCAGCCTCAACCAGTCCTATCGGAGAGATCCGGACCAGCGTCGCACCGAGCACATCGAAAATGCCACCCCGAGACGACGCGACACGACACGACACGCATGCGCATGTGGTTTCACGTTGCTATCTACACCGCATGTGCCGATCCCAATCCCACGGTCGCGGGTGCCGTGTGCCAAGCTGTCAGTCGGCTATGCTCACCGAGAAGCTTATATCGTCCGCGATCCGCTGTGGTGGTAGCCAAGCGAGGAGGTTGGGAATGTCGGGCGGCTATTGCCGGGAACCGCGATGCCCGGCGTTTTCTCTTCTCTCACTTGACCTCACCCCAAATCGCGTCTCGAGACGAACGCACGGCGATTCACTATGCGCCGCATTTGCCGGGGGACAATTCCCGCGCAATCATTCACCAAGACTACCCAGAGCGGCCTGCTGCTCGGACGGAATAGTGTGGCTCATATTTCACTGCCGACGCGCAGGCGCAGTCAGAAGAGTGTGTTGTATCGGTCTTCGCATACCACAGCCAATGCGCCCCCACCAACTGCACCTCTACCAATAACCTCACCTTCACCTTCGCCAGCAAGGGAGATATACCATCCAGAGGCCGACGTTGAGGATCTGGAAGATTACGTGCCTGGTGGATACCACCCAACAACCATCGGGGACACGTTTCGCGATGGGCAGTATACCATCGTGCACAAGCTGGGGTTCGGCGGTTACTCGACCGTCTGGCTCGCGCGCGACCAGCGCCTCGAGCGCTATGTGTCGTTAAAGATCCTGGCTGCAAGCGCATCAACTACCAGCAATGAAGGGGCCACCGTGCTTGTCCTCTAACAGGGCGACCGGGGGCACAGGGGAGTCCGATTCATCCCACCGCTGCTAGATGAATTCACGTTTAAGGGCCCAAATGGGCAGCACAAGTGTCTAGTTGGGCTACCTTTGGGGTCCAGCATTGCCATGTCCAAAGAGAATAGTGCGAATTACATGTTCTCAGTGGAAGCTGCCAGATCTATCGCCGCGCAGCTTGTGATGGGGCTATCTTGCATTCACGCAAACGGCGTCTGTCACGGAGGTACTATGTCAACCCTTGATCTTCCCTCACTTCACCATGCAATGGCTAACCGAGAAACCACTAACCACCGGCGTAGACCTGCACACACGAAACTTTCTCTTTCGCTCTTCGATACCTGCAAGCGGGAGCATCGCCGAGCTACACAGTCGCTACGGCAGGCCAGACGAGGTGGCAGTTCGCCGGGCGGATGGAAACCCACCTGGACCTCATGCGCCACCGCATGCGATCTACCCAATGAGCCAGACCGTACCAGCAGACGAGGTCTCAGACCCAGAGGTCGTCATATGTGACCACGGGACATCATTCGTCGCATCTGCGACAGAATCGCCAACTCTGCATACTCCGGCCCTTTATCTGCCTCCAGAAGACTTTTTTGGCGAGGCCATCACGACTGCTGCCGATATCTGGACCCTCGGCGCGACTCTGTACGAGGTTCTTCGCGAACGGCCCCTCTTCGAGTCGTTCGAATGGGACAGGGACGATATCATCGCCGAGATGTTCAGCACGCTGGGTCCGCTGCCTGCAAGGTGGTGGGATGCCTGGTGGAACAGTGGCCACTTCTCCAAGCCCAACGGAGAGCGGATACCCGAGGCAGAGTCGATGCGAACCATGACACCCTACGCTCGTCCGCTTCGTCGGCGTCTCTGGGACATGGGTCGCGGCGAGACACCCGAGAGCTGCAAGTGGGATTTTCAAGGTGGAGAGTTTCAGGCCTTGGAGGACCTGCTTCGAGGCATGCTTGCGTTTGAGCCGGCGGAGAGGTTGATGGCAGAGCAGGTACACAGTTCGGAGTATATAAGGAAATGGGCGCTGCCAGCATGGGAAAGACAGGTAGGTAGAGCGAAAGCAACTGCTGGCTTATGAAGATGGTAGACCGGGGGTATGGGAACTCATATCGTGCAATGGCGATGTCGCAATGGTATAAGAATCCAAGAGGTATTTGCGGATTGAGCAACCTAGGTTTTCAATCCCGACAAAGCGGTGTAAATATAGGCGCTGAGCAGCCGGACCAAGAGAGCGATGTTAGTCGGTAAATCGCAATCCAGATGCTGTAACTAGTCTGCTCAACTCCCTGCAGTAACCAGCAGCGCGCAAGTCTCCAGTGTGGAACGGACCGATGATCCTCTCTGACTACTCAGGCTCGAATTGTAACTCTTTTAGCTTCCTTGCGATGAAAACTCTTCAACGCTGGGAGCTATCCCCTTTCCAACTTGCCACGCTAAATCGGGGAAGTGGACCCGACCATCCAGTGCTTGGAGAACCTCGTAGGTAGTTGCCGCGTGAACGGGATGGAATAGGATGCGTAGTGTTGGTAGCGGTCGGTCGATATGATAGGCATTCCTGTTCTCGCATTGCGCTAGCAGGTCAAAATGAGGGATCCCATTGAGTGGTACTGGGGATATCAAGCTTATGATCAGGATATGTATGTTGATTTCATTCGGCCACCACGGTGGCACGGTCATCCAATGTGATTTCTTTTCCTTTTTTGGCATCATATAAGACGCGAGAGGGACCTTGATTGGGAGCGGTGGAGAAGAGGGGAGATTACTGACCTGCGAATGCTGTATCTGCAGTTCTGGTGGTGTGCTGCGGTGAGGTGTGTTGAGATCTTGGATCTTGGCAGGGTTCTCACGGCGTCTGCTAAGGGCTACGCGCTGGAGTGTGCCGATTTGGAGTATTGGCTGCACCGAGAAAGGAAGAACGGAAAGGATACAGCCCTTACTCCTTCAATGGGTGGTCATGATGCTGCAACTGTAGGAGAATGGACGGGCTGGGATGAGGTGGCATTGTGGACGTGGCATTGGTGGAGGTAGAAATGGTGCGGGCCCGATGTGAGAGAAAAATGTTCAAATGAGCCTGGGCCCGGGCGTTTGTTGTGTTGGTTCTTTCCCCCGTTTGCATTTGATGTGCGGCGGGAAGTTGCAAGGCTTTGTGGGACCAGCCTGTTGCCTGAGGAAACAAGCGGCCGTGCCTGCCTAAGCGGATGAGCAGTGGTGTCTGCCTGATGAGAAACCCCACAGACTCATGATGTTTCATTTTCCGTAGCTTTCCAGCTGTTTGACTTTAAGCATTCCATTTGGCATTCATTTCTTTACTCCATTCTAGGTATTTCGGTTTGGGGGAAGAGGGTTTGGGCATATTTCCTATCCTCAACTGGTCGATGGCCTTCGTCGCCTACTTTATATGCTCTATTGTAATGTATGTTTCTGCACTACATGTTATCATGGCGCAAAATTCTGGGCATACTGCGCTTCGTGCTGTGGTCATGCATCTTGAGTCTAGCTGCAGCCATTCGTGTCAGTCCTTTGCCAGCCTCCTGCATGTACTCGTCGATAGAAAGCCAGCCACCGCACCTGTCCACCCTCGGGGTCATCGTGGCAGACTCGACCATATCAATCAACGCGACTAGTTTCGAAATTTTCTCGTGAGTTTCTTGCTAATGTCCTTGCGCTCCCGTAGGCCCCTAGTAAGATCATTGTCCAGGTCTCGTGCGGAGAGGGCCGGATTCCAAATCTTAAAGGTAAATATAAAATATTCAACGCAATGCAACTCTGGCAATCCAGATAGCCCCTACGATATATTCGACCTATAATATGATATCTGTATGTGGGCGAAAGATGCCTTCTCCCTGCAATAGTATCCCCTCCACCTACACCCATCCGAGCCCCTATCCCCAGCCCCTTTTCTCATCCCCCACTCCTCTTATAATGATTCAGGCCGTACGTCACCGCATTCGCGAATCCCACAAACCGTGTCGAGCACTGCAACGCGTCCAGTGCCCTGTGCGGGGATGTGTCGCCGGAAGCCTCCATGAAGCGGTTCACGATGCCGGGGATCCAGAGAATCACGTACATGATGGGGTAGCCGTTGAGCCACAACATGCGCTTGATCTCGTGCTCTACCTGCCATGATCTCTGGGTCGCCGCATGGCTTGCGGAATTCTGCGGGTGAACCGTATGGGACCTGCCACGGTGGACTGGAGAGGCGTGACGACGTCTGTTTGTTTGTTTGTTTGTTTTGTATTTAACGTGGGGGGTAGCTCCTCAGTAGTGCAAACCACGCCTCCCAGAGCCTCTGCATCGCAGGGTTGTGGAGGTCTCAAGATAATAAGTACAGTCAGTCCCGCTCACGGGCCCATCCCCGTTGTTGCGGCGGTATGACCTTGGGGTCATTCATCTGGTCCTTCAAGAAAAGCAATCTATCGGGGACAGATTGTTAAAAAGAACTTGCTCTTTTCCACGAATTTTGCCCATTCTGTGCTCCTCTCCCCTAAGTATTGTAAACAAGCTGTCCTAGGCGAGTACCTAGGCAGCAGCCGATTTTTTCCCAGCCTCTTACAAAAGAAAATATGTTGTGGTGTTTTCTTCTCACCACAACTGCAATGGTCATTCGAGTCTGTATGCCCAAAGCGTTCATGGTATCTGGCAAAGTCGCCATGTCCAGATCTGGCCGCTAGAAGTCTGTGTAAAGTACTCCTCTTAAAAGATATCAGGTCTCTTTCAGTTACTGCGTGTGAGTATACTTCTTGATACCTAGATTCTGATTGGTCTTTCCACCATTGGTTGAACTCCTTTCTGCCCTTTCTTTTGAGATCTCTTTTGACCCAAGAGATTGTAGGAAGGTTTATCGTGTCTGTTTCTGTGAGATTTCAAAGTGTTCTATTAAGGAGAGGCATTCCAGCTACTCTGGAGCGGCGAGAGTGGCCCTATATATCCAAGATACTAAAGGAAAGGATACGTGGCCGTATGTGGCCACGTATGTGACAGAGTCACAGATGGGGATAGTGATCCTGAAGGATGACTATGGATGGGCTAACGTAGCCCAGAATCCAACAGTTTCTAGCATGGCACCCTCTTTTGCTAGTGTGTCGGCAGCTTCATTGCCATCAATATCTCTGTGTCCAGGAATCAACTTGACGGTCACTCCAGGAGTGTGTGCTGTGGCAAGTTCTTAAAATCGTAGAAAAATGTTCTGTGATGTCTCGGGTAGAGTCCCATTGAGCCCATCTACAACTGACGTGTTGTCCAGGCAGACATATAGCTATTTTCTACGTCCAATTGCCCTGGCTGCTGCAAGACCTTGGAGAGCACCATGGACTTCAGCATCCACTACTTCTGCTTGTAGAAGTCTGCCCCTTCCCCGGTATACTTCTTGTGTAGTGCCGCCTTTCCTGATGGTATAGCCCCATCCAGTGCGGGTTGTGCCTTGGTCGTCCAATTGTGATCCATCTGAGTAGATGACAAGGTCAGTGTTCGTATTTCTTTCCTGTAGCCATTGCTTAAAGAGTTCTGTTTCTTTGTCTTTGTCTTTAGGGATTGGGGGCTTCTTTTATAATGGCTTGGTGAGTATTGGTCTCTAGAAATCAGGGACTAGTTGGAAGCTCCTTTGTAGCCTTGTTGGTTCTTTGCGAGCTTGTATTTGGAGCCTGCCAACAAGAGGGTGTCTCTGGTCTACTCGTCCGAGTCGGAGGCCGTAACGTCTTCTTATTGACTCTGCAAGAACTCCAGCTGGGGAAATCTGCAATTCAAAATATAGGATATGTCCAGGGTGTGTTTTCCAGACTGGTAAGATAGCCCTGATCGCCGTTTGTAGTACAGCATCTATTGTTCCAAGAAGCCCCTTAATGCGACATGCTGATGTCCCACCTAAGCTCCCAACTTTCTCGATTCCTGGGTACCAGGCCTCCATGCTGTGTCTAAGAATAGGAATAACACAAACTTTTATAGCCCTCCTGGTTGACTTTACTAGGAGTCCCTTGACTGTGTTGCATAGTCCTCGAAGGTGATTTGCTACCCTACTAGCTTTCTTGGCCCAGTGAGAAACATGAACTTTAAAGTTTAGTTTTCTATCCAGAAGGACACCTAGCCATCGCATAGAATACTTAGCTATTTTGTTCATTATCCCGTGGCGGACTGGAGGATTGTCTGAGTTCTTTTTCTGTGAGAAGTACATGATCTCAGTTTTGTCGGGTCAAACTTAATAGCATTATTGTGTCCCCATTGGTTAAGCAAATGGAGATTTTCAGAAGTATCTGTAGCTGTTTCTTTAAGGTTCTTTCTAATATAGAGAGTTGCTAGGTTGTCTACATATCTAAAGCGTCTTCTTTTCATGCCAAGTTGGGCATAGATTGGCTTGGTATATAGCATGTAAAGAATTGGAGAGGCTGGTGAGCCTTGTGAAAGCCCACAAGTGAGAGCTTTTATATCGGTCACGATACCTTCAAACCGAACTCTTGCGGACCGTTCGGACATGAATGACTGGACCCATCTTATGAGGAAGCCCGGCCAGCCCTGTTCTCTTATGAGAACCACCAGCTGTCCTATTAGGGCAGCGTTAAAGGCCCCTTTCACATCTGACGTGACTACTGTTGCAACAAGGCCTTGATCGAGGGCCTGCTTAATATCGTGTATGAGTGCAGCTACCAAGTCGGTGACAGAGCGCTTTGGTAGCGCTCCAAAATATTATGGAGCTAGAATTCCGAGTTTAATAATGAACCAGGCAATTTTTTTTGTAATGAGTCGTTCTAGGCCTTTGCCAAGACACGACAATAACGATATTGGTCTGTAGGCCCTGGGATTGGAGTAGTCTTTCTTTCCTGGTTTTGGGATCATCACCACCTCAGCTGCTTTGAATGGTTTAGGGTGGTGTCCAATCTGTAGGCAGGTCTGGAAAAGGGCTCTGATATGCTCCCCAATGACTGGCTAGCAAGCTTTCAGAATCCGTACTGTGAGGGTGTCTACTCCTGGGGAGTTGCTCTTGGTCCCTATAGTGCACCCTTCAGCTTCTTCTAGTCCGACATGGTATTCAAGGGGGATGTGTGGCTTGGCTTGTGTGATCTGAGCAGACCAGGGGTCGATGATATCGTTGTCTGGGGTACTTCGTTCAAGCATGGCTAAGCGTAGTGCATTTGCCTTGCTCTCTTGTGACTCAAAGATTTGGTCCCTTATGATGATTGGGGGGGAACGCAATCCTGCTGACAGCTTGTGCCAGGAAACAATTCTGTATAGGTCCTTTGGCTCTGTTGCTGAATCAATTAGAGTCTGCCAGTACTCTCTCCTAGCTTTCTAAACCACGCGGCAAAATTCCTGTCGGGCTGAATTCCGCCCTTCTTGGCTTATAATTTGTTTAGAAAGGGCCCTGTATGTCTGAACAGCTGCTTTGCAGTCATCATTCTACCAAGCAGTGGGCCTAGATTGACGGGGCTTCTTGCCCACTGTCCTGATACAGCCTTGGATCATGTTGATCAAGTTGTGTATAAAGGCATCCACCTGGCCAGGGGATACACCCAGCCGGGCGAGTTCATGAATCCTGGTTTGGACATTGTCTGCCAGCTCTTGTAGTTTATCGTCCGGTACTATCCAATGATTGGCCTTGGGAACTCGGTCCTGATCTCCCTGAATTGGAATGACTATCCGTAATGTCTCATGATCTGAGGTGCACTGAAGTGCATCATTGACTGAGGCTTCAGCCATGGGGACATCTGAGAACACCAGATCTAGTACATTTCTATCGTCATGTGTTGGGACATCTGGTTCAGAAATCAGATCCAGTCCGTGGTCTGCCATAGTCTGTGCCAGTATGACGCCACCGTGATATCCTGGATTGCTCGAGTCCCAGGATGTGTCGCCAGCATTAAAATCTCCAGCTATAACACAGCCAAAAGGTGGAGTCCATACTTCCAGAATGTCATCCACTTCCTGTGGGTTGTCACATGGCCGGTAGATACTGGCAAATGTAATGCCTTGTACCTTGACCCAGGTGATGTCTCGTGTAGCATAGGGCCGAAGTTGATCCGCTTAAAGGTGTTTTCTCATATAGATGAGAGATTTGGGCCGTGTACTGTCGCTGTCCCAGGAATCCACTGGGGAGTATATATTGTAATTGGGGTGTGTCTTTACTCCCATTCTCCTGCCTGGTGGTGTGCTGACCTAGGGCTCTTGCATCAGAATGATGTCTGCTTGTTCTCCTTTATAGTCAGCCAGGTTGATGGCTAACTCTATAGGGCCTGCACTCTTTTGTCCTCCTGCTGTATTCACAGAATGGATGACTAGATGCCCGTGTCGATGTGTTTCGTTTGATGCACCTAACATTGACTGACAACAATGGTATTGGCATCTCTGGGATGAGTTGTATTTGTTGTGTCGATTTGCATTGTGATGTCTTCGTTATTATTGCTGGGTGTTGACCCAGCTTGGTTTCTGCCTGTTTCATTAAAGGCTTTGGATCTGGCTCTTTCTCCGGCCAGCCTTATTTCCTGGATTTGTTCCCATGTGTGCTTATGGATGATACCTTTCACGACCTTGGGGCGTACAGGGCATTTGTCGAAGTCAGCAGTATGAGGCCCCTTGTAATTGACACACTTTGGGATTGGTTTTTCGCACTCCCCCTGGTGTACTGTGCTGGCGTAACGTGCACATATTTGCTTTTCACATCGGTAGTTTCTACCATGGTATCTGAAGCAGCTCGCACACTGGTGAACCTTGAGGGAGTATTGAATGTGCCTCGAGGTCCTTAAGTGAGCAAAAAGCGTGAATGGTTTCTTTGCTGCACGGGGCAGAGAGATCACCCATGTGGTCTCTGGATCAGAATCAACTATGTTCCTTGAGAGTATACACCTTAAAGGTCTGTCACCTGTTTGGGCTTCAACTTCATCAGCAACAGTAATGTCGGTAATGTCGATTGTCAATCCTTCCGCACTGATGACCTTTCTTGGGCATCCATTGACCTTATAGTGATGCCAGACCGTGTGGGTCTCGATCTTTTCTGCCTTAAGAATGTCAGCAATTTCTTCTTAAAAAGCCAGAAGCTTAGCCTAAATTGGCTTGTCCCTTGGGTGTAAAGTAAAACCAGAAGGACACCGTGTCACTTCTCTAAGCTCCTGAGGGTGGAGCTTAAGTCTTTTGTTTAGTGTAAACTTGATTCCATAAGACTCTAGGTGGCTATTATCCATGCGGGCAAAGACCCGGAGATCATCCTGCTTCCTCTTCAGTTGGTTGGTAGTGATGAGGGCACTAGGCTGTATTTTCTTCATGGTAGTGTTGACTGTCCATGGATGCTGTCAATGGCTAGAGGAGACAGCTTGGGCGAAGGTCATAGTGGACTTCCCTATTTCTATCCCACCAGAAGTGGCCTTTCTTGTGGTCAAATCTCGGGTTTCCAGCCACTTATTCAGGCATTTGGAGAAGAAAGCGCTGAACTCCTTGGCATGAGAATATAATTCGGTTCCAGCTTTCTCAAGTGTCTTATCGACTGCTGCAGCACACTTTTGAAACATTGTCATCCTGGCTTCATAGAGATGCTTGTCTTTAGCCAGTATTTTGGCAACTTGGTCCTGGCACTCTGAAGAGGAGACTTTGTTCCCTGCATTACCTCTAATGACTTGGTCTGTAAGGATTTCGCTTGACTGAGGTGATTCCATATCAATGGTGCTGCTATTATTGATATTTCGGGATTTTCCTTTCAGAGGGGAAACAGTGGTGAAGTCAGCCTCAGAGACCTGTGACGGGCTGCTGTTGATGTCGTCGAGCAGTGCCTGGCGGAGCCTGCTTAGGGTTGCCGGGTCATGTGTTCTTTTAGGGACTGGGGATTTGAACACGCCGCCAGTAGTCATCTTTGGGACGGCCACTGGCGTATTTGGGGGTCTGTCGTGAAAGGGTGTCATCCAGCTCGTGAGAAAAAATTTCTGCGCCTTGGCAAGGATAGTCAGGTACTGAAACAAATGCCTGCTTTAGTGCAGATATAGAGGTTGCGCCCTAACAGTGGGGCGCCAAGAAAAATAGTTGTTTTTGGTAAGAGTGTGCTGGTATTGGTAAGATGTTCATCCAGTGTCCGCTTGGTGGTAAAGGTGCCATCATGAATACCTTCAGTATAGATAAATTTGGCATAAATCCTGCCTTGCTACAACAGGTCCGCCTGAGATACCGACTGCGCATCAACTAGCTGCCACAGGCACATATGATAAGCGACCGCCAACGCTAATGTGTACACGACACGCATATCTGGGCATGGTGATGTGGGGGTTGAAGGGTCGAGATAGTGGAGACCAAATTCGTGAGTGATGATGATGACCTCAATAATGACAGGCATGACGGAAATTGTGCCCAGATGCAGGTGGCTGTATATAATAGCGTATCTAGGTATATCTGAATCTTTTCCGCCTGGCCCTTGTATGGTGGACAGTGCATGATGCAGAAATTGGGCACCATGGCGTGCCTCGGAGGCATCCACGGTTTTCTCGACAACTGGTAAAGACGAAGATCTCCTGCTTTGTTGGTGTTAGTCGCTGCTCAAATCTTCCAGTTGGTCACTGAATCTTTTACCTGAGACTTCAAATCACCCCTGGTACCAATTAAATGCCCGTTGGTTGCTCCAGTCGCTGGCCTCGTCCGCCCATGCTAGTAGCCAGCTTCCTATTTAGGCAGTACGCCGCTTTCGGCTGAACCACCGCATCTACCCAATCATGCCTTCAACTCCGGCTTTCTCGTACTGCACAATGGCGTGCTATGCCGGTAGAGGTGGCCGTAGGCGCCCCGAGTCCAACGAGCAATTCCTAATCTCCCGCAGTCTCGATAAGTGATCGGCGGCGCCCAGTCATGCATAACCAACAGACGGAATTCCACCAATGTCACCTGCCGAAAACACCACAGAAACAAGCTTCGCTGCATCGAGGCGTGCAGTCCAGCGTAACCCCCAGCACCATCAATGGGCCCCCAGAAAGCTTATCTCTGAGGCTAAGCTTTCTGAGATGTCAACTCCGCAGAATGCCCCTGGGGAGACGCAAACAAGCCTTTCCGCCGTGACCTTCTGTAAGAAGCCTAGGAGCGCGGGCAGGCAGGACAAATAACACTGCGGGTTGCCTTCGCTAATCAAACAACGCCGGAGCCGTCCGATCTATCAGATCGACGTGCTCCCGCATGCAGATCTGAGACCCCTGGTCTTGTGTTTGTCCTGCCCGGATCGACGTCTTCCGCCGGCCCTAGCATATCGAGTCTCACCCCTCTCAACGCCGATGGAGGCGGGCAGAGCGCCGTGAATGGCTGTTCGTCCGACGTATAGATGCTAGGATCAAATGGCGCAGCCAAGACGAGAAGGTCACCAAGGTGTCCATTGCGAGACACCTATGGAGCCACCCAGAGTCATGATCACATGGTACGGCAACGGCCGTAACTTCTGTCTTGCTGTGACAAGCGGACTCGCCGTCATGTAGGATCAACAGTCTTGGCCGCCTTGGCCTCTTATAAAGAGGACGTCGTCCCATGACTTCCGATGATATTGAACCTGCAGCTCACACCACTCGTCAAGACTCCTCCAGCCTCCGGTGATTCCAAGCCAAGCGGTTCAAGATGCTGACTCTCACGCAAACCTTCCTCCTGGCCTCGGCCGCCCTCTCCCTCTGCGCCGCTGCTCCCTTCGAGGAGCAGAAGGGTCACAGCTTCACCGTTCACCAGGTGCGAAATGAGCACCATCGCCGCAATGGAGCTCAGGCCCTCGCAAAGGCCTACCGCAAGTTTGGAGCGCCCATGCCGGAATATCTCGTCAATGCTCTGAACACGACCTACGCGAACGCCAAGCGGGCCACCACTGGCAGCGTCGTCACGACACCCGAGGAGGACGACGCCGAGTATCTGACGCCCGTGTCCATCGGCACGCCGGCGAAGTTGTTGAACCTGGACTTCGACACCGGCTCGTCGGACCTATGGGTGTTCTCCAGCGAGCTGTCTTCGAGCTCCCAGTCCGGACACAGCGTCTACGACCCGTCCAGTAGCAGCACGTCCAAAAAGCTGTCAGGGTCGACCTGGGACATCTCCTACGGCGACGGCAGTGGCGCTTCGGGCGACGTCTACACGGACGTCGTCAACATCGGCGGCGTGTCGTTCGCGTCCCAGCCCGTCGAGGCAGCCAGCACGATCTCGTCCGAGTTCACCGAGGACACAGACAACGACGGTCTCGTTGGACTGGCCTTCAGCAGCATCAACACGGTCTCTCCCAAGGCGCAGAAGACCTTTTTCGACAACGTCAAGTCCTCGCTCGCCGCGCCGCTGTTCGCCGCTGACTTGAAGCACGATGCTCGTAAGTTTCCCGCTCACGATATCCTATGTTCGCGTGACTAATGTCTGTATCAGCCGGCTCGTACGACTTCGGCATCGCCGACAGCTCCAAGTACACGGGCTCCATCACCTACACCACGGTCGACTCGTCCCAGGGGTACTGGGGTTTCACCGCGGCCAGCTACAAGGTCGGCACCAGCTCGTACAGCACCAAGGTCAGCGGCATCGCTGACACAGGCACGACGCTGCTGCTGCTCCCCGCCGCCGTGGTCAAGAACTACTACAGCAAGGTGTCCGGCTCCAGCAACTCCAACACGTATGGCGGCTACGTTTTCTCCTGCACCGCGACCCTGCCCACCTTCACCTACGTCGTCGGCACCAAGAGCATCGTCATCTCGGGCGACATCATGAACTACGCGCCCGTGGAGGACGGCTCGTCTACCTGCTACGGTGGCCTGCAGTCGAGCGCTGGCATCGGTATCAACATCTTCGGTGACATTGCGCTCAAGGCGGCATACGTCGTCTTCAATGGAGCGTCCACACCACAGCTGGGTTTTGCCACCAAGGCCTAATGGTACCATTCCTTGGGATGCACAGGGGTTGTGTGGCGAGACTTAATTGGGTCCCGGTGGCTGTTTGGGCTCGGTCATCCCTCTGGATCCCCTATTTTTACAGTGTATGTCACATAAGAGACATGGTGTTGAAGCATAGTAATCGCATTTATACAATTGTATCTACCTAGCTAATTAACTTGGTTATATGACACGGTTGAATGCCCTGCCCAGCTAACCTGACTTTCCTATGCTTAAAGAAGGCTGTAGGAATTCATGAACTCTTATGATAGCGAACAGTGCTCATTCAGATTACCTACAGGTGTCCAGGATGGTAATGGTTAGCGGTTCCACATGACAGGGACTTTTTAGGTCTATAATTATCTGCAATAGTATATATAGAACATTACAGATTTTTTTCGCGATGGTTGCTTCAGATAGACTGGCAAGCCCCAAAACGGCCACCGGTGAAAGGTCTCGAACCAAATAAGCATCATACGTCCTGTCCATGTTCGTCTAGCATTGCTCAACGGCTTCTCATTATAGAATATGTATTAGAGTAGCAACTACTATTTTATACTGACCCATACCCCCCATCATGTGGAACTGCAGCCATTACCATCCTGGACGCCTGGACACCTGTAGTTTTGATCACGCCTGCGATCAGTTAGTCGTCGCCCTTATAAGTACTTGGACGACGACGCAAAGCTGTTCCTGCTCGGTAGAATAACCACCGCCATCAGCTACCTTGATTACCACTACCATCAGCCCAGACCACAGCCCTATTTCCCTGTCGCACATTCTCACCCGCCAGAATGCGCTTCTTCAAAGTCTTCTCCCTCCTTCTCTGCACTCAAGGGGTCATCAGTGCAGTTCCGCACAGACCGAATCCAGCCAACATGGCAAGGGATGTCGACTCACGACAAGAGCACCACGGTCGCCAGGCACCAGAGAACAGCCACACACGTCGCGCAAACGTTGGAAGGAGCGAAACCGTTGTCGCGAGGGGTGGTCCTGATGGCACCTCCGGAGCTCATATTCACAAGCGCTGGTTAAAGAAGAAGTACTCACTCGTTTGATTGATTGATTGATGATTGATTGATTGTATTTAACGTGGGGGATCGCTCCTCAGTAGTGCAAACCACGCCTCCCAGAGCCACTGCATCGCAGGGTTGTGGAGGTATCAAGATAATGAGTACAGTCAGTCCCGCTCACGAGCCTATCCCCGTTGTTGCAACTGTATGACTTTGGGGTCATCCATCTGGTCCTTCAAGAACAGCTATCTATCAGGGGCAGATTAATAAAAAGAACTTGCTCTTCTCAACAAATTTTGCCCATTCTGTGCTCCTCTCCCCTAAGTATTGTAAACAGGCTGTTCTAGGCGAGTACCTGGACAGTAATCAGTTTTTCCCAAGCCTCCTACAAAAGAAAATGTGTTGTGGTGTTTTCTTCTCACCATAGCTGCAGTGGTCATTCGAGTCTGTATGCCCAAAAAGTTCATGGTATCTGGCAAAGTCGCCATGTCCAGATCTGGCCGCTAGAAGTCTGTGTAAAGTGCTCCTTTCAAAAGATATAAGGTTTTTTTTAGTTATTATATGTGAGTATACTTCTTGATATCTAGGTTCTGATTGGTCTTTCCACCATTGATCGAATTCTCTCTTGTTCTTTTTTTTGAGATCTCTCTTAACCCAAGAGATTATGGGAAGATTTGTTGCGTCTGTTTTTAGCATGGCATCCTTTTTTATTAGTGTGTCAGCAGCTTTGTTGCCATTAATATCTCTGTGTCTAGGAATCCACTTGACGGTCACTCCAGGAGTGTGTGCTGTGGCGAGTTCTTGGAATTATAAAAAAATGTTCTGTGATGTCTTGGGTGGAGTCCCATTGAGCCCATCTACAACTGACGTGTTGTCCAGGCAGACATATAGCTGTTTTCTATGTCCAATTGCCCTGGCTGCTGTAAGACTTTGAAGAGCACCATGGACTTCAGCATCTACTATTTCTGCTTATAGAAGTCTGTCCTTTTCCCGGTATACTTCTTGTGTAGTGCCGCCTTTCCTGATGGTATAGCCCCATCCAGTGCGGGTTGTGCCTTGGTCGTCCAATTGTGATCCATCTGAGTAGATGACAAAGTCAGTGTTCGTATTTCTTTCCTGTAGCCATTACTTGAAGAGTTCTGTTTCTTTGTTTTTGTCTTTACGGATTGGGGGCTTCTTTTATAATGGCTTGGTGAGTATTGGTCTCTAGAAATCAGGGACTAGTTGGAAGCTCCTTTGTAGCCTTGTTGGTTCTTTGCGAGCTTGTATTTGGAGCCTGCCAACAAGAGGGTGTCTCTGGTCTACTCGTCCGAGTCGGAAGCCGTAACGTCTTCTTATTGACTCTGCAAGAATTCCTGCTGGAGGAATCTGTGATTCAAAGTATAGGATATGTCCAGGGTGTGTTTTCCAGACTGGCAAGATAGCTCTGATTGCCGTTCGTAGTACAGCATCTATCGTTCTAAGAAGCCCTTTAATGCGACATGCTGATGTCCCACCTAAGCTCCTAATTTTTTCCATTCCTGGGTACCAGGCCTCCAGGCCATATGTAAGAATAGGAATAACACAAGTTTTCATAGCCCTTTTGGTTGACTTTACTGGAAGTCCTTTGACTGTGTTGCATAGTCCTCGAAGGTGGTTTGCTACCCTACTAGCTTTCTTGGCCCAGTAGGAAACGTGATCTTTGAAGTTCAGTTTTCTATCCAGGAAGACACCCAGCCATCGCATGGAGTTCTTTGCTGTTCTGTTTATTGTCCCGTGGCGGACCGGAGGATTGTCTGAGTTCTTTTTCCGTGAGAAGTGCATGATCTCGGTTTTGTCGGGATCAAATTCAATAGCATTGTTATGTCCCCATTGGTTGAGCAGGTAAAGATTTTCAGAAGCCTCTTTGGCTATTTCTTTAAGGTCCTTTCCAATACAGAGAGTCGCTAGGTCGTCTGTATATCCAAAGCGTCTCCTTTTCATAACAAGTCGGGCACAGATTGGCTCTGTATACAGCATATAAAGGATTGGAGAAGCTGGTGAGCCTTGTGGTAGCCCACAAGTGAGAGCTTTTATGTCGGTCACAATACCTTCAAACCAAACTCTTGCGGACCGTTCGGACATGAATGACTGGACCCATCTTATGAGGAAGCCCGGCCAGCCCTGTTCTCTTATGAGAACCACCAGCCGTCCCATTAGGGCAGCGTCGAAGGCCCCTGTCACATCTGTTGTGACTACCGTTGCAACAAGGCCTTGGTCAAGGGCCTGCTCAATATCGTGTATGAGTGCAGCTACCAAGTCGGCGGCAGAGCGCTTTGGCAGAGCTCCAAAATGTTGTGGAGCTAGAATTCCGAGTTTGATGACAAACCAGGCAATTCTTTTTGCAATGAGTCGTTCTAGGCCTTTGCCAAGACATGATAATAGCGATATTGGTCTGTAGGCCCTGGGGTTGGAGTAGTCTTTCTTGCCTGGCTTTGGGATCATCACCACCTCAGCTACTTTGAATGGTTTAGGGTGGTGTCCAATCTGTAGACAGTTCTGGAAAAGGGCTCTGATATGCTCCCCAATGACTGGCTAGCAAGCTTTCAGAATCCGTACTGTGAGGGTGTCTACTCCTGGGGAGTTGCTCTTGGTCCCTATAGTGCACCCTTCAGCTTCTTCTAGTCCGACATGGTATTCAAGGGGGATGTGTGGCTTGGCTTGTGTGATCTGAGCAGACCAGGGGTCGATGATATCGTTGTCTGGGGTACTTCGTTCAAGCATGGCTAAGCGTAGTGCATTTGCCTTGCTCTCTTGTGACTCAAAGATTTGGTCCCTTATGATGATTGGGGGGGAACGCAATCCTGCTGACAGCTTGTGCCAGGAAACAATTCTGTATAGGTCCTTTGGCTCTGTTGCTGAATCAATTAGAGTCTGCCAGTACTCTCTCCTAGCTTTCCAAACCACGCGGCAAAATTCCTGTCGGGCTGAATTCCGCCCTTCTTGGCTTGTAATTTGTTTAGAAAGGGCCCTGTATGTCTGAACAGCTGCTTTGCAGTCATCATTCTACCAAGCAGTGGGCCTAGATTGACGGGGCTTCTTGCCCACTGTCCTGATACAGCCTTGGATCATGTTGATCAAGTTGTGTATAAAGGCATCCACCTGGCCAGGGGATACACCCAGCCGGGCGAGTTCATGAATCCTGGTTTGGACATTGTCTGCCAGCTCTTGTAGTTTATCGTCCGGTACTATCCAATGATTGGCCTTGGGAACTCGGTCCTGATCTCCCTGAATTGGAATGACTATCCGTAATGTCTCATGATCTGAGGTGCACTGAAGTGCATCATTGACTGAGGCTTCAGCCATGGGGACATCTGAGAACACCAGATCTAGTACATTTCTATCGTCATGTGTTGGGACATCTGGTTCAGAAATCAGATCCAGTCCGTGGTCTGCCATAGTCTGTGCCAGTATGACGCCACCGTGATATCCTGGATTGCTCGAGTCCCAGGATGTGTCGCCAGCATTAAAATCTCCAGCTATAACACAGCCAAAAGGTGGAGTCCATACTTCCAGAATATCATCCACTTCCTGTGGGTTGTCACATGGCCGGTAGACACTGGCAAATGTGATGCCATGTACCTTGACCCAGGTGATGTCTCGTGTAACATAGGGCCGAAGTTGATCCGCTTGAAGGTGTTTTCTCACATAGATGAGAGATCTGGGCCGTGTACTGTCGCTGTCCCAAGAATCCACTGGGGAGTATATATTGTAATTGGGGTGTGTCTTTACTCCCATTCTCCTGTCTGGTGGTATGCCAATCCAGGGCTCTTGCATCAGAATAATGTCTGCTTGTTCTCCTTTGTAGTCAGCCAGGTTAATGGCTAACTCTGTAGGGCCTGCACTCTTTTGTCCTCCTGCTGTATTCACAGAATGGATGACTAGATGCCTATGTCGATGTGTTTCGTTTGATGTACCTAACATTGACTGACAACAATGGTATTGGCATCTCTGGGATGAGTTGTATCT